AATGCGACCGAGGGGAATCGAACCCCTCTCTATATGGGAAGAGACGGGTTTACCGAAGGTGAACCAAAAAAAAAAAAGAAAGAAGAACAAGAGGGGCGAAATGCGTCGATCAGGAATTTAGCGCGAGGCCAGTGGATGCCTGGATAGTGGATACCGAGAAGAGGTTATACAAAGATTTCCCTGGTGGCTGGCATTCACTTCTTCGCTACCAAGCAACAACGGCTAATAACAGATACGCAGTGGGGTAATCAAATCTTTCAACTTGACTCTCCGTTGTACTACAGAGTACTGGGTTTGCGATTATGCCATATGAAAACAGCCTCTCTGCACATAACTTTGAGGTGGTGGACTTTAAGACAGTTTTGCCAGTTCGAGGAAAAGTCTAACATAGACAGATACAGTAACGCTGGACTGATCAAAATGTGAAGTATATAGGCCTTAATGTGGCTACTGTTTACAACAATAACACGAGTCATGTTCTAAAGCAACCATGGTGTAGTGGTTAGCATTAACGCCTTCCAAGCGTTAGAGTCGGGTTCGATTCCCGATGGTTGCACAAACGGATGACTCTCCAGTCTCAACTTCTTTTTTTTGGGTGTTGTTAATTCGTAGCTACGGTTTCGCAGAGACAGTGACGTTGTTCAGTATGTGAAAGTTGTGCTGGGTAACTGTAGAATCATTATCCAGTGCTTAAGCTACTATAATAGAGTAGCCTGAATGTTTATCTTAGATGGTATAAAACGCTTAGATTATTTGTCTCTCACGCTTTTGAGTCTATCTTATCTGTTGCCCTGAAGCCATGGCATGAGAGGAAGAAGTTCTAGGTAGTACACGGAGACATTCATTTCCCGCGGGAAGTCGCGTCCTGTTCGTTGGTAATGCCATGCATAGAGTGTGATAAGCTAGTCTCGTAATTCCACCAATGGCTGCCAGGAGGATTGATCCCGAGCCTCTCATCTCCAAAGCCCGGCTCGAACCAGCAAGGCTGCGTTACGCTCGAGAAGTGTCGCTTGTCGTGATAAATACTCCACGAATAGCTGTTTGACCACAAAGTTCATCCGTTGCGACGAAGCGCTTGTTAATTTACCCCTTTGTTTAATTGATCATCCCAGGCAGGAGAGGGACAGCAGGGGCTGAGTCGTTGCCGATTACAGTTGCCGGCGGCTAAAAGACCGAGGAGTTGTGCATAGGAGAATAAGTCAAGAAATATACCGTGCATAACTTATGCACATATCGTTGTGCATCTGCACAGGGTTATACATGTTTAGTGGAATGACCACAGCTAACAAGATCCGATGGACTGGTTCGCGAAACATATTAATGAACATTCCGATTGACGACGCACAGGGCTTGTGATCATCGCAGGATCCGCGTACTTCAGCTGAAGGGTGGATTGCCTGGAGAAACAAGTGTACGAGTATCGCAGATCTACGATTAGATCGACGTTGTTGCCGCTGAACGGCAAATCGCTTGAAGAAACAAGTATACGAGTATTGAGGAATTGCAATCAGATTAGCGTCGTCACGGCTGATCGGTAGATCAAGAAACAATTATACGAGTATCGCAGATCTGCGACTAGATTGGCGTCAAACGAAGTATACGAGTATCGCACATTGGAAATCGAATCAACTTTATCTCAACTGCACGGTGGATCTTGAAGAGACAATTATACGAGTATCGAATTGCAAGGAGACAATCACAGGCAAATGAAGATTTTTAGATGAATTCTAGCCCAGGATATATTTTAGCCAGTTAAGCTATGATAATAGATACAGTATAAAAGTGAAGAAACATTCTTCTTATCATGTTTATCGAGATTGTTGTCTTCCTCCATGAAAACCAGTGAATGAAAAACTGTCAAACACCACGTCCTGCGTGAAACTTGCCAGTCTTTCACAACTGGCCCTGAATCAATTCCATATGAACTTAAGCACGGACAGCGACGTCACGAGCGTGGCGGCGGACGTAGGGGGCAGAGTTGCAGCCAGAGTCGTTGTTGCCCTGCTGCTGGTTCTGGTTCTGGCTCTCCTGGGGAGCGGGAGCCTGGTTCTGAGACTCAGCAGCAGGAGCGGCACCACCCTCAACAGTCTTGACAACGTCACCAGCCTTTCCGTCAGCGGAACCACGGATGGTACCACCGGGGATGACATCAGGGCCGGGGGTGAGGTCGTAGGCGGTGGAAGAGCCCCAGAGGGAGAAGTTGACGGCAGGGTCGTCCTGCTTGTAGACACCGGGGATCTTGACGGAGTCACCAGGGATGCTGGTGGCGCTGTTGCCAGAGATCTCGAGCTGAGCGCAGGCAGTATAGAACTCAGCCTCACCACCGTGAGCACCGTGGAGAGCAATGTGCTCACCACGGACGATGTACTGACCGTCGGGGAGAGTAGAGGGGATCTTGAAGTGGACGGAGTCCTCGTCCCAAGAGCACCAAGAGGGACCACGGAGCTGCTCGGGGCTGCCCTCCTTGCAGACGAGACCCTGGTGAATCTTGTACCAGTCGAGGTTGGAAGGGTCGGCGGTGGCGGCGTTGTCGACCTTGGCGGCGTAGACCTGGATAGGACCAGGGTGCTGCATACCAGTACCGCCGAAAGCCTGCTTAAGACCAACCTCATCACCGGCCTTGACCTTGAAGACGTCAGGAGCAGCGGAGGATCCCTTGTTGCAGACAAAGTCCTTGTCGTTGGGGGAGATGGAGCCCTCGGGAGCGTTCTTGAACTTCATGGGCATGTAACCGTTCTGGTGCTTGCGGATGTACTGGTTGTCGGTACCCTCCTGCTGACCGCCGATGGTGAGCTTGTCGAAGGTGTAGTGAGCGCTGACGGCGGAGGCGAGGCCGAGAACAGCGGAGAGGTAGGCGGTGGTCTTCATTTTGATAGAGTTGCTTGGTTGCTGGAGACTAAAGTGAAAGAGTCGTTGGTGGACAAAAGTCGATAAAAGATTGTAAGTTGATAAGAAAGAATGAAGTGAGACTAGCTCTTTGAAACGAATGAAATGGGCTGTTGATGAATGGATGATTCGAAAACCTTTGAGCGAGGTCGACGATGGTATTTATATCGAATCCATCTCCTATCAACTCAAGAAAGCTCGTATCTCAATTGGGTTCTTTCTCCTCATTAGCGCCCATCCACCGTCCGTCCCGTATACGACCCTGGGCCTGTATCGTCTCAAGTTCCCTCCCGCGATCCTACCATGACGGTCTTCGATCCATCATCTGTTTCTTCTCTTGGCTTCCAAAGACTGTTCCCATTTGACAGCCAAGTGTCTGTTTCCCACTTTTGCGGCCTGTTTCGACGTCTCTAATCTCCCTTCAGACGTTTAGTTTCTCTGGGCATCTAGGACCCCTGCTCACCCTGGTTTCATCGCGTTTCGACCACCGCTTGATCGATTATCGAACCAATTAGATCTTGGCAAATGCTGACTGGACTTGAGATTTCGGAGAATTTTGACTGCCCGAGTTTTTAATAGCCCGTTATCCTTGCTGTTTATAAACGCCGGTGAAAACGGTAGATGTCTATTGCAATTTGTGTTCAGTTTTTCTATGCCTGCTTTTAGATCATTAAGCTTATGATGCTTATTAGAGTTCGCTAGCAATGCACAGCAGTTGAAGGAACGTTAAGGTAGTAGAGTTCACGCTAGGAACTTGGCCTCGCTCTATTCGAAGTTTGACGTTTCGCCTAACAGCGATAGCGCTGTAGCCAACCGCCAAGATAAGGCCATTGATCATTGATGGAACGATTTTGTCTTTAGATCTCCATAATTCTCCCGTGTTTCAGCCCCTCTTGGCAGGGTTAGCTTAGCTGTGGCTGCCGCAAGGTCGGCCAGATACAGTTTAGATCCAGGCGCAAATAGATCCATACAGAGTCATTGATTGGTCAAGTCTCTACCCTTGCCAGGGGCAGATTGTTTTAAGGCCTGGGGATGTCTTAACAGCTGAACAAACAGATGGTCGGAGCTCTTTCTCCTACGACGGTGTCTTCAGTTGGTGGTTACTTGATGATGAATAATCAGGATCGGGCAATGGTTTGTGCAGCATGATCGTTTGTCTGGACAACGACAGCCATCGCTGTCAGATTGACGGCCAACAGAGGCAGCTGGTTCAGAAAGTCAGTGCTTGTTATCCGTAAATCCTGTGCAATTCCACGTCGGGCTCCATGGCCTCCCACAACCCGATACTGGTCCACCTGCATGGCCAATCATGTCAGAGCTAGCACCCCTCTTTGCAATGGTGCCTGAAAGACCCTCTTATCAAGTTTCGAATATCACTAAGATCCCTTCTGATGATCGGTTTACACTACGATCGGGTCGCCGATCAGCATAGCAGACATTGATATACTATGTCACTCAGCTGAGAGACCAAGGCAAAAGTTCAAGAATCGAGCAGAGCCATATGCGTGATGCAATCACGTTCAAAATACAAGTTTGGGTCAGGCAACTGTATACGGCAGATGGCATCCTGAAACGCCGAGTTACATCTAATGGTGGCATTATGCGGTAGCATGAATGCATTACAGGCTGCGGCAACAACGTCATGGGACTCAAAGTTAGAATCGCAAGATAATGCCGATCTTCTACAAATCCCGGCCAGAAGACTATGGCATGAATAGTAGAGTGCTGTGCTTATGACTGCTGATATACCGATGTGTCAGGTGATAGTTTATGCTGCGTTTCATAGCGTAAAGTTCCAGCATTCCATCGCATGTTCGTGAAAGTTCGTAGGTCACGCAGGCATTTGAGAGGCAGCGATGGTTGAGGGGAGATGGTGTTTATAAGAAGAGGAAGCCAGAGTTGGATGAGACAAGATGCTCTTGTCGGAGCGGAAGATGCTTTTGCCGATATCTTATCTTTGTCCTCTTATCTTATCAGCGAGTCTCCGTTATCTCGGATGCAATCGGCTTTCGTCGGTTTGTGTCGGTCAGCTTCTCTGCCTTCGCAACCCTCAACTTCTGCTTTGAAATTGCGTGAGTGTCGTTGATATTGTCAGATATAGACCACAGATCAAAACACTAGTTTCTGTACATCAAGAAAACTCTTTACTCTATTATCACAGACTCTTATTACAGTATTGCCTTGTATATTATTGCTATTCCACGCTTTCTGGATTCTTTTTCCGGTCTTCGAGTTTCTGTTCTCCTTGCTATAGGGTATGGCAAGTACCTTTGCAATCGTCAGTACCAAACGGTACTTGCCACTGCGCCACACTCTGGAACGAGCCCTGCTAGCCGCCTGTCCTCCAGGTCTAGCGCCCGCTTTGACAGGACGCCATTATACTGACCTGAAGTCGAGGGAATACGAAAAAGACTAACCCCAATCTGTCAAACAATTCCATCAAAAAACTAACACAGACTTCTTGGTCACCACATGCTGACTGCATCTCCACAGCCAGAATCCTCCTTCCCCATCTCACCATTATTTCCGTACACAGTCACAGTGCTACAAAAGAGTAGATGTCTTAATGCTACGTCAATTTACCCGTTCCTAGGTTGTCAGCCACAAGTTGCCGGAAGTGGATGTTTTGAGTCTTCTGATTGGCGGAACAATATTCCACCTAGATGACTCTCAATCAGGAAGAAATCTAGAATATCAAGACAATCTGAAACGTGGACGTCTCCACAGCTAAATTCTCCCTAGACCAGTAATCGGATCGTGCTCCTAAACTGAGACGGTCGAATTCAGCCGAAATGAGCCCCTGCCCCTAGACTAGACTGGGTTCAGAACTCCCGAGAATAATGGGTCGACTTCGGTACGTTCGATAAGGAGACATTTGAGACTGTCGGTGTTTTTTCCTCCCATCGTTAGGGATCGTCATTTTGCCAAGTAAACAAAAATGCCGAGAGTCGTCCCATCGTCACGATGCATCTTGGCTCATTTAGCCTGATGAACCATTCGATACATCAATTTTTCCACCGGGCAGAAGTCCACTAGTCTTGGAGCTATGTAACTGCACCCCAGATATCCTAGCGCAAAAGTCCCTAACCGTAAAAATAAGCTGGAGATTGAGCACGTTGTAGCCACTGACTAGAACCGCCGAGACTTTTGACACCCCTGGCAGCTCGGGTACCGGCATACTGGGCATAACGATAATCTCTTCGAAACATTCGGAGGGCGGTTCCGTTTAACTGAGAAGGGAAAAGTCGGAAGACGGAGGAATTCCACCCCGGGCATAGACTGTGTGGCCTTGTGTTGATTGCTATGGCTCGAGCATCGATTCATGATGATGTACCCCCTCCTTGACCCGCGCACTGAAGATCTTCAATATTTAAGATACTCTCTTCCCGCTCTCTTGGCACTTGGCATTCCATCACTCACTCTCACATCCAAAACAATTACATCTCTTCATTCATTCCTATTGCAGGTCAATTACACTCTCTTTTCTCAACAACAACAACAGTCACCATGAAGTTCTCTTCCCTCCTCTTCACCGCCTCGCTGGTCGCGGCCATGCCCGCTTCCGTTGAGCCTCGTCAGGCCCAGCAGAGCATCAACCAGCTCATCAAGGCCAAGGGCAAGACCTACTACGGAACCATCACCGACCCCAACCTGCTCCAGAGCCAGCAGAACAACGCCATCATCAAGGCCAACTTCGGCCAGGTCACCCCCGAGAACTCCATGAAGTGGGATGCCACCGAGCCTCAGCAGGGCAAGTTCAACTTTGCCGCCGCTGACCAAGTCGTCAACTTTGCTGCCCAGAACGGCCTCAAGGTCCGCGGTCACGCTCTTGTCTGGCACTCTCAGCTCCCTCAGTGGGTTAAGAACATCAAGGACAAGAACCAGCTCAAGGCTGCTATTGAGAACCACATCAAGAATGTTACTGGTCACTTCAAGGGCAAGATCTACGCCTGGGTATGTACACTATCATCGCTTTCACTTTATCTCTTACTAACAAGAATAGGACGTTCTCAACGAGATCTTCGACTGGGACGGTACTCTCCGTAAGGACTCTCCCTTCACCCAGGTTCTGGGTGAGGAGTTCGTCGGCATTGCCTTCCGCGCTGCCCGCGCCGCCGACCCCAACGCCAAGCTGTACATCAACGATTTCAGCATCGACGACCCCAACGCCTCCAAGCTCAAGGCCGGTATGGTCGCCCATGTCAAGAAGTGGATTGCCCAGGGCATCCCCATCGACGGTATTGGTTCTCAGACCCATCTTGACCCCGGTGCCGCCAACGGTGTCCAGGCTGCTCTCCAGCAGATGGCTTCCACTGGTGTCAAGGAGGTTGCCATCACTGAGCTCGACATCCGCACTGCCCCTGCTGCTGACTACGCCACCGTCACCAAGGCCTGCCTCAACGTCCCCAAGTGTGTCGGTATCACTGTCTGGGGTGTCTCTGACAAGGATTCTTGGCGCAAGGAGCACGACAGCCTTCTGTTCAACGCTCAGTACCAGCCCAAGCCTGCCTACAACTCTGTTGTCCAGGCTCTCCGCTAAATGTGGACTGTTGAGAAGAATGCTTTGAACTAGTATCTCATTGCTGGTCTTGAGGTTGTCGAAGCATTGGGGGTTTCACGGCCTAGTTGTTGGCCTCACTGCACATATTTTTCCTGTTACATATATACTTGTTTTGCGATTGTGAAAATATCTAGATGGTAGCTGTCTGATGCTTGGTTACTAGTATAGCTAGATCAGCGGTCAAAATATATACTTACCATCCAACTTTCTCTCCACCGTAGATCAACTTGGTGATATTTATCGCATCCACCTCATAAGAAATGCGTTGAGGTTCGCGCCTCATAACTGCATTCTTAGCCCTGCAAGGCCAGCGCATGTTGCAGACTGTGCGACTCACATGACTTGGTGATCTATGAAACATTCTAAGCCTTTTCAGTCATCTTTGCCAAGACTTTGTAGCGAGGAATCGTTTTCGCGGTAGTGCTGAAGTGTCAATCCACTCATGTGACTGGATAACTAACAATCTCAATCACTACATATAACGACTGTCGCTGGTTCTTCTGTATAACCCAACTCATCACACCGTGTCGCCTCGTCTTGCATCTGGAGTCAACTTTGTGTAGAACGAGTGTGTGGCCTCGGGCAGAGGATACCGAGACCCAAGTCTGTCTATATGTGGTCGAAACTTCAGAATGCTCGACTGGTAACAGTCAATACGACGTAGCCCTGCCATCAGTGCCCGTTCAATACTCCAAGTGTCTTGTCGTAGTACAGTCTGGCTTGGCTAGCTGACAGTCAGCCCGCCCTCCATGGACAGTTGTACACAGATTACCAGGTATCCCCAATCTCTTACTCATTCACCTTCCAATAATTCTCTAGCCTCATGCATAACGAAAATTTAAGCTTGATTTAAGGTAATGGACTAACACTACCCCGCCTGCCAAGTTCCTCTTAGCAACAAAGCCACCAATTATTGACGACAGCCCCGCATGGTTGGGGAAGGGATCATTACTCGAAAGATCTAGATTGGCTTGCCTGCCAACCATCTGATATGCAATGAAACATAAGATTGATACCCGGCATCTAGATCTGAGTGCCTTGGGTTCTGGTCAGGCATATAAAGTGGTGTTGCACCGCTGGAAGTGCGTCAACTGCCACATACCCCAACGCCAAGATGAACGCGATGGACAGAAAGGACAAGGAAGATGGCGCTCCCGTGCCGACTGATGAGGTTGAGGAGGTTCTCAAAACTGCGCCTCAAGCTCGTGATTATTCGGGTGCGCACGAAAAGACAGATCCTCGAGAGATTGCTCTTGTCAAGAAGCTGGACTGGTGGATTATGCCGATCCTATGGTTAATGTACTGGCTAAACTACCTGGTAAGTACCTTGAGCTTTTAATCTGATCGAAAAATTGACACATCAAGGACCGTAATGCCATTGCTCTAGCCCGCCTCAACACCATCGAAAAAGACCTCAAACTCACAGGCACACAATACCAAACATGCGTCTCCATTCTCTTCGCAGGCTATGTTATCGTCGGTATCCCAGCTAACATGGTCGTTACCCGCGTGAGACCCAGTATCTGGATGGCATCTTGTATGACTGTCTGGGCTGTTATCAGTGGCCTTACAGCACTCAGCCGAAACTACACAGGATTATTGCTTACGCGATTCTTCCTTGGTATCTCTGAGGCGCCGTATTATCCAGGTGCATTGTATATCCTGGCTAGGTTCTATACGCGAAAGGAACTTGCTACGCGTATCTCGATTCTTTACACTGGAAATATCCTAGCTACTGCGTTTGCTGGACTAATTGCTTTGGGCATTTTTGAGATGGACGGAATGGTATGTTTACACGATCAAGATGATTCGCAGATACTAATAATTCCAGGCCAATCTCGCTGGCTGGCAATGGCTTTTCATAATCCAAGGCGCAGTAACCCTCCTCGTTGCCCTAGCAGGCTTCTTCATCCTCCCCGACGAGCCCCTCACAACACGCTGGCTCACACCCCAAGAACAAATCCTCGCCAACGAGCGCACTCAACGAGACACGGTCGGAAACTCAGGCGAATCTACCAGCTGGACAGGTATACTCTCTGCTGCCAAGGACCCCAAGGTGTGGCTGTTTGTGGTGATGCAGCACTGCCATCTTGGAGCCAATGGATTCAAGAACTTCTTTCCTACAGCTGTTAAGACGTTGGGTTTTAATCAGACTATTACGCTTGTTTTGACGTGTCCGCCTTATTTAATTGCGGGTGCGATTTCGATTGCTTGGTCTTGGTCTTCGGGACGATTCAATGAGAGAACTTGGTGAGTTGCTGTCCTATCTTGTTGGCGAATTATGTCTGACTGAGTAGGCACATTACTATTGCAAAAGCTGTTGCTGTATTTGGCTTCATTCTTGGATGCGCTACCCTCAACACAGGCGCTCGATATTGTAAGCCCCCCCAAGCTATCTCAGCGCCATTACTAATTAAGTATACAGTCGCCATGTGTGTCTTCTCGATCGGCACCTACGCCGTCAATAGCATCATCCTCGGCTGGGTATCAGCGACTTGCTCTCAGACCAAAGAGAAGAAAGCATGTTCGCTCGCCATCGTCAACTGTATCGCTGTAGCATCTTTTATCTGGACGCCGTACATGTGGCCTTCCTCTGACGAGCCTCGGTACACCATGGCTATGTCCTCAAGTGCTGCGCTGAGTGTGGCGACTGCCATTGGAGCTTGGGGTATGAGATTCTGGTTGATGCAGGAGAACAAGAAGATCCGGCAATCTGAGGACGAGGGTACTTTGTACTACGCTTATTAAGAAGCGAAGGTGGAGGCTTGACAGCGAAGAGGCAATACCGATGCTTGTGAGACGGCATAAGTCAACGTCGATAAGCACCGATATTTGTACTTGGACCAGATTGACCAGATCATAAGCCATTTGGTGTTCTTAGAAGTCAGACACCATAAACAGATCTTGATCGTGATATCACAAATGAAGGGCTTACACACAGACCCAGACATGGTTCAAGTAACATCAATTCGTGATTTGTATCGTAACTAAGTCATCTATAGTAGTTTATTCCCTGCGATACTCGACCTCATTGGCCTCCTCCTTCACATCAGCCTTCTCATCCCTCGCCATGATAGCCTCAGTATCAGGCGCAAGCTTATTTCCATAGCGACCAATCTTGTACCAAGGCAGAGAGAACAACTCATCAGTGCTCTCAAGCGATCGACCAGCCATCTCAGGAACAAAGAAGAAGACCCAAATAAGACCCAGCAGACAAACAGCCGCGCAGAAGAAGAAGAATCCAGTGCTAGTCATCTGAAGGAGCATAAGAGGAACAGCCTTGGTGTTGCCGTACTGGTTGGCAAAGTGAAGACACATGGTAATTGAACTACCGAGGGCTCGAAGACGGAGAGGCCAGATCTCAGCGTTGACGAGGTACTGGAAGGAGTTCCAGCCCATGGTCCAACCGACACCGGACATGTAGAGCATCACGACTGCACCAACACCAGCATGCTTCTGCGAGGGTGTCAAGGTCCCGTTCTCGAGAGCTTCAGTACCGACGATAGCGAGGAAGATGGCGATGTAAAGAATGGAGATCATCTGAAGCGTAATACCGCCGTACAATGATCGTCGTCGTCCGATGAAGTCAACCAGGAAGAAAGCGCAGAGGTACGCAGAGGTAAGCTTCACAACACCAAGAATACAGGTAGCGAAGAGCTTCTCAGATTGTCCAGTCTTTCCAAGAACACCAAAGAACTCAACGGCATAGATAGTGATGGCGCTGGCGCCGGACCATTGACCGAGAAGCTGGGCCATGAAACCGAGCATAAGACGGTACCGGTTGGCGGGGATAGTGAGAAGCTCGCGAAGCTTGCCCCATCTTGACACGCCGAGGAAGGCCTCTTGTTCACGCTCGAGTTGTTCTTGGATACCATAGAGTTCAGCTTGGACGAAGGGGTGTGTTTCGGGGAGTTGGCGGAGTTTGCAGAGGGCTTTTGTGCTCTCTTCGTTTCGGCCTTTCATGGTGAGCCATCGGGGGGTTTCGGGGACGGTGAAGGATAGAAGAAGGAGCAAGCTGCAAAGGAGTGATTAGTTAGAGCGCGATACCTGAGGAGCTTGGTGGAAACTTACCTTGAGAAGCCGATGTGGCACATCTGAGGATCTACCCACTGCCATCGCGACGTGTTGGGAAGATTGATAGAAGCGCCCCAGTTGCTGAAGTACGCAATCATAACACCAAGGTACACCGAACCAGCAAAAATATTGGTAAGCATACCACGAATAGCTCGTGGAGCAGTCTCAGCAAGATACGTAGGACCAACAACGACTGTCATACCGATACCAAGACCAGCGATAAATCGCCCAGCAAGGATCTGACCAACACTTCCATGACTGGTAACAACAATAATGAATCCAACAAGCCACAGCAGACAAAGAACCTGGAGCGATCGCACACGACCGATCTTGTCGCAGATGAAGAAAGCCAACAGTGAACCAGCGATGGAACCGATTTGGACCATACTGGTGATGTTGGACTCAACTTGGGCTTGGTGCTGTTTTGAGCCCTCGTCAAGGTCGAATTCTTCCTGGAAGCTCTTGAGATTGACCATGCCTCCGACAAGACCTTCATCAAGACCACGACTAGCACCGAGAATACCTTGAAACTGTCAGCACAAGAAAGACCGAACAAGAGGGAGATGACTTACCAAAGACAAAAGTGCTCCAGTAAAGACGCCAGTTGAGCACCTCGCTAGGCGTCTCCGCCATAGCGGCCTGGTTACCAAGAGTGAACTTCATTGTGGCAGAGAAACTTGACAAGAGATCAACCAACTACTCAGCTTAGCTTCTGAGAGTGAAAGCAACAAAGAGAGGAAGCCCATTTATAAGATTCAGAGCTCGGACAAGTGTCCGCCGAGTTAATACAACGTAGTAAATTGGCCCCATGGGCAAAGACGGAGAATTCCTGCTAATGATTTAACGAGTAGATGATTGGTCAACCCCGCAGCACTACGGATATCTCGTGCCGATTGTGGAGTCTGGACGACTCCAACGGCCCTTTTTTTGATGCGGAGATAGTTCTGTTCCCCGCATCTCCCACTTTCTTATCTTTGTCTTTACTCATTACCTTCATCAAGAGGATATATACCGAGTCTGAGAGAAGGTACTGACATGGCTTCTCTTTCTTCAACCTCTATGTTCTGCTTGTATTACTTGTTGCGAGGATTTATTGACTACGGACATTAAACCTTCCCCAAGCAAAATAACCTCCCGGTCGCACCCTCGCCCTCCCTTCCAGAACTTTTGTCAGTGTTAGTGATCAGCACGGCTAACCGGCACCGTAGAAGGCACACGGAATCCACCTCTTCCTCGTTTACGAGCCAACCCTCAATCCAAAATAATTCCCTCTCTCATTTACAGTAAACTAGGCGAACTCTAGCCGTCGTGTGCCCCGCAAGGACTAACGGTGTAGTCGTGGGGATTCCCTGTGGAAATGACTCGCTTGGGGAACACATACACAGGTTTGTGTGAAGTTGCGGAGAAGGTGCGTTATGCTTAATGATGCAGTGATGATCTTCTTAGCACTATGGATTGCTAGTTCTTGACTTCCTCGGTCAACTTCCACCTTGTTGTTTCCTCAGTCTATTAATCTGGAAGCAAAAGTAGCGCCGGAAAGCCCGGATTGAGTTTCTCCGTGCCTCCATCGCCAGTTTTACCCCAGTGTCGGAACGCAGATCGTTATGAGGCCCCGAGATCTATTTGCTTAGCGCGAGCAGTAAGTGGCGAGTGTTCCAAGGAACAGAGTTGTGCTAAGATTGACCCTGCTCTCATTGGATTAATGTTATCTAGGCACACTGTCCTACCCCAGGTTCCGGCAATCTGCTCAAGCAGTATGGCGAATACTGTTAGCGCGATCGATCTTATCTTCTCCTTCAGAAGAGCTTGTCTGTAGCATATTGCGGCAAGGATCAAGTTACTCAGGGAAAGCGATGGCAGTTTTCGTGTCTTTTCCAATGTCCACTATTTCTATTGTCCCTGCCTCTTGGTTCCCTTCGCCCAACACTCCCAAAAGGATCCACTACTATGTCGCTATCTCGTCTGCAGCCGACATTGACATACCTAGAGATTCAAACTAGAAGCTTTACTGCTCTGGCTTAGTCGCGTATACAGACCAACTATGATTTGTTAGCCTAACCATCCGACCCACGATATAATGTGGGAACGTACATATGACAGTACGCATGGATCTTCAAATTCTTAAGATCCTTCCGAACGTCTGTGAGGAAGATCTCGACCTCCTCCACACTCCAGCCAAGACCGCCCTCACTCTTGGGACGTGTAAAAGCAGCAAGACTGCCAGCCGCCAGACCGTTCATTCCATTCTCATAAGACCATATCCCTGCATCGAGTTAGCATCAGGATAAAGACAGCTTGTAGTATGACTAACCAAGTTGCTTATACTTCGGATCCCTTGGCCACGCGTTCAAAGGCCACTTTCGCTTGACCACTTCAACGTTAGTAAAGCCAGCTTCTTCAAGCTGGTCCTTGTACCTCAGAGCACTGTCCAGACCAGATCCCATTGCGGTAAAAGCATCGAGAAGCATCTTGGACCATTTGTATAGGGCTGAGTCTTTGGGGAGGGTGTCGTCGTCTGATGTCATTGGGTAGATGCAGTCGATCAGTTCGATCACGCCACCAGACTCGAGGTTCCTAAACGGATGTGGTTAGCTATGGCCCTAAGCCAGCGGGTGGTTGGTGTGCTGGCTAACTCATAGCTCTGCTTGAAGAACTTGGGCCAGTCGCGAATGGACCCGGTAAGGAAACGAGCGAAGATAAAATCGAACTTGGCAGAGTAATCCCAGGACTCCTCGACGTCGTCCACGTAGAAAGTCACGTTTGGTGGAATACTATCAAATTGTCAGTAAATTAATCTGTTATGGAACTTGGAATCATCTGTCTCATACGCCGAAGGCTGAATTGGGCTCAAGTCGGCTCCGATGACCTAAAATAATTAGAGAAAGTCGTCCAATGTCGTTGCTTCCGAAACAAACCTGAGTTTCCGGGTGCTCATCCGCTATGCTGAGGTTAGTATACATATAAACCAAAAATACGTTGGCTTTACCCACCGAACTCGATAGACCAGATTCCCGTGCCGCATCCAACATCGAACACGCGATCGAGCTTCTCGGGCAGGGGAGCCGCATGCAATTTTCCGTCGAATGTGAGAAGCATGAGATGATGCTGCAAGTCTGTAGGATATATGTTAGATACGATTTTAGAAGCAACAGGGTTAGTGTACCTAATCGTTCATTCTCAACCTAGTTAATCCCAGTTAGCAGATTATTAGGATAGATAGAGTACAGATTCCACTATACCTCATCATTAGGAAGCGCATAAGCTGAGAAATATATTGGATTAGTAGTTTCGCCAGTTTTGTCACTCGTCCTGAGATTTACCTCCGTCTTTGTATGCATGGTACGTCCTTCCGTTCTCCTCACGGTATTTCATGATGCTTGACTTTAGTGATGTGCTGTCACTGAAGGCATCCTGTGACGGTTAGATGTAGTCGTCTTGGGATTTGGAGCCATACTCACTCCCCCAAGTGCCGAGTCACCATCATCAATAACGCTACTTGCGACCTAGAAGTGGGTAAGACTCGTCGCATGAACTTTCTGATCGCGGCTGCGGGATACTCACGTTATCGTCAGCGACGATGGTCTCTTCGTGAGGTGTGACGGCCATTGCAGTTCTTCGAGATAAGATTTCTCAAAAATTAATAGATGATCAGGTTATGTGTGGTGATTCAAGATACCAATTGATAAAAAAGAGATCTGTTATCCGCAAGCGATATGCATCATGCCACCAAAAATCACGTGGGACCTTGAAAGATGGAAGTCTCGTCCTATAGGACCAGTTACCGCAAGCGACCTTCTGAATACGGTAGAATGCGCCATTTATCCACTTACTGAGCCGGGTTCCCCTCTATTTTCGGATGAACGTATGCAGCATGATGCTGTTATGAAGAATTTTGTCATTTATTATTGGATGGGAAAACGTTGTTGGTTCGTTCCTTCGGAGAATAAGTCGAAACGGTCAACTATTCCCGGACGCGAGTCAACTTGTGGAAACTCGCAAACGCCGCAGTGTAGACGAGTGAAACTTTAGCGAGTAAAGAGCTGCAGCAGTAAATATCAAGCATGTATTGATTTCTGTACTACTGAACATCTGTAAGTTATTACTGCGTGGGATACTAGATTTTGGTATTCATCACCAATTTGCATAAGACAAGCCCATCATCCTCCAATCAACGAAATCAGCGTGCCTACCTGCGAAGTCACTCCTAGTGTTGCATCTCGCGCTCTATCAGAGCGAGTAATACTCGTCAGTGATCCATTCTGGCGTAGCCCCCACGCCAACATCAGCATCATACCACCGGCCACTGGTAATTTGGTCATGGCGCCCGGATGCTTCATGCCTCAAACCGGTCTGGACAACGGCCTTTTGCACTAATGGCGTAGGATCCCAGACGCTGACATGCTGGAGACGCCACTCAGCTGCGGCAACCTGAGCAGCTTTGACCACAGATTCCAGGGTGTTCAGTTGATCAGCTGGAATCTCTCTCGGTGCTGTCGACGTTCAGCTGACCTCTGGTGTCGTCTCCCTCAACAGCCAGCCGCAAAATGTAAAGTACATTGCTAGCATCTGTCGAGTCTGGATGCCCAAAATAACGATAATACCAGATGGTCCATACCTGGCTCCCAGGCGGGCCTGCAATGCATCCCTTGACCTTTGGGATACGACCAAAGAGATGTTTGGTGGCAAAGTCCACCTTCCTGATGAGGAACAGCATGTGTTCAGTATTGGGTGCAATGGTGAATCGTCTTTTCTCACAAGGATTGCCCATGGCAGCGCGATCCATAGCTTCATTCCGCTCACACAGTGATGCGATGTCACCTTCCAGGATGTCTTAGACAGAAGTTGGCTTCACACCGTTGACGGAAGGGAATACAAGCTGCGACTGCTTTGGGTCAGGCAGCCATCTAAGGACCGACATCCATTTACTGCCAATGTCGGAATATAGGATGGAGCCGACAGTGACACCCTCTTCGGACTCCCATTCGCGGAGAACTTTGTGCATCTCTCGAAAGTAACGAGAGTCGTAGGCTCGTCGGCGGTACTCCTCAGGACAGGAGACACTTGCGATACCATGGACAACAGCATCTTTCACGTTGCCGTCATAGTCGTTCTCGATGGCACGCTTGAGAAGGGTTTCGCCCGCGCAAAGAATTGGTCACTCATTTGGCGAAAGACCTTTGTCGACGAGATTTCAGTATGTCATCCGTGCATCAGTGGCTAGGGGTACAGTGGCGAGGTCTTCGGATTCTTGGAGGAACGCATGGACAGGGATTGAGTCCTCCCAAGCAGAAGAAGTCCCTTTCCAGATCTTGACGCGCTCCTCAGCAGTTGGATGAACAAGTCCCAGATTGGGATCACATGAATGGCGCGTGTCCGATGAGCTCATCGTGAAGGGCAGTATGAAGTGAAAAGTGATGAAGATAGTGAGAGTTCCCTGGTGCTCGAGTGATGAGGTTGGTTGTTAAGGGTGTCCCGATCGAGAGATCAAGGGTGGTTTTGTTGCGAGAGGGAGGTTACTTAGTGGTAAGAAAGTGGTGGAGGTGCTGTGCACAGGTCAAGCCTGCAATTGTAACTGTGGCCTCTGTGTATGGTGGTTTCGTTGGAGTCGTCGAGCTGAAGGCTGATGTCTCTTGTAGGTGGTCGACGTCGTGAGAAGGAAGAGGGAAAACCCAGATGGAAATAAGTACTGCATTTTATACCCAGCTGAGACCTTGTGTCATTTGGGCAAGGTTGAGAGAAAACAAGGAGGGTCCGGTGTGAGCATTGGAGTCATCTAGTCGGGGTATGCTTATGACACATCTAGTGATGAGATGCCCGGCAATGCGTATACAATAAAACAAGAATTATACGCAGGAACTGCCATTCGACAGCTATCTTTTCTGATGAACCTTATCCTAACAAGGTCCGAACCAAGGTTATCGTGAGTCTTCTGGAACAACGACACGATGTATGTATAGAAGTGGGGTCATAATGATTTAAAAAGTGCAATTCAAGATGGAAACCTTATTATTAGGTAACTGACCTCATTCGATACTGGAGGCCCTGTAGGCTGTACGCCATCTGAAAGCAATCACGTCGTGAATCACTTCCGGTTCTCGCTCCACCACAAAAGATCTTCAGCCACCTATAAGAGTCAACGAGAAGTAAATGACCCATTCAATATCTGTGTCGCCCCGAACGCAAGCAGGCTCTGAACTACATCATCAATATGTAATCACATACAGTCATGCCTTTTCACCTGCGTTGGCGTAGCTCATCCTACCTAGGACCGTTTGGAAGACGTTGGTTTAAAGTTTTCAGCCGCCTAGTTTCAACCAGTATCCCGTGACTCTACAGTCAAGACTCGAGTCCTAGATCGTGTACTAAAAAGCCGCCACCTGCTCTATCATAGTAGAGATATGAGATCTAAAAACACAGATCAAAGGTCGTTGAAGTCGAAAGGTACCAAAGTTGCAGGGTACATGTCTGGTAGTAAGTCACTTCCATACATGAAATTCTCTTCCCAGTTGACTTCGCTCGACGACGCATGGGCAACATCGTCATCGGCCAGAGGGTGCAGAAAGTCGGTGGTAACATGTATGCTCACGTGCGATTGACTTTCCGGAGGCGACCCGTGATTGTCGCTGGGCAATGCAGCTTCGTGAACGATAGGATCGAGAAGCTCCCATATCATAGAAGGGGAAAAGCTGATCGTTGTATCAGTGATGCCTACCTCCGCTTGAGGTCCTATAACAAGTGATTGTAGTCGGCTGAGACTCTTAAGCTAGTGTCTACGTCAGCAATGGCTCACATCTTTTAACAACGGGTACTTCTCCATACCTTGTGAGACACACATGGCCAAGTTTGCGACAAGTGCTCAAGGAACCTTTGTGCCTTGGCCAGATTCTGAGCAGCTTTCCGAGCCACCTTGCTATTCCTTACGAACTGATAAAGCCATGGAATGGTAGACGTCGCTGCGACGGCTAATCCGATGAGCGGATTGGATATTTCAATAGACAAATCCTCAAATATGCCAATGAGCCAAAACACCCAGCCAGAGTGGAACAAGGCCTGATCCACTACCTGCTGTAAGAACAGCCTAGATTGTCTTATTCCTTTATTGCGACGCAGAGCAACGAGATGAATGAAAGGATGGTTTAGCAGCGCAAGCGACGCATGTAGAATGACATGTGTCGTCAACCACGGATTCCAGTAGTGACGGTAAGCCAATATCTCATTCCGCTGTCGCTTGAAAGGGAAAAGGCTCCTCATTAAATGTTTCTGGTGAAATTGGGCTTCATACTCAAATAGTGAGAGATTGAGCTTGGAGTATGTTGACTCAGGCAGCCAAGGTATCTGAACCTTTCCCACCCTGATCTCATGAAGGTGACAGGCGACTTGACTCCAAACGGCAATCATCCTCCCGGCGTGGGTATTGATACCGATATCGTTGGTCGCGCCAACTGCATTGTCAAAATCCAGAGCATTGGCCTCGTTGGTATCAAGAGGTATCGGAGGTGGGGGTTCCGAGCTGGATGGATGCTTGCAATTCGAATCAGACTCAGGAGCCCGTGGCATATGTGGAAAGAAGATAGCTTCAATCATGTAGATGGACCAATAACACCTGTTCTCCTCGTCCTGTTCCTCGATGTCTGTCATCTCGTGCTGTCGGAGCTTACGTATGCTCTCCAGCCGAGTCGCTGTACCAATGGACATCCAAGCTCGGGAGAGCTCGCTCTCTGCGAAAATGTGAGTATTAGGTCTAGAAGTCTATTATGTGGCATTTTACCAGCGATGTATTTCAGTGCCAACATGCATAAAGCCTGGATGACTTGTACCCGAGGCTTTCCTTCGGCAGCGAGGCGCTGCATGGTAGTTGCTGCAGAGCGGCTGTAGAATTTGAGGGCTACCTTGTGAGTCTTGTGGTAGAAACCATGTGTTGAGAACGCGAGCATGAGTGCTAAGAAGCTGTGCACGAAGTACTGGGGAGCATTCTGCAGTTTTGCTTTTAGGCTATCGAGCTCAAATAGAGGGAGAGGTTGTAAGTGGACTGTTGTTTCGTACATTCGTACGAAGTGATCCAGAACACTCTGGGGAGGGTCGGGACTATGACATACGTTAGGATCGCATTTGCCGATGATCCATATCAATAAACGTTACTGGGTCTCTGAGAAGGTCATTGTGGGTGAAGAGGAACCCCTGTTTTGACTTGTGCAAGCTTGTGGCTGTGCTTGTGCACTAGCCTGAACATCTTCGCCATCGTTTGACCTACCGACAACCAGTCAACTGCGAGGGCACCGATAAGTATTTAAAGCATCACGGACCTGAGTAACTCGGACAGGGCAGCAACCTGCGCTTCAAGCGTTCGAACTCTGTCTTTTGTAGATTGTCTGTAATAGCGGTAAGTGCCAGCTTCCAAAATCAGCGCTGATGAAGACTAACCTCTGGCTCTTTTGTGATCGGATAGATTTATCTTGTACCGAACTGCCTCTCAAGGCATACTCACACGGCAAATGGAGTCGCTCACAAAATGAACAAACGGGTCGCTCTCCAGTACATTTAGATTTCTTTCGGCTGTGGACAATTATAGTTAGCAGGAACACTCTGATGTTGACCAATGTACTTACCGACAGGGCTCACATGCCTGTCGGCTTCGGCGTGGTTGAGTCCCTGAGGCTGATTTCATCGTGCTGTTTGCTGATAGGAAGAGAAGAAGAAACTCCGCGGAGTTTGACTAAGGGCTTCAAGCACGTCAATTGTCAGTTCCTACCAATGACATTGTCCGGGTTGAACAGAGTGGGTCTCACATGGTCGGTGGTTTTCTGACACTACCAGCCGTCTCCGTCCACGTGAGCTCAGAGTCGCGGTTATGATTGGACAGACGACCAGTGAAAATTGTCAAGGAATCTTCCGCGGAAATTTACTTCAGTTCCGGCTTGAGGAGGAGTAGTAAGACTATAAAAACTCGAGATAGAAATTGATTATACATATACCGTCTTTTTTGTTCATAGTACTGCTCACCACCCTTTCACTAAAATGTCTAACCCAGAACTCATGAAAGCTGTCGTCTTCGACGGACCATACAAGGTCTCTGTGCAAGATAGACCAGTGCCTCAAAGTATGCAACCTACTCAGTCCACTAAACCTATACCAGCCATCTCTAACTTCCACCAGTTCAAAGTCCACAGGATGTTATTGTCAAGGTCAACATGACAGCTCTGTGCGGATCGTTAGTCTTCACACTCATCTCAGCCCATCGTCTCCCGGACTTTAACAATAGCCTAGGGAACTGCATCTCTACCGAGGAGTAGAGCCGACAAAGCCCGACTTCATTATGGGTCATGAGTTTACAGGCACCATTGTCGCTCTGGGCTCTGCTGTGAAATCCGTCAAGATTGGTGATAAGGTCGTATCACCGTTTACTGCTTCATGGTAGGAAACGAGCTTCCCCATGTTATCGCCTCCGAACTTATACTAACACATGGTGACAGTGGTCAATGCTACTACTGCCAAAATGGCGGCTCTGCGAGATGCGTCAACAGTCAAGCACTCGGCTCTCCAAATCTCGACGGAGCCCAGGCCGAATACGTCCGTGTCCCATTCGCAGACGGAACCATCATCAAAGCCCCGACAGGCATATCCGATCAAGCTCTAATTCTCATGGCTGACATTTTTCCAACTGGGTATTTTGGCGTTAACTCCGCGGTAGAAATGATGCCGAAGCTTGACTTGCAGGACGCGACTATCGTGGTGATAGGTTGCGGCCCTGTGGGGCTTTGCGCAGTTGTTGCTGCGGCTGCCCTGAAGCCAAAGCATTTATTTGCTGTGGACAGTGTTCAGGCCAGGCTAGACCAGGCAGCAAAGCTTGGAGCTGAACCTCTCAACTTCATGGAGGATAAGGCTGGAATGGTAGACCGTGTGAAGTCTGTGACTGGTGGCCGTGGTGCCGATATCGTGGTGGAAGTCGTTGGTCTATCACCAGCTCTCCGGACAGCGTTCGAGTTGGTTCGGTCATTTGGTGCTATAAGCAGCATCGGGGTTCATAACGCTGAGGTATGTCTGTTCGTATGTTGTTTGATACCGCAATGACCTAATTAGATACAGATCCCATGGTCAGGAAGTGAGGCTTACAAGTAAGTTGTCTCGAGCCACACCAACCACAGCGACGCTAACTGAGGGCAGCAAAAACGTTCGCTTACAGATGGGACGTTGTCCTGTAAGAAGCATCTTCCATGAAGCCATGGACGTCTTAAGGCAAGAACAAAGTTCTCTCGGGTATGTTCCTCAACATCAAGTGTTCTCCCCAATCTAGATCATCATCAGATGGTGGATAACGAGGTTTTAATCCCACTAACCTTGTATAGGTTCTTGTTCGATAACATTCTCCCACTTTCCGACGCAGTGAAAGGCTATGAGCTGTTCAATCAGTCTAAAGTTCAGAAGGTGATCTTCCGAACCTAAGCACATTTGCCAGGAACTACTCCAGGTACCCACATTTAGCCATCCATAGACCTTGAAGTCGAGGGAGTAGTCTTTCCTAATACAAGCTGTAACTTATAGCCCAAGAATATCTACTCGTAAAGTCAAGACGGCCATATCTACGTTCCAGAGAACGGTTCCTGCTAGAGGTACATAGTTGGTTGACATACACGGGTCGAAGACGCCAAAAAAAGTGATGACGGCCGCCAATGGAACTTGCAGACGATAACTCTACTTAGGGGCGATGGCCAACCAAATCTTATTGAGCGAATCTGGGCGTTTGATGCTATTGTTGTCGCCACCGGCCACTATAGCCTACGGCGTATTCCCGACGCCAAGGGGCTGGCAGGATGGAAGGCTCACTTTGGCGATGCTGTTATACACTCCAAACAGTACCGTCGCCCAGAGCAGTTCACTGGCAAAAAAGTGCTTGTTATTGGCGGAGGAGCTTCTGCGTATGATGTCTGTCGCAAGACAAGCGAAATGGCCAATAAAGTCATCCATAGCACCAGAGGAGGCGACTTTGAACTGCCTCAAGCAATGTTTCCTCAGAACGTAGAGCATGTTGGAGGCATTGAGGAGTTCGTATTGGAAAGAAATGAGACAATCGGCTCAGTGAAGGGCCACATCCCATTGACCAACGGCCAGAGGCTTTACGACGTCGAAAGCGTTGTTCTGGCCACTGGGTATATCACTTCATATCCATTCCTTCAGCAATACCGTCGCGATGATGTAGCTGTTGACGGTGCTACACGGGATATACTCGTCACATCAGAAGGGAACATGGTGCATAACCTCCACAAAGACATCTTCTATATAGAAGACTCGTCACTATCATTTATCGGCGTACTTTATCACAATGTGACCTTCTCACTCTTCGACTTCCAAGCACAATGACTGGAAGGAGAAGCGAAAGCTATTGAGGGTAGCCGAGGGTACTAAGCCTGGTGCGCTGTGGGCTAGACTTAGTGATCTAGCAAAAGCCTAATCAACTATCCACCTGCATGCTTATGATCTTTCAGGGTTTGTTTCACGTTTGGTGAAGTCGGAAATCTATTTCCCGGTTCGTTGAACCAGCAGAGAGTGATGAAGGTGGCAGTGAAACCAGAGAGGAAAGACCAAGACCAAAGCAGATGTCGGTTCTACCAGGTCTATTACGCGTAGCCTTCTGTTAGTATTGGTCGCTCACTTGGCAGTGTTATCGTGTTGTCAAGTTGAAGGCCTAGACAAGTTAGTTCCTCTAGGGTAAGGGTTTCCTTAACATTCGTCACACCAGAGGCGGCGCTGTGGAGACACTTGACGTTGCTTTTCAGCTGTTCTTGGGGCATGGAATCACTGTGAACGATAGCGTTTAGATGGTACAACAGTCAAGTGCTGTCTTTTGTTCTTGCTGTACTGCTACGGGAGGTTTTTGAATCAGGTCGCTCGATGGCTCGGTTATCAACGGTCGATAAGATGAAATAAGATAAGATAACCACTGTGCATTGGTGGAAGCGGGGTAACGTGTGATGGGCATGATTCCGCATAAAGCTGAATCAGATGGGTCATCGACGCCAAGGCCAGTTGTTATCTGAACCATGTGTTTTGACAACTCTCTGAGCAAACTATATCCCTTGGTGGGAATGTACCAATACTCCAATATACTTCTTGAGAAAGATATAAGGTAGTGGAATCGACGCAAACTTCCTCGCAGTCTCAGTTAAAGCAGTACTCTTTGAAGCATGCCTTGCACCCTTTAGGCAACTTCCCATCCTGCTTCTTCATTATACCACACGCCAGGCACAGCGGCCAGTTATCCTTGCCACCATAGTTACCCACTTCCACGCCGTTATCGATCATTCCCACCGTTTCGTTCTTGAAATACTGGATCTTCGAAGTTGGCTGGCCACTTTCGAAAGTATAGTTGAAGTTGGGAATATAGATGATAGTAACGACATCCTTCTTATTACAGCCGAAAAGGACCGGCTTCTGATTCAACTTCTTGGCCACAAATGTCTCAGAGGATGGAATAGTAGGCATGCGTTTCAGCCCTGCCGCCACAGCTGCTTTGTAGGTGTTCACAATCTGTGTACCGTTGGGATAATTGTCCTTCGTATCGGCAGAGTTCTCATTGACAATGATCACGTCCACATCCGACCTGTACAAGAATGGCCAGATCGGGTTGCCCTGGTAGCCGACGCCAACACCACCATCTACTAGCTCCAGAGTTGAGAGAGAAGAAACCTCGGGGGACTTGTGACGTCCCTGGAACGGATTGGGAATTAGGCCGAAGCTCTGGCGCACAGAGACCTCGTCCTTTCCTGAGCCAGGTGGAGACACCAAAGCGGCAAAATTCTCAACTAGTGTGGCAGCTGCGGAATTATTGGCCGCGATAGGTTCACAGCCTGCTGCAAAGACGTTGGAGGATATACCAAGCACGTAAGCGAGCTGGTCATAGTTGGTAATGCAGCGCTTGGTAGGATGGCCATTAGAGAACGACGTCCCGATATACTTGGAGACGGCAAAGGCCGCAACTCCAGCATCCCAAGATCCAAACTCGTAGGGATGGAACTCGTACTGCGTCGCATTTCTATCTGGAATGCACGACCCAGTCTCGAGACCAAGAGCTGTGATGATCGGGTATGGCGCCAGGTGGTTCTTGAAACTAGAGGTCTGCGCGATACTGGACATTGTGTTGCGCACTCCCCCGTTGGGGCCGTCTAGCAGGCCATACGCGAGTAGCCGGCCCCAAGGATCAATGATGGTTGGTTCAAAGCCAGCCTTCTCCTTCGCCTTTACATCTGCTCTGACCGTATCATAAACGGATTTCTTCTCAGACGAAGCCAGAATGCTAGTGACGAGAAGACTGTCCTCAAGTGCTTCTTCCCACAGGCTCTTCTGCAGCGAGCTGACTGTGGAGTAGTTGTTGCTTGCAAGCGATGATAAAAGCCATGAACCGCCTGAGAGACCTGCTTCGTAGGTGAGCGCTTGGTAGAGTCCACTGACACCTGTCTTGATTTTCTCGCGTCCATCGAAGGCCTTGACAACACCGGCACCACTAAGCATAGCCCTGTATCCGCCGCCGCTGGAAGTGAGAGCAATTACGGGAGCCTTGGCGCCATTTCCGTCGTCATATCCAGACCATCCTCTGGTAGCTTCGTCGAAGCTCTTGTCGACGGATTTCAACCAGGTCTTCAAAGCAGCGGAAGCCTTGCGATGTCTCTGGGTGACGAAACTGGACTCAGAAGCACTGACGCCTTTAGCGTCTCTGACTAGTGGCGTAGAGGGACATGATGCGTGCTTGGGCGCGTAGGCAGATCTGGATGGGGGGATTGACGATCCTGTAACGACTATGACACCGGACAGGCAGGCGACGAGGGTGGTGAAGGACACCATGACTGAACCTCAGTAATGTGTGATTGAGAAGGAACCTGATATTGCATGGTACAGAGTGTCGTGCCGGCCGAGCGATGAAATAATATATGTAAGGCTCCAACACGTGTGGCGATCGTATGGACTAGAAGATGCCCGCATTTCCTTGGACATTAAATGGATTGGTCAAGTTACCCTTGCAATGTTGCAATCACTAGAAAAGGTTTGGACTTTTATGAACCTTCTCTTCTGGGGATAACGCGTTACTAGTGTGCCGAGGTAGTGGCGGAAATTCAACTTCAAGTTGTACAGTGTAAGATACAAGATACAAAACATAAGCCCCGTAGGCTACAACCTTTAACTCTTCAGTAGATAACTGTTTTATTAGTACTTCAGCCTCTATTGCATGATACCTCATACTGACCGGACCTGCAGTTCATCCACCTCGCTTTATAGTGCGGAGTAATTTTCGGAAGTTTATATACACAACGGAAGTGCAGAACGATAACCCTGAGCAAAAACCCGAATTGGACTAGCGCGGATATATAGTATCGGAAGAATTACCAGATCGATAAGCTATAGAATGCGGGGTACCACGGGTGGTTGGTTTGTGATCTTAACATCAGGAAGGATAGTTAGGGTTACTGCCATCAATCGCTTCAAGAAACTGATGGGTCTAGCCAATTGTCTCCAATGAATAGTCTGTGTGTAATAGAGTTTAATCACTGATAGAAATACCTAAATGCAAGCTAAGAACAGAATAATATATCTGTATGTACTCTTAAAAAGCAGCCCGACGTTGTAGTAATAGACTTCTTTCCTCCTTAGTGTTTGAAAGGCTGGCATGTTTAAGCTACCTCACTGTGCTTAAGCCAAGCAAGCCGGCTTGGTAAATTGTTGAAACAATCCTCAATTCTGTGGTAGTTGGTGCAATTTACACTTAGTCTACCTTCTTATCGCCAAGTACACGTCTTGGGTCATTGGTAGACTAAAACATCCGAGGTTGTACTTACTTAACAATGTTAACGATCTGCATCTCGCTTACTGGCCCCTAAGCCTCTGAGGAGTCAGCATCACTAACCTCATAGTATTAATCTAATCCTGTTTAAGTGTTTTACAATTGAAAAGTTTCCCACAAAGTGCAGCTTTAGCAATAGCAATCCGTCCACGTTCATAAGGTCGTCCTTTAGTTAGCCACCAGAACGCCGTTCGTCCCTTCCACCTCGAATGGATATGACCTTGATCTAAACCAAGGAGAAGCTCAACTAGATTATTATCCCCGTGTCGAATAGTCCACCAGAAAGGTGATTCATTATCATCGTCGGTGTACTTGTGAATATCAACCTTTCCTGTGTTAAGAATCAAGCTTGCGATGTCTCTCTTACTCCGTGTGACACACCACCAGAGTGGGGTTTCGCCAGTATCGTTCTTGATGGATAAATCGATGTCACACATCCTAAGGAGCAGCTCTACCATTTTGTACCTCTTTAAATCTATTTCCTTTCTTTGCTGATGTAGAGAAAAAGAGGTAGTATATGATAGAGTTGCTTTTAGATATATGTTCTCTAAAGCTAACCACAAGGCTGCTTCAGGCCAATCGTCAGTGGTGCTCCAGATTCCATTGTCTGACTGTAGAATAAACTGCGCCAACTCGAACTCATTAACTCTGACGCACTGTATGAGGATGTTTGACGGTATACCGTCTCCATAGAGGCTTCTGAGAAGAATGATGGCTGTATCATGCCTGATATAAGGATACATGATCTCGTCGATATCGGTATGTCTCAGAGCCTCTACAATATCAGATCGACCGTTCCTCGCGGCTATGAGTAATGGATAATCTCCTTCTGAATCTTCAACATCGGGGGAAACGCCGTGTGAGATCAGAAGCTTTACCACAGACCCTAGTCCTTGCTTTGTGGCCACAATGATCGCCTCGACGTCTTCATATTCATCCTCCTCGTACTCAGGATAGTCAATATTAAAGTCCTTCACTACACCGGGAATCTTGTGTGTGTTGGCTCCTGCTTTCAACAAGGCCGATATGATCTCATAAACAGGTGTCTCATGATCATTCTGGCCTGATGCGACCAAAGTCTGGACAGCAAAGAAGACGGCACCATCGAGACAAACTTTCCTGGCGATCAGATCGCTCAAAAGAAGCATGTCAAGGTTGCCAATAGCATAAAATAGGAGTCCCTTCTCCGCCTTCGGGTCTGCACCAGCTTTAAGCAGAGATTGGATTGCTTCATGGGCTTTCGTCGACACAGCCACGCCCAAAGGTGTCTCCCCATCACTGTTTGTTGTATTTACATGACCCAGGAGGTCTACACTCTCTTCTAGATACTCAGTGTGAGCAGCTTTTCGAAGTAAAGAACCATCACTCGCCTGTAGGGAGATTGAATGCTCTATGAGCAACAAAGCTAGGTGTTCTTGGTTATCTCTGAGAGCAAGTAGGAGAGGAGTGTTTCCATAGCAGTCTCTAGCATTAAAGTCGACCGTGTGATGGTTGAGATACTCTCGGAGGGCGCTCCTTGACCCGAGACCCACAAGGATATGTGTAGCTGTTGCACCTGCAAAAGGCCAACCCATGGGTGCGTGACTATGATCAGGATCCATTTTCAGCCAGAGAGCTGAGAACCTCCTTACATGGGCTCGTTGATGCCATTCAGTAATTTCCAAGAGGTCGGTTTGTGTTATGTTACTTTCTTCCACAAGCTTGATGTGACGAAGGAGAAATGTGACGGCGTATGGTAACAAAGGAAAGTTGACTGAGAGTTCGTTCCGTGATAGTTCGCTGCTTTCAAGTATATCCCGTAGGACAATGTATCTTAGACAAGACCTGGAAATTTGAAAGTGGGCCGTCCTACCAATAGACTGAAGGCCTAGACCGACGTCGACCTCGATGAGGAATTCACGTAGAACAAAGTCTGCAGCAGACTGGTGAATAAACTGGGCCTCCCGGTCCCAGTCTTCGCCATTAGCTTGATACTTCTCCCAAATTTCTCGTGTCTGGAACTCCACCAAGCCGCGTGAGATATGTCGAACCCGAATCTCAAATTGAGATACAGTATCTGAATAGTTCGGGTGATCCCTCAATTGTGATGTCGCAGCAAGTTTCGTGTCTCAACTAGTAGCAAGGGCCTCACGAAGTTCGTGAGCAGATAAAGGCCGCTCAGAAAACAATACCCACTGGAACAGATTAACCATGTGGGCTCTCTCCTCGCCCTCGGCGCCTTTGAGGATAAATTTATAGATCTGCTGGAGGTCCATAGGGATGGTGGTAACCGCCTGATGGATATGAGCACTGTTCAAGCCGCGCAAAAGTTCATTGCGAATGATGTCCGTCGTCAGGATAGCCCACTGAAAGCCCCCCTGAGCTTTATCCAAGATGCCATCCTCGATCTGATGGCACTTGTCGTGCAAGTTGAAACGTCTGAGGCGATTTCGGACAACCAACTTGATGTCTTCACCATTCCTCTCCTCGGCAAGTAGTGTCGGCATGGTCTCGAGGCCCAAGATTGGATAATGTCTCGAGGAGAAGCATATTTTCAACAGGCCTTGTTCTTCGTCCACAATGCGCATAATATCGTTGAAGTACTGGAGCAGCCTCTTCGCATCGTGCTCTCCGCACTCATCCAATGCGTCCACATGTATCGTTACAGGGTGTGTATTTGTTCCTTGGCTTAGAACCTTGAACAGAAATTCTTCAAGCTCCGACTCTGTCCAGACCCACCCGTCTTTGCGTTCGTATGATCCGAAGCGTTCTTGCCTATGATTAAATCGTTGGGCAAGGTCTCTTAGGTAGCTAGGAATTGAACCAAGTAGGGAACTCAGTAATGCGCGATAAACACCTAACAGACTCCTTTGTAGTGGCACTCCACGCCCGTGGATGAAAAAGGATACTACAAAATCCGCTGGATATTTGCGTTGCATTGCCTCAACAGCGAACTTCATCAAAACAGACTTTCCAGTTCCAGGAGAACCCTTGATCCAGAAAAGGCCTCGAGGGGCTTTCAGCCAAGCCTGGTACTGTGGGTCTTCCACAAGCCATTCGCAGGTATTTTTGTCGTAACGGAGATGACTGTATCTGTGATCCTGTTCGGGGAACGCAAGAGATCGTAGGCAGCCTTCAGTAAATCAGCGCACCTCCAAGTGAATCTATGTTTCCAATCACGTACTCTTCTCGTCCTCTGATCTTGATACGATGGCTAACAGATGCGTTAGTGTGGTATTCAACTACATGAGGTTGTAACTACCCACGGTTATGCCCGATTTCAGTTCCTCCAGACCCCAGTAGGACTCGACAATCTGCTAACAAAGGCTTCAAGGCCAAAACCACCCATCTATATAGCTCGTCCTGTCGGCTGCTAAACTTGACAATCTCGGAGTGGTTGCGGTTGATGGGGTGCTGCCGAATGCTGCCACAATTCGCTGAAGACACTTCAACTAGTACCTCACTGGGGCCGCTCAGCTCCCATCTCCCTGGATGTACCTAGACCCACATTAGAGGATACAAAGGATTAAACAACTGACTACTCTATGCTCTCAAGATATCTATTATCATATGCGTCTGTAGAATAGTGACATCTTCAAGAATCGCTATTTGAGAGTCTTATGCTAGTTAAGAAATTCGCAAACATACCTCTTGAGCAGTAAAGGACCTCTCAGTCTCATAGAATGCGACTACCGAACAGCATCTTGTGTCTATTGCCATTTTAAATTCTCGCTGTAGACGAGAAAGAAGAGGGGAGTTCTTGCCAAGGGACTCCAGGAGCGCTCGGTTAGGCGAGTCCCTAATCATGGGGACTAGACACTCTACAGCGAGTCCCTGGTGAGGGACTCCAAAAAACATAAAGCCGGAGATCAAATCAAGCACAGATCTTTCGGATGAAACAGTATCTTGTGCGAATTGCACCATCGTCTAGATATCACACGGTCAGAAGGAAGAAAAGGGTTCTGCGCAATGTTCAACATACCTCTTTAACGAGAAGACCTCCAAGGCTATGTGCTATGAAGATTATAGGTCGAGGATGACTTGGGTCCTGAACCCTGTTAGACAAGCATAAATCTTGGTCTTAGTTCTTTCCATCCTTACCTGGATACCCTTTAGGTCAAGTTGTAAAGATCTTGCTAAGTCTGTTAGATTTTGGAAAGAACTGCTATTGACAATGGTGGTATCGTATCCGTAAGAGAGAATCCTCAGGTCTGGTTCATCCACAGGTAATCCGTCTCGAAGCCAGACAAATGGTCCGTTCCTTTGTTTGAATGAACCAAGGGCGTGGCCGCCAAGTCCAGTCACTGCAATTATACTCACAAAGGATCAGAATTGGCAAATATCAGTTTTTTGTTTTTGGTGACTTACTCGACATGACAGCTATCACTGTCCGCACGCTGCAAAGGCGTGAATCCTCTAAAGTGCGTGTCAAAAACAATGGAATTACTCAAATCCAGGTCCTCTCCATCTTTTAGGTGGAACGCCCATTCGTTTCTGGACTGGTCTAAGAAGCACTTTGGTATGTTAGAGAAGCTGAGTGTAGCTACCCTACTGGTATGGTCGCTCGGTGATACTGCCAAAGAATGGATGTTGATTCTTGTCGCTGAGTCGAGTTCTAGGTTTTCTTTGACAAGTTGTCGAACGCTGTCCTTCCTTTCATAACTAAGCGGGATGCCGCGGATTCTGAAGTTTGTATGGCTAGTGAGCGGCATAGCGGGGCTTGGCCTCTCAAATAAGATAGAGGAATACAGTCTAGTTCATGGAAGCCTTGAGGATAACATCGGGGGAGGTTTATTGTTCGGTGTCGCTGATTGGAAAATTGAGGGGAAAGGGTTTAGTGCTGACGGTTGGGTTGTAAAATGCCTTATGAGACAAGAGAGATCAGGCATCCATGCCTTGTTGCCCCTGCGGACGGACAGCAAGGCAGAAACGCACGAATTCGTGACTGGAAATGCAGCCAATCATTATAACTCACCCACGCCTCACTTTAAACCCTGCACATCACCAGATTTAAACAAGACGAATTGTCAGACAATCTCATGTATCGAGTCACTATGTAAGCGTTGTCTGATAATGAGAGGAAAGTTTAATTGATAGACTAAGACTAAGATAAGACTGTGAGGCTATATATAGGGATAGTATATTTTGTAAACTGCTACTGACGCGTAATATTCTTAGAGTGTAGATGCTAAACTTACCTCAAAGTCCAACTGCCCAGGATAGAAAGGAATTTGTGAGTTAAGTAACTTCCATCTTATAAAAGGGTTAGCGGAAGTTACCGCCGTCATTACAACGCGAAAGAGGAATGCCGCTCTGGTTCTTGATGCACATGGTAATAGCACCGGCAACCCAACTAACACCCTCATAAGATCCCTCGTCGTGGGAGTCAGCCATCCAAGTACCAATCTCTCACATAGAACCAACGCAGCCCTGGAAGACACGTCCGTATCGACGGTTGGTCCAGGGTCTGGTAATAACAACACCTGTCTCCCCACTGTAAACGGTGCCGCGGACCATGACGGTGGCTTGAGTCGTCCAGCTGCGCGAGTAGTTGATACCAAAGTTGGCACCGAGGCGATCCTTGACAGCCTTCCAGTCAGGGCCTGCGCTTACGGTGATACCGTTAGAGGTGCTCCAGGAGCGGGCGACGCTCACGTCAATACTGTTACGGCCTGCGCCGATGACGACGGGGGACATCTGCACGTCCCAGTCGACAAAACGCTGAGTGGTGTTAGTTACGTAGGCGGCAGTTCCATCGCAACCGCGTTTTTCGACATCGCGGGTGGCAAGAGCCCTGGCCTCTTTGAAAGCCTTGGCTCCGGCCTCCAGGAAGGCGTGGTCGATCCCAGGAGTCTCGGGGCTGACGCCCTGAAACTCAAGAAGCTTCTCGTAGACGCTAACATGAACGACTTCCACTACAGAATGTGTTAGTCGGCGGCTTTGATGAAAGGTCAGGTATAGAGTGGAGCTTACTGCGGCCACTGCCATAGAGGATTACTTCGTCTTGCTTAAGAACGTGCTCGGGAGTCCAGACGGTCGAGTTGAGGTCGCGCTCAGTCATGAAAGGAACGGCATTGGCAACAGCGGCCAAGCCGAGAAGGATGACCTTGGGGGGGATCATAGTTTGGGTCGGATGATCGATGGAAGTAGAAAGAGAGGTGATTGTGTGTTTGGGTGGAAGAGTTGGTTGAAAAGAAGAATGTCCAGATATGTCTGAGTCTTTATACCTTGAATTGTCTACTGCAGAACTGGCTTATCGGGCTTCGTACCAAGTGAGAAGCCTCTGGGCGAGCCGATTCATAGAGGTAGCTGCCAGTGATGATAATGAGGCGGGTCAGTCGACGTCTAGATTCATTAAGGTTGACAGACCATTTGCGCGGCTATAGACGCCCGCCGTTGACACTATCACCAAGCAACCAGGATGTTGACTGGAGGCGAAAGCTTAACCGGCACGTGGCAATTGCCGAACTCTTGACCCATTAATTGAGCCATGTGCGTTTTAGGCTAGTAGTTCGCGATAAGGTGAGTCACCCATTCCGGCTTGTATTGTGACTTGGGGCTTTTGCCGCTTTACATACTATTTGGCAATAGATGACATACTATTGCGAGAATAAATGTGGTGCTCAGGGAGCTGAAGCCAACTGAGGAGGGGCAATAGCCGAACAATGTGGTATGGGATGATATTGAGGGATGGGTGTATTTATTTTCGGTAGAAGAATAGTACCAAAGAGCTGGTGCGCAACCCAGCTGTCCATCTCGTCTCAGTTGTAATATGGTTTTGGTGTTCGGTTTTAGATACTACATAAAATTATGGAAGTCTGCTGAACAAGCGACCACACCAGATAACAAAGCTTTGAGCGCGATGTCATCAAGCCATCTATTTCCGCTTATGTTGATATGAATGAATCGACTAAGCCATACTAGATCTGCTATTGAGAAGAAGATAGTCGCCAGAAAAGATATCCCACAACGTCTCGGTTCTTTGAGTCGTATGATGTTGAATACAGAAGAGGTCAAGGGTAAGCTGGAGTCGGACTAACATAAGTCCGCCAGGGTATGTCTCTCGGTCTTTGATTTGTTAGCTCGGACCCCCTGCAGGTTCTAATCCGAGATCTCACTCCACAATTCTTATCGCTTTAAATTGAGATGATGACAGAGAGAAGGGCTTACATCCACCATAATTCTTTTTGGTCTTTTGTCTCGAGGTCTAGAAGAACAAAGTTCAGACTTCTCTCACAATGTCCGAAACTGCGGTCACTCCAGCGGTCGAGTCCTTTTCTCTCACGACCCCTTCCGGCGATCTCGAGCTGCTGACCTGCATTCCTCCTGGGAATCATAAGGCACCTATACTATGCCTCCATGGCGCGTTTTGCTCGGCTGAAGATTATCAAAACTTCCTTACCTTTCTCGCATCTCATGGCTATCCGACTTACTCACTATCGTTACGTGGCCATGGCAAATCATGGCCGATGTCGTGGGTAACACGAACCCTCCTTACGTCGTTGGACAACTATATCGAGGATATCATGGCAGCGGCAGTTTCTATCAAGGGGCGACATCCTGACGCACCGCCGATTGTACTTGTTGGGCACTCTTTTGGTGGTGGACATATGCAGTACCTGCTTGCACAACGGTCGCAAAGCAACTCGTCACCCGTTCAATTCGGTGGATTGGTTCTATTGGCTGCGGCGCCTCTTTCCGGTGGTGGAAAAGAGATCATGGCCAATTGGGAAAGAGTTGAGGCTCCCGATGGGTACAAGTACCCATGGAGTCCCCGTTCACAGCTCGACACGCTGGACCAAGTTCGAGCAGCATTTTTTCAACCCGAAACTCCTGAAGAGACTGTTACGCGATGGTTGTCTGACTGTAAGACGGAAAGTGAAGGCATTCGGACGGGGCTTAGCGTGTTCTGGTCATTTGGAACAGCAAATGATGTCCTGAAGAGTCTTGTTGGGATAGAAGGTCAATCAGCGCAGTCGCGCAAGGTCCTACTCATTTCTGGATCCAATGACCGTCTGGTAACCGCTTCTATGGTTGAGGAGAATGCTAAAGCATACCATGTGGCAGCGTCGGAATTGTCAGGAAAGTCAGAGACTGGTAATAGTAGTGGGATAGTCACCACTATCTCAGTCCCAGGATCAGCTCACCACTTGATGATGGATATTGCCTGGAAGGATTGTGCGCTTAGAATCGTAAACTGGATTGATGGATGAGTGAATGAAGGAGGGTTCCAAACGCATAGCTTCGGGGATGACCTCGATGAGAGTGTAATATCAACAGTGGTCTTGAAGATGTGCGCGACAAAGCCCGCGATACGCATTTTCTCGTAAGCGTAGCAGATGATAAAATCACTGCAGATTGATAATTAAAAGAAAAAGAAAGATTTTGTGCTAACTATTACTCTAACATGCCAACTCGATCCTACATCCTTCATCGAATGTGAGTCTCTCGACGCAAAAGTCGACACAAGTAGCTAGCTATATTGAAAGCGTGATCGAGTTGCCTAGTTAAGATTACATCGACAAAATAAAGATTTACATACACCATCAAAAGCCATAATAGCAAGAGTCCAATGTGTGAGTTGACAAAGCACGCTTCGTTCGGTGATGTTTTTAGCCTCAAAGATCTATCTTAATGGACCTCAACGCAGGCACTAGCTACAAAGACTCCAGTGATTACGAGAAGCGGAGCTAACTATCATAACTATCATCCAGGCGGGCTAATCGCCCGCGCTTTGGCGACCTCAACACATTTTCACAGGCACCGTAGCCAAAGGTGAAACCTAATCGATTCATGGTATCATGTCTAGTCATTCTTAAGTTGTATATAACTCATTACCAATACAAATGCCAATCTACTGCCGGCTTGTCCAATCGACTAATGCTCTTTATGAAGACTCTTTCAATTTGGAATGACTAGGATCTGAAGAACCTCCATCCACCGTTGGCCAATGCGCAATACCCTAATCAGACAATGTAAACAGGAATTCGGCTCGCATAAGCATCACTTTTCGTAATATGAATATCCATCTTGTGAAAGTCATGTAGTTGTAGCCAGCACAGCATACGGAAGACAAGGACACACCATATTTCGTTGACCTCGTCGCTTGTTGTATACATCTTGGCAGACCTTGGGCTGGCGATATTAGAACCGTTGTCGGAGGGAACAGAGTCTCGTCTTTCTCTCATATGCTTGCTTAGCAGGGTCTGTTGGCCGATGGTTCGAGCGACGTTTGGTCGAACGCGATCAAAGTACATTTGCATCAATAGACTTTCTCTCTCGTCTGCTGGCGCTGAGTCAATGTCGTGGATGGTGATGGGTGCATTATTCATGGCGTTATTCGTGTCCTCGTTGGTAGTCTTGTCGTCCTTTTCGGTCTTCTCGTGGAGAATGCTCATGACTTCTTGAATGTGCGTACGTGTAACCTGTTTGACCAGAGAAAGACTCGGCTTCTTCATTTTGGCAAAGAATTCGTCGCATAGCTCGATGCCAGCACGTAGATGGTCGAGGCTATTGACTAGAGTAGCTCCGTTGATGTCTTCGCCAAACACGTCCAGCGTTGATCCTTCTGCTCGCAAGAGTGGGAACCTCTGGTCTGTCTCTGCCCAATCCAAGATACTCTTGATTTGTTCACTGCCTGCCAGGTGCTTCTCACGAAGGAGGCGTAAAGACGTGATGTATTCGGATAGCAGATTGGGCAGAGAGAAGGTACTGGGATCCCAGTAGAAGACAGTTGGGTTTGGAAGCATACGGAAAACAGTGTCCTTGACATGTAACATTTCGCCTACCATTCCGAGGATCTCGAATGGAACTGTTGGATGTTAGAACTAGTTCATTTCTTCATTCAGTCGATGGTAACTTACTGGCAAATAGATGGCTGTGACGAGCCTGGTCGGTGTTTTTGCGGAAATAGTTCACAGTGTTGATGTCACAGCCGAGAACCACGAGAGTCTTGGCTATCTCTGAAAGACTTCCGAGCTGGAGAGTCTCAGCGCCCTTGGCCTCATCTGCATAAACCTTACGATCCCGGTAAAGAATTGTCGGCGCCATGCCAAAGCACAATTGCTTGACTTTGTAACTGGGGACGATGCGATTCTTCTCAAACCATGTCGGACCTTGCTTTTGAATGTTGAAACAAATACCAAGACCATCAGTGTAAGAGCCATAAAGAACAAAGCCGTTGCCTTGGGCACGATACTGGTCGTTGTTGAGGTCAAATTGTCTCCAATGGATACCCAGCATGGCAGCGATCTCTACAATGTGAGATATTGTGGTGGTAGCGTAGGGCTTTGCGAAGTCTTTGGGCATGCTGTCCCAGGTACGTCTTTTCCTCTGCATGCAGACCAGTAATGAGTGATGGGTAGCGGGTTGTTCGGGCGCCACTGCCGTGTCTAGTGGTGGACGAGGACCGGTCGCTTTACGCCACTCGGATGTTTTCTTGCCCTGCCATTCGCGTGATTCCTTTTCCATGCGAACGATTGCCATAAGAAGGGCTAACCAAGTAGCCTTTTCATTGTCGGCAGTATGGACAACCTGCTGGGTACTCTGTCTGTACTTATCGTCATATTCCTGAACAGTATCTGTGTATTTGAAGTTGTCGTGGCTGCCATCTAAGCGGATGATCTTTTGCCTCTCCTCCTTTGCGAGAGCATCATCGCCCAGAGGACCTCTGGTGTTACCTGGCTTAGCGACAAAAATGACAGGAGTCTCAAACTGGACTTCAAAACGGAATTCGGTCCAGAGCATTTGTCGCCGAGCAAATTGAGCCCATTTCCCTATCACAGCTTCGCTACACGATGAAAAGCCGGTCGCGGTACCGAGATACTGTTGAAGCGCCTGGAGAATGGCGATGACAAAAGCGAGTACAGAAATAACCAGCGCGACGACCGCGACGATGAGCTCGGTGTTATCATCGCTATCTCCGCCAGAGCTTGCATCTGGGACAGCTGTCGAGGACATGATGAGAGAAGGAGGGCAGTTGAGTGCTGGATCGCCAAGGACTTGTTGTTGGAAGGCTGGGCTCAACTTATCGGCAAATGCAGTCATGGCCAAAAGATGGAGGCTGGCTGAGAACTGCTGATGTGATCTGACATTGTGTGTGCCTTGGGCAGGAAAATCCCTGCTTGTGCCCCCCTAAGAATTGCAGAGCCGATCCGAGGAGCACGGGCGTCAATGTCGGCGGCTAAGCTGAAAAAGAGCAAGTCTATCCAATCAGAATATGCTGACGGTGAAGTTAGTGATATTTGGTTTCCACTGTTGGGGACGTGCAGGACAGGGGTTGTGGCGTTGTGGAGAGGAGCTACGTTGCAACGAAAAGAGCCAACTGTTTCTGTCGCGTTTCACAACTGACAAAGTTCAATCACTGTCACATTCTTGGGTAGAGAGAGTACAGCGCCAATCCCGTCTTCATTACAAGAAATTATCTGTCAGCAGCCAATGCCAAATTCTGCGAGCTCTTAGCTCCCGTGATAGCCTCAAAGTATTTGGAGCCCATATCCTCCACAGTCGTGCCACCAATTGTCTTGCCAACGATGTGACCAATGAGCTCAGCATGGGTGATAATTCCCAGGCGAATTGCGTCGTGCATCAAATCAAACAAGTCATGTTGGGTCACCCCCCGACGGATGCGTTCTAACTTCATCAGCAATAGCATCGCGGAATATGTTTTTCGAACTTACTTTTCATGGTGAAATCCCTTCCCTTTCGAATTTTGATCTCATACTTTCTCAAATCTGTCTTGTCGTATCGCGTCTTGACGCCGATTTCATGGCCGAGACTGGTGACGGTATAATCAAGACCACCGCGTATACTCTCAAACTTGAAATGCCTTTCGAGAACCGGTTCTAATCATTAAATGAAGGTTAACTGACTTTGCAAGTTCGTCTTAAGTTCTGCATACATACCTCGACCTTTATCATTGGCCGTTTTAATCTCGCTCTCATTGACGACCTCAAGGCCCAGCTCAGCAGCTGTGACATTGGCGTCTTGCAGTATATTGCGAATGAAGACATCATCCTCTGCGGGCCGTTAGTTCTCCTCTGATAGGGATCCGAAATCATCTTACTATATATAATGATGCCCTTCTCAAAGCGCGACTCTCCAGAGTAGCAGATCAAGAAAAAGACATCAACGAAGCCTACCAGTCGGATCTTTCCATCCCATCGCGAGCCGTTGATGAGTATGTCCCACGGGTGAATATCACTTATAGCATTAGAATCTGTAGCTGAACAGCAAGGAACAAGGACATACTAGTCGCATTCGACGCTCTTGAGATTGACTGATCTGTCAAACGTACTGAGAACCCTGTGGTAGGAAGCCATTGTCGATTCTCGGGTGGAAGTCTCAACCGTCGCATCTGTTGAGACGAGAACGAGCTGGACGTTATGAAACTGTAAACAAAAAATCTGGGTTGGTTGTACAGAAAGTCATGCATGCAAAGGTTCAATATTCTCTCGTCAAGGTCATGCAAACTTTGGCCGTCCACGTCACCCCGCTCAGTCTGAGCGCTGCATCAAGCAGCATCACAAAGCTTACAGCCAATTGCGACATAGAAGTCAATCAGGCATTTCTGTCTATACGTCCATGTTTACATGACTGTTGACAGCTGGACAAAGAGGGGTCTTCCCACATCCAATCGCGAGTGCTGGAGCTTGCGAAGATGGAGTTCAGCTCATGCAGTCCATTGCCAGTCAATCCATATCCAGTCATGATTCGTCTTTGCGGCATATAAGACGGGCTTTCAGCTCTCCAAAGTCTGTAGATCAATTGCCAAAACCAGAGGATGGCAGGTCGTATCATATCACCACCATTTAATGCAGAAAAACAATGCATGTCAGCCAATAGATCAGCCACGTAACGAGTCATACCTGTTGCAATATTGCTTGTCACAACTCACTGCCAATCAGTATGGGTCACTATTAACACTGGCAGCATCCGCGTGAACTTCCCGGTTTTACTGGTCACAGGTCCAAACGGCTTCTGGTTGATTTCTGTTTCTCCTCAGGAAGTGAGGGACTGTGGGATCCGACCTCTGAAGCTTTCTCGACTACTACTCATTCCCCAACAAAGCTCCTTCGGGATAGAGTTCTTATCAACGAACAGCACTCTTGTACAAACAAAGCTCAGGTTTGAAGCCAGTGACCATGGACAACATCACGGAAAAGATTGCAAAGGTCACAGACCTGAGCACATACACAGACCTCACCCCAGAGCATCTTAAAAAGCTGTTCCTCGAGATTGGTGGCAGTCCCGAGAAGCTCCGCACCATCCTGAACTTGTGGTTCGTCCCCGAGTTCAAGCCAACATTCATTGAGCCACAGGACTATTCCTTTGGTGGACTTCAAGATGTCGGCTTTCTCGAGTCGCCAGACACAGAGAGCCCCCAACGGCCTCTGCGTCTGATTGACCTTGAGACGGGCAATCTTGTTGATGTCTGGAACACAAGCCCTTCAGATTCGTATTGCATGCTCTCGCACAGGTGGAAGGGCGATGAGATTACCCTGGCTCACATCAAGCGAGCGAGACAGAAGCACCTTGAAAGGTCCCGAAATGGTATGCTTTTGGAACTTGACGGTGACATTCACATCGTCCTTGAGCAATCTAGGCTTGATATCTTGGAGCAAGAACAGATGATCGAGTCTCTCCTGGGTGACAACCCAGATGGAAGAACTGTCGGCGACTTGCTGCAGATGCGCCTTACTGCCAGCGACGCAAAGTCTCAGGTCAATCGGGCGCGACAGAACAGAGACGCTAAGAAGTCTAAGCTTGAGCGCTGCATGATGGAGAAAGATATGTTTGACCATCTGATGAATCGCATCCAGAAGGACATCAGCGAGGATACGGAACAGGTCACTGACCCGAAGCCTACTGTGTCTCCTCTAGTCGACGAAGCGGAAGCAGAATATGCCGATGCTCAAAAGTCACTGGAAGTATCTATCACGAATCAGAACAAAGCCAATCAAGACGCCAAGTTCTTTGGTAGTGACCGTCGACTTGGAGATGCTGTGGACGAGATGATGAGCCGGCTCCAACGCTGGAAGTCAGTCATCAAGCTCGAGCGGTCCATGACTGAGGCTCGGGATATCTTCAAAACGAACATGTTCCCGAATTATGGCGCTCGTTACATGTGGTCTGACACTTGCTGTATCGACAAACTCAATTACGGAGAGCTTTCCCAGTCTCTTTCACTCATGGGCGATTGGTACGCCAACGCTGAGTTCTGTGTCGTCCATCTTGACACAGACAGTCGGGCTGCAGACGCCATTCATGACTGGAAGCAGTTCAAGGGAGAGCCAGTCAATAGCAGCCCTAACATTCCAAGCTTTAAAGCTATTAAAGGAACGACTCCCGAATGGTCGAAACGTGCGTGGACTCTACAAGAGTTGGTGATGAGCAAAATGGCATACTTCACCAACTCTCAGTGGACGTCACTCAGCCGACCTGTGCAAACTCTAGGCTACATTTACCCTTTGATCCCATTTATTGATCTGTATACCAGTGGCGATATAGCCGATGTGTACTCCAACGAAAACGAGACGAATGCCTTGGAAGCCATTACAAACTCTGCGGCTCTCGGGACACTCGTGGCCGGAGATGAGGTTGTCATAGCCAGTAACGATGATGAAGACCAGGGTGCTTCAGAGAGTATCGGTACAGCAGTTCGCATTGCCTCAATTCTCCAGACTCTAGGGTTCATATTCCCGCGAGAGATGATGACAGAGACTGCCCTGCCAGAGATGAGTCGCGCCGTCTATCTCGCAGCACATAATCTCGTTAGAAATGAGAGCGACAATGCGAGCAGCCCAGTGAAAGACATCCTTGCAGAGGTCAACCACCATATCCTCTCCACAACTAAAGCAGAAGGTCTCACTGCCGAGATACAGGCGCAAAATGCTATTAACTTCCTCCTCTATTCCCTTGTTGCAACAACAAAGGATCTTGTTCTTGAAGATCGAAGGTCGATCGCAAGTTTCGGCCAAGTCAACCAGCTAGACTCATGGAAGCAAGGTATTGCCCGCAGCGGTTTCTCTGCTCAAAGAGTTCTCCAGCTTTCTTGTAGCCGCAACGCAACCGTGCCAGTTGACCACGTATACTCCCTCATGGGTATTCTCGGCGTTCGCTTCCAGTCATTCCATGCAGAAGGGTACGCTAAAGCTTTATCTCGTCTTCTCGATGAGGTCATCATCAGCCACAATGATGTTTCAGTCTTCAACTGGACCGGGGCATTTATGGGCAGTCCTGTTCGTGGACGCTCCATGTATCCGGCCTCTCACAAAGCCTACTCAAATGAAGAAGACTCTGGCCGACGCTACAACATGATGATTTCTGCGGAAGTTCAGCGGAAGCGGAAAGATGTCATGGTCGCTTATCAAGGCATAATAACCATGCTTCGAGATGCCATTGACTGCATTAAAACAAATGGACGTGAAGGGCTTCCGCTGGACTGGGTCCGCAATATTTGTGTTTTCGTGAAAGGGTCCACGTTTGAAGTTCTTGGACCTGAGCTGGAGAACATCGGCAAGATTCTTCGTTACATCCAAGACCATTGTGTCAAGCCCGACCCTGTACTTCCAGCTCCATCTGCCCAGCAGCAAACATCTGTGGTCGGGAGTCAACCTCCAGTTTCAGACGCAAAGTCTGGTGCTGGGGCTGGTTGGGGCTTCAACAAACCAACGCTCCCAAGCATGAAGGTCAAGACACCAAAGCTGCCTGGCTTTGGGGGTGCTTTAATCACGAAGCCATCTTTTGGAAGACATCACTCTGAACCTGTGGAGAAAGCTGTCATTCCAGAGCCCGTTTCTCCTCCAAAGCCCAGCACGCCTGAAGTGCCAGAATGGCTGTCACTAGACCAGGAGGTCAAGACGTACCTATCAAGTCTTACGTCGAACTCTACAACGAGAGGCTGCCTACCAACTCGAATCCAGGAACTCGAAGCTAAGAGGTTGGCGCCGGAGGCCAAGCTAGAGAGATCTAGCACAGCATACACTTCTCTTGACGATGACCTTACCTGTCCAAACCCTATCATCATCAACAGTTCCGGGATCGAAGGCATCTTCGACATCCAAAGGATTGTCGTCACCATGATCGACCGGGAGAAGCTCATGAGGCAGGTCGTCAAAGCCAGTAGTCCGAAGCAGAAGATATCTGGTTGGTGCATCATCAGCACAGGCTTTGCTAGTGTGGTTGTCAACTTCGCCTGTGAACAACACATCCTGAAGAAACAGCTGGACGTCGAACAAACAGTCGAGGACAAAATCATCAAAGAAGACCGGGCACGGAAGCTTCACAGTGACTTGCAGATTGTGGCTGGAAAGCCAAATGATAATGGTGCACCATTGACTAAGGACGCTCAATCCAGCGACACGGAGGACCTGACTGGCAAAAACATCAATAGCTCCAAGCCAACCAAAGATGAGCTGGCCATCGTGCGCATCATTGGCTTTATTCAAGAGCCTCAACTTCAGCTTGTCGCAGGAGAGTGGGTTTTGACACGCTTCTCTGGGACACCAGGAGCGCAGTGGTTCTTATGCTACCTCGAGCTAGGCTCCACCCATTCGTACTATGGCCATCGCATCTCAGCTAGCGATATCAACTTCAATAACTCAGCTATTGAGCCTGGACTTATGAGCGCCTGGAAGGTATACATGAATCGTAAGAAGAGCAAGATGTGCAATGTCTTGGACAAGTACATCAAAAGCTCTACGAGCGCCATGAAAGGTAAGGAAAGACTCAACAAGAGTTCAGAAATTGCGAATGAAAACTATGCAAGGTTTATGGATGCAGGGAATCAGAGTCTTGAGCGGGTCAAGAGCATGGGATCATCAGTATCTGTATCACCGTCCATGCTCAAACTCCCATTCACCGAGTCTGACGCCAAGGAGGTCAGTGCCAAGGATCTGGACTCGGATGATGATGAAGACGGAGGGAAAGGGCTTTTTGATGGACTACTTGACCAGGGCAAGGAAGCCACCGCAGCACTGGGCGAGTATACGGTCCTTGCTGTTTATGAGAAGATTTGCGAAATGCATGCTCAGCACCTTGATAAGCACCTGGCTACTTCAGTTCTGAAACGGACGCCCAAAAATCTTCAAACCGCTATCGAGAGTGTGGACGAGCACAAAGGGTTCCTCCCCGCAATGTTTCATTCCTCTCGAAGGGTGCATATGTTTTAAGAAGGACGGACAATGCAATTGAGCATCTTTTTATTAGTTTCTTTGTATTATGGCTTGAATATTGAAGGGTATTTATAAAGGAAATAGTGTCATGTAGTCAGATTGAATCAAAGACAAAGGAAACCGAGCTCAAACTCCTCATAGCATTATAGATTCTTAAGCAGCCATCCTACTTCTCAACAGCCGTCTCCTTATCCTCTGCATCATCAGCGACCGGGCCTGCTTCCGCCTCTGCCTTCGCCAGCTGCTCCTCAAGTTTTCTCTTCCTCACAAGATTCTTCTCATGTGCTCTCTTCTCAGCCGCTTGTTTTCTGTTGTCGCGCTTCTCGCTGATGAGATAGCTGAAATTTCCAATCACGGAGAACAAGCCCTTGAAAGCCAGCTTGAAGTGAGAAACGGCCTCGCGAAAGTGTTCCTTCGTTTCGTTGTAGTTGGCTCGTGCCAATTTGGCCTTCCTCTTGGTGCGGTACGCCTTTTCGGCTTTTGCGGCTTGGGCGTATTGCTCAGAAGCCTCTTTGCGCGTGGTGGTCAAGAGGATTTCGGTGGCGGATGAGGCAGGTCGGGCTTTAGGAGGACCTGAGAGGGTTCGGGCCTTGGGCGCATCTGCGCTGAGCGCTGAAACATTGTCATCGGGTGGCGTTTCTGTTGTTGGAGAATTTGCGCCGCGCATTGCAGAAAACATCGCAGCAGTTGTTCAAGGACGGTTATTATTAAGAATCAAGTAGTACCGGTTGGTTGTCCCAAGTCAATGGTAACAAGGAGTCGTGAAGGAACGTGAGACTCTGGTTAGGGATGTCTGGTAATTAGAGACTGCTGGATAAATAAACTGGAGAAAGGACTGGGACAGACTGGCAGATCGGTTGCTATTTAATGCCTTGTCATATACGTTCTACAATGAGTCACTTCATTATGCTATAGTAGGGTCAATATACCCAAGAAGTCAACCTTACTTCTAAAGGTACTAGTGGAAGTAGAAAGGTGTATTAGAGATTATATAAGTTCATGCTCTACAAGTATGTAGTATTTGGGGACTTCGCGTAGCTAAAGAGTCATCTTTTCAGGTCTGTGCTCTGAGGCATAAAGACTCCCAGTCCTTAGTGCAACTTATGTCAATGCCAACACGTTGTGCACGAGCCAATCAAGAACCATTCTACGCTATCTTCATTCATGCCATTGACCATTATAGTACCAGGTTGCATTGAAACAACTTTCCTTCCCTGACTTATAACCCGTTTCTAATATCAAATTTGCAGTCGCTTGTGTCCTTTTACAATGAAGACATCCGAATGCATGGGTTTGATTAGGATGTTTTCATATGAGTCTTTCATAAAAAACCACACACTTGTCAAAAGTCACATAGACACGTGTATGGTCAATGCATTGACTTCATGCTGATGTGACTCAAGGGGTCTAAAAGGATCAGTGACGGAGAATTTTGAATGGGGTTCGGGGATTAAGTGGCGATCACTGGAAGAATCAGCATCAGATATGACTGGGGCTATTGCTATTAATTGAAGCAACATCCGATCGGCTATGAGTATGAAAGTCACTACAATGCTCCCAAAATTATGAGTCACAAACTTCGCGTAACTCACTCTGGGATATTTTAATATGCGATAAACGACATTTTGCGGCCCGTTGCATTTAACAAAGCTACACTAGAGCTACCAAATGACATGCACAAATGTTGCATAAAGAGAAATTGTAATAAACTATTATTTCTATGTATATTATCTTTTAAGAATTAATTATAGATCGTAGAAAGTAAGAGACAAAATATGAAATGTGTGGTCTATTTAGAGCCACCCGGTGTAGGAGGAGCCGAGCCAATGACAGTTGTGTTCGCCGACTCCAAAGCCACCATCTGTTCCTTTTCATCCGCCAACCAGGCAGGGTTGGCCTCAAACCTGGGGTCAAGCCAGAAGCAAGCATCATCACCATCCTTGAGCATTTGTTTGATGGGCTTCGCTCGAACATGTCCACCAATATAGAAAAGAGCCCAGCGCACAGCTCCAAAGACAGATATGAAACTGTAAAGCTGCTTGTAGAAAGGGTAGGTAGCGATGGTGCAAAGATCGATGCGCATATCGGGACGACGCCAGCAGCTGATGTAATTATAAAGAAGGGGAGGTAGGCAGGCGACAAAGGCAAGACTGCAGAAGAAGATCCAATACTGCTTGTGCGCTCCGAGAGCAACGAGTACGGGGATGCGGACCCAGTCAATGACAAGACAGGCCAGGGTGTACAGGAAGAGGAACTTCTGCATCAGAATTCCTGCAATGGTACGTTGACCATTCATTCTGAACAGGTGTCGGAAGAGCTTCCAGATGAGACTGTGGCGTCCCATCTCCCAAGACTTGACACGCTGCTTGCACCAGTTCAAACCGGGACCAAGGACAGTTGAGGGTACCTCAGTCGCCAGAGTAACTTGAGCATCAAAGGCGATACGCTTGTTCAAGCGCATCATGGCGAAACCAGCATTGGCATCTTCAGCGATAAAGTCCATAGGATGGTGCTTGGAGAGCAGCTCGACGAAGATGTCACGATCGACGAACCAACCAGCGCCGTGGGGGAAGTTGACACCACATGTTCGGTCCTCGGCAAGCTTGGTCAGACCAGCCATACGGTACTCGCAGTCTTGCCACGACACCATACCGAGAGGGACATTGCCATCTGCGTCGATACCCTTGAGAGGGAAAGCGACAGCACGGAGTTGCTCATTCATCAGATGAATGGGGTGGCGGTAGTTTTCGGGTAGAGAGACGTCGTCGTCAGTGGTGAGGATGTACTTGTAGTTCTTAGCTGCAAGAGAACCGACGAACTGGGCAGCATTCTTGGAACCAATGGGAGACCAGATGTAGACAAGCTCAGGGTGGAGATTCTTGAGCCACTGTCGGAAGGAAAGATCAGTGGGGTATCGAGAGCGACCATTGTCGATGATGAAGATGTCTTGGGGTCTGAAGTGGGGTAGTGCAGATTCAATAACCTTTTGCAAAGCGTCGCGGTCAGAGTTATGGCAGGGGATGACAAAGGCGGTCTCCCAAGCCTCGGTAGTGGTGGTGATCACAACGCCTTTCTCAAGATCACTGGGGCTTTTCTCATTGAAGACCTCCTGGACAGCAGTGGAAGGACTTGCCTTGGGCGGGTTGTATGGTGGGACACGCGCGATGGACATGATGATGAGGAACATGAGAGGCTCAAGAGTGAGGACGATGACCAGAACAGGTAGCATGTACCTACGAGTCTGGGCGATCGCCTTCACCATCCAACCGGTGGCCCAGTTGGAGATGACAAGAGCAGCGACACAAGCCATCACAAAGGCAAGAGCAGCACCCTTCTTGAGAGTCATGGGATAGACATACTCTTTCGGGTTGATGAGGTCCCAGAAAGCCCGAGGAGAGAACTGGTTGCCCAGAGCACGCCAGAATCTTGTCCATAGCGATCTCTTCTTGCTATCGGGTGAAGGCTTCTCGACATTGTCGGTAAGCCTTCTACCAGAATGGCTGTTCAGAGATGTCTCGGAGGCAGAGGCAGAATCACAGTAAGGACCGTAGATGCCAACCTTACGGGCTGTTCTGTCTGAGGTGATGGCTGGTGGGGGAGTAGAAACAGGGCTGATGATAGGGCTGGCAGGAGGAGGAGTAGTGAATGGGTCTTGCAGAGAACGAGTGGAAGGAGGGCTAGCCAGAGGAGGACGCGTCTGCTCCTGCGAGACAGGGACCGTCGGGTCTAGTCTGGCGGTGCATGGCAGAATCAGATCCTCGTTGGAGGGATCTTTATGGCTCCAGAAGGGGTTGGTAGCTTGGCTGGCCATTGGAGAAGCAGAAGAGAGGAAGAATGGGGAGGGATCTTTGGCCAAGCTGGAGCCCAAAGGTAAAGTGAGTGGATAAGAACGAATGTGATGCTTGAGCAAGAGGTTGGGTGACCAAGCGAACGTCCAAGGTAAATGTACCCTTTGACAAAACACCTTGGAGACAGAAATTTCCACAGCTGAAGGATTAATTGGGGCAAACAAAACAGAACTTCAGTTAACAACGGACCAGCCGTGCACGCCGTCAAGGATCTCCAAGCTCGTGGATCCGATCTAGGCCCATGGAGCAGAGCTGAGAAATGAAGCTATTGAAAACAAGGATCCAAACCCCGTTGCCATCGGAACACAACATGAGGTGATGCACACTCGCTGCAAGACGAGGTTCGGCCGATACTGTGCTGTACAGTACAGCACAGTGAGACAGAGATCGAGTCTAGCACTAACCATTTAGTGTCAGCCATATATGGACTTGGCGCAGGTACCAAGCCGTGGCAAAAGATCCGAATCCAGATGGCAGCTACAAAGGTGTTGTCATTGACTTTGCTAGTGTCTGGTGAGACCACTTTGGGGAAGTGGAACAGGGACTAAAGTAGTGTGCGGTAGTTAGTCTCAGAGACCTGCAGCCGTTAGGACGGGGCCTTGTAAGCTGTGGCTTAAGCCGCACTCAATCCCTGTCTAAGAAAGAAGTAAAAATACTTTTTGGGAAAGGGAGTGACATGCACATGCATGTTGCAAATTACAGGGTTAGGTTTGTATGGCATTTCACTTTGATGCATCTGTGGCTTGGCCAAGAGGCTGACAGTTTATGGTGGGATAATTTGATATCCTTGTCATTCGTGCGTTGTTGCAAAGTTTTAAGTGGCTACCGTTAACTTTCTTTTTGGTTGTTGGACGGCAATACGACGAAAAAGTCATAGAGTCCGTGTTATAGTGGACAGGGGAAATGAGTATGAGACAGCTGAATCTACGATCTACGGATTTGGTCTACGATCTTAGGGACCGAGTAGTGAGTACTAACTAGAGCTCTACCGACCAGACCGTTACAAACTGTCCTCCACTTTCTGGACTCGCCAAGAGCCGCCGCTTCATCGGAGTAAACCCGCACTTGGACTTTTGATAGTGATAGCCAAGGCTATAATGGTGTTGCTTCTGTCCCCATTAAGCCCCATCGCCACTCACAACGGCAAACATCGCGATGAGGCTGAATGCATGTCCCCAAACAAGCAGCTGGGTCGTTTAGTCAATTTAGTATACCGGTAATTTTAATAGTCTCTGCTAGCTCGTCGCGTTGCTTTTATCTCCATGCAAGCCTCGTCGATGGCGAATTCGAGACCATGGTAAACATCCCTACGGCGATGAATTGTCGTGATGCCATCGACAGTCATCGCTCCACTATCTAACTGTTAACGAGAACGTGCACTGAGCTGTACCTGGTAGTAAACGACGCTATAGATGTCTAGATCAGAAACGATATTGGCGATGGCGCCTCGTCCCGTTCAGCTTCACCAGCCTCACCGGGTTTGATAGAAACACTTTGCAACTAGTTACCGCCATGACGAGCTGCAGGGCGGATACTGAGACTAAGACGTGATCGAAGCGAGTACTGATGCCAGTCCTTGGTGTTGTTGTTGTCGTTGTTGAACCGATCGTTCTCGGCCTCGTCTTGCTGGTGCTGTGGGACGTAACCTTCTCGCCGTAACGCTGGGACTTATTTGAAATTTTCTTAGCACTTATCTTCTGGGGTGGCATACAGAGATGCTGTATAGATGAATGTTGAGAAGATCTGAGTATATAATCTCATGGTCCATCCCTTCATGGTGATCAAGTCTTGGTGCTGTAACCAACAAAAATCATCAGTCGATCTCTGTAAGAGACTCCACATTCGTTCACACATTCGTTCACACCTTCGTTCATATCAGCTTCATCCTTTCGTTAAGTCTCTTCAAGATGGACTCTTATGAATCTACACCTGTGACTGCCAGTCCTCTAACTGACACTGGCTTCCCCTTCCCATCTCGTTCTCAATCCTACCAATCCCTCAACTCGTCTGCCTCTCGTCCCAGCACTCCTGCTACTGAGCAAGACGTACTTTTCAGTGGACCTCCCTCTCCAGTCGCCCGCACAGCCTCCCCTGATGAGTACGTACTTGTCGTTGGAGGCCTTGGCTACATTGGCAGCCACACTACCTGGGAGCTTCTCAAGGATGCAAACAATGTTGTCGTTATCGATAACCTGAGCAATGCTTTCGTCAATGTTCTTGACACTCTCAACGACATGACAAATAAGCGCTTCAACGCTAGCTCTCGTCGTCCAGACCTCCACTTTTACGAGGCTGATTTCCGAGACAATGCGAAGATTCAGGATATCCTATCTCTTTACTCAACTCCCTCTGGATCCAAGATCAAGCGAGTTATCCATTTTGCTGCCTACAAGTCCGTCTCTGAGAGCATTGAGAAGCCACTCAAGTACTACGACAATAACGTCGGCGGTCTCATCCGATTCTGCAGCACCTTGTCCGACTTTGGCATCAAATACCTTGTCTTCTCATCATCGGCCACTGTTTACGGCTCTCTCGCTGATGCTGGAGGCCGTTTGGTGGAAGAGTCCTGTACCCACGCTACTACCGAATGGCACGATGCCAGCGGCCAGGCACGCACAACGCTTTCCGGGTGCACGGGACTGACTAACCCGTACGGGCGAACTAAATGGATCTGCGAAGCTATCCTAGCCGATTTGGCCGTGGCAGATCCAGAGTGGACTGTTATTGCGTTGAGGTATTTTAACCCCATCGGCTGTGATGACTCGGGCCGCTTGGGAGAAGACCCACGTGTTGCACCCACCAATCTCATGCCTGTGCTTCTCAAGGTGATGCTCGGTGAGATGGAGCAGCTCCAAGTGTTTGGTACAGACTGGGATACTCGGGACGGAACTGCCATCCGCGACTTCATCCATGTCTCTGATCTTGCCAGGGGTCACTTAGCTGCCTTGACTGTCAAGGAAAGCCAGGGCTTCCAGACTTTTAACATTGGTACTGGTACTGGTCATACTGTCTACGAAGTTGTTGACGCCATCAAGGCCGCTTCAGGAAGAGATATCCCCATGGCCAAGGTCGGTCGTCGAGAAGGTGACGTGGGAGTCTGTGTCGCTGATCCCAGAAGGGCAATGACTGAGTTGGGATGGAAACCTCAGAAGACGCTACTTGACAGCTGCAGAGATTTGTGTCGCTACTTGGAGGCGCACGGAACAAACATCAGTGCGTAAGAATTGTGGAAAAAACCGGGTAATTGCTTTTGATGGGATTTTGCTGGTGCTTGGGTCAGATCTTGGTTCAGTTTTGTTTTTTCTGCATGTTTCAATTTGCATTAACCCTACTAAGATTCGATAAAAGATAATATCAGTAATTAATGACAATTGAGTAATCACATTTGAGTTCAATCGCCGTTAAAATCCGGGGGTTTGTTCCTGGCTAATGTCACTGAACAATGTCACTGAAGTTCCCCCTGCGTATGTAGCTACAAACTCTAAGAAATGAGACAAAAGGACCCGTTTCCAGAATGCCTTTTTCCCGTGCTGTAACCACATCCCGCGGTTACGCGGCCCCTCTAGCAAAATGTGTGCTGAGGCTTGCCGAGACACTTGGCATAGTGCTTGGAAGAAAAGTACCGAGATCTTGCACCAAGAGTGGCCCACCCATGATGTACTTCATTTAACAAATGCCTCACTAAGTGGCGCTTTAGCTTGACCAACGGGAGCATCGGAGATTTCAGAGTGGATTAGTATGAAGAACCCTAATTCGATGACGCCTTCGTTTGGTAATGAATGCGATGGTGGCCAGCAATTAGACTTTTCACTGGGAAAAGCAAAATGCCATTGTTGCAATGGCAGCCACACAGCTGCAACAATGGCATTATGACAGGCAGGCGAAGGCGTGATGGCGTCTGTCAAATTCAGGAGAAATGGTATGCTACACTGCGACATAAACGCCTCCTTTAATTATCTATAGAATGCTAACAAAAACTACCAAAGACAAAGTCCACAGCCAAGATCCAACTCCCATCTTCACTCCAGATGACGTAGGCTCTGCTTTCCCATCCTCAATTGAACAAACCGATCTAGAGCCATTTTCTCGGTCCGTCTCGGCTTCAACACCGGATGCATTAAAGGCCATCTGGATCCACCCAATCTCCAACGTGGCGTTAGTGTTATAGTCCATTCGGCCGGAAAAGCTCCCACCGTTGCTCCACATATTGATGTAGACCGTCGACGGTGTAACGGGTACGTTCATCTTAGAAGTCTTCATGAGTTCCCCATCAACGTACCATGCAGTCAAACCCTGCTCGCGCAGCCAGTCCAGACGATACACGGTCCAGTCTCGGTATGATCCTGATCTTGTTTCGTTGTGAGTTGAGCCGGGGATTGTGGTCCACGTGGTTTGGTTCTCGGTAGGCTGATTGGAGAATTGTACCCTGTCATCTTCTTCTTTGGTAAGGACCTCGATGTCTGTCTCTTGCGTGTCGTTGTAGTAAGTAAAGAACCCAGCGACGGCTCCGGGACTCCCGGAAATGCGTGCATATACCCGGAGCGAGATTGAATCCACAAGGGACTCGCTGAAATAGACCTCTCCAGCTTGTTGAGTCTCGTTCCTCAGCCGGTCCGTGTACAACACAAGCTGAGTATCATCTCCAGGTTTGTCTATTACCAAGGGTCAGCCAAGGAACTCGAGACAATAGCTTGGTGGTCAAGACAGGGCTGTGAGAAAAAGAAAAATACATACCCAGAAAGACGTGATCTGCCACGTAGTGACGTGCCAGCGCCTTCTCATTCGGCTGGCCTTGGTACTTCACAGTCACTTTCCAATCATCCCTCCACGAGGAGTTGCTGATCAGTCTGCTGGCTGCTAAGATATCAGGCTGCTCCCTGTTCTCGGCTGCTGGATCTCCCGTGAGAATTTCATCAGTGGCAGGGGCACTGCGAAAGTCATAGAAGCGGTAAAAGTCGAAAGTTGCATTGTGAGGGCCATCGATAGAGTACGCAGAACAGCCATCCTCAGCTGCGACAGTTACAGCGCTGAATAGCGCGGCCAGCCGAATGAAGATCGCAAGACGAGCCATTGTAACGAGTGGAGCCAAGAGAATTGATGTATTTCAGTGATGTGGATGGCAAAAGAGCAAGACTGTCACTTTTTATTCTATAGTGGTAGTTGCTTATAGCACGGGTTATCACAGTTTACTTGCCATTCAGCTGCCAAGTGTCTAGCATTCAGTTCTAGACGCCTCCCTGAGAAGAGAAAGCAATATGTACTGTAGCTCCTGGTCGAGACCGAGCCTCAAGACATCCCAAGAAAACAAAAGCTTATGGGTACCTCCTATACGTTGGCAGAGCCTCAGCTGCAAACTACAAGCGCCACAACGGTGACCGCAACGGGTGCCGTCGATCCGGTAGCCAGGGCGTCGTATTGCTTTTAATGTGGAAAGACATTTTAGATTGCAACCTCGTAAGAGCTCCAGTACTCGCACGGCTTCTAAACATGGCACGATCACAGATCCAATATTCCAAATCAGGACTGTACCTTGATATTTCCATCCGTCTGGGAATAAGTGGAAACACTAAGATCTCGAGGTTTCGGCTTTTAGTCTAGCTTGATGAGCTGAGGGTCAAAGCGTACTAGTGCAGGGATCGAGGATCGAAAGTCTCCGTGTTCAAACGGAGAGGAAGCGGAATAGTTAATCCGTGGTGTGGCTGGTGACATCTCCGTTATATACGCGTTCCCGTAATTGTTCGCCGTTATGGCTGTGGTTAGGCTCTAGGGTAATGTCGACAACTGATTCAATTTGCTGTTCACAACTTTCACTGGAGCTGTAGTGAGTTACAGACGTAACTTCCTGTATTCAAATGCAGATGAATTGAAGATGCATATTATTTTAACATATCTTGCTTTGCTCCCAAGTATCTTCTTCACGTGCTGTCATCTTTCGCAGGTTCGTATTTGCAGTTGATCTTCCATTTACAGTGGACTCTCAGCAACAACCAAGTTATCCATCACTCTCCAGAGAACTTAGACCCCCAGCCCTTGCTACACGTAAAGCTGAAGCAACATTGAACATTCCACAAAGAGGTACTCTGTATTGAGATCACAATTGCCGCGTCGTATCCTGTCGCGTTCCGACGCATCTCATCAATGACGACACGGACACAAACACGAATACGAGGTACCGGACAGGCAGCTCGTTAAGTAAGCCAATAACAACCCTCCTTTGGCCGCCGGCCCCCAACAGCCCCCAAACTCATTGACGCTGCATGTACTCCTTGTCTCTGCATGTACCTCCCTGCAAGAGTCCACACATTTGTCGTTATTCACGCATCGGACTTGACAGCAGACACCAAGTCACACAGCCTCAGTAGAGACAAGCATCAAGACCTGCAAGGGCATCTCGGAAGGATGAGAAGGATCATGTATTGCCGAATGATAAGCACTAATCCTCTCCTCCAATCGGGCTTATCCGCGCTGATGTACTGGGATTAAAATATCTTGCTGATGGCATCAAATGAGATGTCTTCAAACCTGTTCACCAACTCAGTCTCTTTAATCGGAATGCATGGGTATTTTATCTCGCTTATCAATTCTAGGAATCTCGAATGATGTTTTAATTCTACCGTTGATACGCATTTGAAGTTATCCTCGCACCGCATCCTCAATCTGAGATCACAACCAGCAACAATGTCAATGACGGCAAACAGCAACCGCTCTTCCAGAGCCTTTCTTCACCTTTTGGGCGTATCTTCATTTACCTTCAGCTTTTACCTTCTCACGACTTGGGACTCAAATTACTCGCGCTCATTTGGGTGGTACTTCCAGCTTTTGACCGTTGTCGGCCTCGCCCTGTCGCTAGTCACATTCTCCCTTGGTCTTGTCGCAGATGTAACACTCAGCAATGGCTTCTCCGAGGCCAAAGATACAGTCTCAGTACTTGCGACACCTCTTGAGGTTCTGATAGCCGTTCTGTACTGGTCTATCAGGATGCATGACCCAGCGCTACTCATGCCTGAAGATCTCGTTATTGACCCTCTGCCCGATCTTGGCTTTCACCTCGTTCCGGCTATCTTGCTGGTTCTGGACCTACTGCTGTGGAGTCCACGAGCGACAATCGCTACACGAAGCATGATGTCGCTCAGTACCGTTCTGGCTGTCGTTTACTGGTGCTGGATTGAGCTGTGCTTCTACAAGAATGGCTGGTATGTTCAGAGCAAGCCAATTCAGATATTATGCTAATATTAAACAGGTATCCTTATCCGATGATGGATCAATTCTCAGCTACACAGCGTGTCGTTATCCTTATAGCATCGGCTGGACTATTGACCGCATCGTCTTCGGGGCTTCAATGGGTGCATGGAAAGATTCATGACCCTACGGGGAAGAAACTTAGAGTGGAATGAGACGTGGTGCAAGAATCGAAGAGGGTGTTCACGGCGACACCGAGGGATTTTCTTATCGTCTATTGGCTACCTTTCATGCTGTACGATAATTTGATAGATTAATAGGAACATTTCATACCATTTTATCCTAGTACAAGATGCCAGTTCGTGATAGCCTGAATGGACTGATGTAACTCTCTTCAAAGAGGCGTCCACTTCGCAGACGACAACAGAGCCTGCCGTTGTTATCAATTGGCGAGCTTTGCAATTCTTGATCTTCCCCACGTGCGTTTAACAGACCCGATCAGCCTTGCCAGCACATCAACAGTTGACGAGCTCTTGTGCTGAAGGGGCTTGGGCTGTATTGCTAAGTTGTGTAAATCCATACTTACTAGCTTTGCACCTAGCCTTTTGGATTTTATAAGCATTAGTTAGAAAACCAAAAGGTCCTTAGCAGGGGATAAATTAGTTTTAGTAGGTTTTTAGTAGATTTCCTACCCCTTGCAGATGCTTTCTAGCTAGTAAGTTCAGCTTAAATGTTATTTAAAGCAGAGGTTCTAGGAAAGCCCTATAATAGCAAAATCCGGTAATTTAGAGTAGTAATAGTAATTTTTTAAAGTTAGGATAGGATTAGTATTAACTATCTAAGCTATTTGCCTAGTTGCTTTTCTAAGTACTATATATAGTATAAGGGAGTAAAGAGGTAACTATAGCTATGAAATAGTAAGGAAAGTAACAGAAAATAAGGAAAATAAGGAAAACAAGAGCTATATAAGTAGTATAAGATAGAAAAAAGAAAAGTAAGCTAGCTATAACTTAAATAAAAGAAATAAATAATATAAAGTAAAAGTAATAAAATAAGATAAAATAGAAAAAGAAGATAGAAAATATAGTAATAAGGTAAAAAGGGAAAATTATAGGAAAATTAAAGCTATAAAAAGCCTTTAAGAGTTTCTTTTAAAAAGGTTTTAAGAAAAGCTAGCTATCTTTCTAAGAGCTTTCTTACTAATAAAGACTACTAAGATAGCCTAGGTTCTTATAAAAGCTAGTATAATAGAGAAATTAAGCTATACTACTACTATAGGTTCTATAAGGCCTTATAATATATAGTAGGCTTTAGTAATCTTTAGCTTTATAAGACCTCTTAAAGAGATAATAATAAGTTAAAAAAAAGCTTTTAAGGCTTTATATTTTTAGTATTTTTTTTATAGCTTTTTTTAAGGTCTTATAAGAATCTAACTTAGTAAAGTCTTTTACTAAAGCTATAATTTAAATATTATAGAAATAATAGCTATTTCTTATAGTAACTACTATATTTACCTATAAGCTAATAGCCTTATTTACTAAGGGCTTTTTTTAAACCTTTAAGGTAAGCTTACTTGCTAAGTATTACAATCCCCGCGGTTATATTATATACACTTTATATTTTTTACTAATTAGGGCTTAGCTTACTTATATCTATATAAGCCTTACCTAAGCTTATAATACTAGCTGTAAACTTACTTACTAGCTTACCTAAGTAATTATAAGCCTTTTCTTAAGGCTTATAACTATACTAGTAAGACTATTATATATATATATATTTACTTAGTACTAAATAGAATACTTAGCTTACTAGCTATTAATAAGACTTTTTTACTTAAATATACTTAACTTGCTTTATTTACTATTAAGAAATATAATACTTTATAATACTTAGTATCTATACCCTATATATTTGCTAATATAAACTTAGTATAGACTAGTTTATTTCTTAGAAATTATAACTATTATACTAAGGCTTTATAGAAAGCTTTAACTACTATATTATACTTAGTAATTTACCTTTTTATAGTACTTTTATAAGTATCTTTATATTAAAAGGCTACTATAGCTTTATAAGAGCTATAGGGTAGGCTAAGAAGCTTAATAAAGTAAAAGAGCTAGCTTTATAAAGCTTTTATAATTGCTAAGTTTATAAAAAATAAAGCTTTCTTAATAGGTAAAACCCTAACCTACTTATAGCTAAGATAGCTAGCGTTTTCTAGCTTAGCTTACTAATATAAAATAGAAAAGTTTTATAAAAAGGTTCCTAGCCTAGCCTTATTAGCCTTTATAAAGACCTCTTTAGTAGTAGATTCTTTTATAGCTATAAAAGCTATAGGAAAAAGATCTTCTATAGCTATAGCTCTAATTGTAGCTAAGGTAAGCTAAGAGGCTTTTATTACTATTTAATATAACTATAAAGCTAGCTTTTTATATAAAGAAATTCCTAAGCTACTTTTCTAGGTAAGTAAGGTAATAAGAGCTAAGTTAAGTTTCTTAGAAACCTTACTAAGAGTTTTAACTACTATAGCTAGAATAGCTTTCTTTATAAGGGTATTAGCTTTTTTTAAAAAGTTATCTAGGTTTATAAAGTATAGCTATTACTATAAGTACCTAAGAAAAAGCTATATACTTTTTATTATAACTTAATAGGGAATTATATAAACCTATAAATTTCTTACTAATTATAGTATTAACTACCTATACTAAATTAGTTAAATTGTAAGCTACTAAACTCTTTAACTTACAGCTTATAATATAACTTATAAAGTAAGCTTAAACTTATAGTATAAGCTTTACTTATAACTATAAGCCTCTATAGATATATATATATTTATTTAGTATTAGCTAATATACTTAGCTTAATAGCTATTAATAATACTTCTTTACCTAAATACCTTTTATTTACTATTAAGAAATATAATACTAATATATTACTTAATACTATACTTTATAACTTTATTAAATATAAACCTAAAATAGACTAGTTTACTTATTTAAAAACTTAACTATTATATATTAATAGCTCTTATTTAAACTATACTATATTAAATAACTAAGTAATATTATACTATTAAGATAACTAGTAATAGTAATCTAGTATCTTTTTATACTAGAGAACTACTTAGTATAGTTAAAATAATAGTAAAAATCTATTAACTATATAATACAATTTATAACCTTTAAGCTAGAATTAATAAATAAGGTATAAACCTAGGAAGAAATATAGTACTTTAACTTTAGAAAGGTAAGAATATTAAAAAGGTACTAAAACTACCTAAGCTAGAACCTTTTTAGAAATAAGCTATAAATATAATTCTATTTTTAACTTAAATAAAGGGATACTTTTACTTATTCTTAACTAAGTTAAATACTACTATAAAAAAATTATTATTTACTATACTACTAATTTAAGGAAATACTTAGAATTAGTTTAAGCTAATTCTTAGAAACTACTTAGAAAATAAGAAAGTTATATAAGATTAGGAAACTATTAATATTTTTACTAATTAGAATAATTTCAAAATAGTACTTAAAGATAATTTTAAAATAGTTAATAAAGAATAATAGGTAGTAGTAGAAATTATAGTACTTAGGTAAACTTACTTTTATATAGCTTATTTTATAAAATTTTAATAACTAGCCTCTAAGACTTAATAGAATAATAAAGCTCTTATAAAAGTCTACTATAGAAAACTTAAGAAAGAAGTTAAGAATAAACTTTATAAAGTAGACTAACTAAATAATATTATAAAGTATAATATATTTAATAAGTAAGTATAATAGTTAAGTAAGTGTAATACTTTTCTATATACCTTTTATTATTTATATAATAAGATTCCTATAATTTATCTAATTAATTAAAATTACTTACTACACTCTTTCTCTAATACTTTTAAAACTACCTTATATATTCTTATATTATACCTAGTCTTACTATATATACTATATTACTAAGTATCTAGGCTAACTAACCTTTATTAACTACTACTTCTTAATAACTTACCTACTACTTATATATTAATATCTATCTAATTAATTACTTATAATACTTTCTTTATAATTATAGGATTTCCTTTTTATACTTTAGTTCTTTTTAATCTTTAGTATTAGCTTAGCTTCTTATTTTCCTTTTAAAGGTTATAGATCTTATTTTTTATTAAAGTAATTTTATATATAGTTTACTTTACTATCTTAGTAAGAAATTAAATAGCCTTAATAATTAACTTTAGAGAGCTATTATAATACCTTTTAATTTAACTTTTAAGGTATTTAGTTTAAGATTAGGCTTTATTTACTATTATTAAAGTCTTTAAAGTTTAAGGAAAGGAAGGTTTAGCTATTTCCCTAGAAGATAATAGGGTTTATAGCTATATATTAAGCTTTAAGATAATATACTTAGAGTTAAAGGAAGTAAGCCTAGCTTTTTTAAACCTTTCTTATATATTACTTTTAGTAAAAGTAGCTTTAAAAGTAGTATAAAAGGTATTAAAAAACTTAATCTTAGAAATATAAGTTATAAAGTATTTAATTAAATACTTTATTTCTTACTTATATACCTTTTTAAGTACTATTAAATACTTAATATTAAGAGGCTAAAGTAAATAAAATATATAAGTAAGTATATAAAGGGTAATAATCTTATTACTCTTATAATATTTTTTAAATTTAATAAAGTAATAACTTTTATAACTATTAAGAATTAAAAGGTAATAAGAACTAATAGATTACTTAGCTATAGATTTATTAAAGTACTTTAGCTAGTTAAGATCTAGCTAGTTATTTATTTATTTATTTTAGCTTAATATAATAACCTAATTACTAGGAAGATTATATTCTTAGTACTAATTTATAAAGTAATATTAACCTATACTAATAATAAATAATAAGATTAATTAACCTTTAGTATTAATTACTTAGATTATAGTAATCTATTTATAGTTTCTTAGCTATACTAATTTTAATCTTTCTTATCTTTCTAAGCTTATAATAACTATTTTAAATTATATAATACCTATTATAAAGCTAATCTTATTAAAGTTCTAGATATTATTTAATTAAATACTATACTTTATAATTATATTTTTTATAAGCTAAAACTAGCTATAAATAATTATAGGATCTTTATATTTAGCTCTTTAATAGTTATATCTTTAAAATAAATATATCTTTAGCTTTAGTTATTACTTAATAAAGTTATAAGCTTAGTATATACTAATAAAAGGTATATTACAGTTAGTAAAAAGGAAATTAGCTATTTCTTTTATAAAATATAATTATAAGGGAAATTCTTATAAATCTAAGTTAAGGATAAATTAAACTATTATATTCTCTTTTTAATTAAATAGCTTTTATAAATTTAGTATTAAATTATATTATAATTAAATACTAATCTAGTAATAATATAAAATAAAGTAATTAACTTTATAAATATCTATAGTATATTATAAGCTTAGTTTAGGGTTATTTTAAATAGCCTAAAGAGTAAGAAGAATCCTAGCCTTATTTAAGAGTTATAATATATTAAGTAGTTAGGAATTAATTAATTAAATAGTTAAATATAAGGTTAAGGGATTTTTAAAGTACTTACTTTACTAGAGTACTTACTTATTAAATATATTATATATATAATTTTTATTAACTAAGAAGATAATATATTTTTATTATTACTTTTTTCTTTTACTTAAAAGTAAATAATAAAATATACTTATTTTATAAATAATCTTAATAATACTAAATTAATAAATTAAATACTATTTATTTAATAAAAAAACTTATATTAAAATATAATTAAAAATAAAGTTTTAACTTAAAATAGTTCTTATAAGTTATATATAAAAAGTATAAGATTTTTAATTTATAACTAATAATATATTAATTCTTTTATATTAAGATACTTTTACTAAGTTAGCTTAGTTTATAGTTTAGTTTTATAAATATACTATTTTTTACTAATATAAATAAACTAATATTAACTATAAATATATTACTATTTTATATATACTTACTAATAGTTAAATTTACTATAAATTATTATAAAAAAGCTAATAACTTAAGTAAATATTAAATTACTTTAAAAAGTTACTTTTAAAAGAAAATATTTATTATATAAAAAGTATTTAATAAAAACATATTATTATAAGACCCTATTACCTTAACTATAAATCTTAATATAAGTATAATATAAATTATTTTATATAGTAATTTATTAAATAGTTAAGAGATATTTAAAATAAATATAAAGAGAATATTAAATTATTAAAAAACTACTAAGAATATTACTATTTTTTTAAAAGTAATTTAAAAAGCTTATATAATAAAAGTAAGTTTATTACTTTTTATATATTAATAAAAGCTTTATTTTCCCTTTAATTACTTTATTAAAGTAACTTATTTACTTTATAAGTACTATTTCTTACTTAGCTTTTTACTATAGCTATTAATACTATAGCTAAGGTATAGTAGCTAGCTTTACTTAGTAATTTAATAAAATTATTTATAATTTTAAATAAGCTAAAGCTAAAGAAAAGCTACTAGTATATATTTACTTAAGAAGCTTACTAAGTTATAAGGGATTTAATAAATAGTAAAGTATAATAGTATATATTAAGATTAAAACTATATTAACTTCTTAGTTTTATCTTTACTTTAATATAGAAAGTTAAATAGTAAGTTAGCTATAGATAGACTATTTATTATAATTTAAGTAGTATTTTACTTAAAATCTTATCTTTTTTATTATAAATTCTTATATTTCTATCTTATAAAAATTATAATTACTATATTTAGCCTTTTAAATATACTACTAATAAAACTACTTAATAAAGTTTTTAATTATTTACCTACTAATAACCTTATTAACTTATAAAAAGCTAATTTATATATTTTCTATTATACTAATAATTATTAATTTAATTACTTTACTATATATAACTATATTAAGAAATAAGTATATAAAAGAAGTAATATAAAGGTTCTTTATATTACTATAGTATAAAATAGTAACTTTAACTTTACTTAAAAACTAAGTTATATTTTAAAAAGTAAATTCTTACTAAGTTTTAATAATTAAAAAATAGGAAAACTTACTATAATATCTATATTATATATAGTACTAGTATAAAGCTATATAAAGGCTTTATATACTTTGCTAAATATAGGTACTACTTTTAAAGCCTTAGGGTATAATTACTAGTAAGGTATAGCTAGCTTTCTTCTTTATAATATTTAAGATTAGCTACCTAATATACTAAAGGTACTATTAAAAGCTGATCTTAGCCTGTAAATACTTAATACTCTTAAAACACCTTTACAATTAAAGTTTTTCCTATATAAGTTAATTTTAAGTACTATATAGGCAAATAATACTATTAAGATAAATATAACTATAAACTATTAGATTAGTAATAGAATAAATTACTTTAATTATATATACTAAGCTTTTAAAAGATAATTTGCTCTTATTAACATATTTTATATTATAGTAGGCAGGTTTAGTACTACAGCGTCAAGGATGTATTGAAAAGTAATAAAGCAATCTATACATAGTATATATCTAAAAGCATCTAAGCCCCAGCGCTACTTGCTACTTCCGTCTCGCAGACGAACTTGCGTCACCGCTCTGATCCGGAAGCAAGTCCATAGCTACCTCTTGTCCCCTACGCCTTCTTATCTTCCTTCGATTCCACCAACACAATGTAAAACAGCCGATTAAAATCACTCCAACAATGACAGGTATCCCAATAAAGAGGAATCTGGCATCAGAGGCACTAAATGAGCCATGATCCTGCTCATATGACGTCTGGCTAGCCGCGGGCTGTGAAGTCTCCATCCTTGGCTCGAACTGCCTATTGTACAGGGTGGGTGGCTCCGGGGAGAGGGTTGCCATGTCAGACGCATCCCAAGTGACTACCCATGCTTGATGAAGCAATAGGGTACCATGTGTTGCGTCAGGCACTGCGTTGGGGTATGTGGCGGTTGCACTCTGGTTCTCCTCTGGTTGATCGTTTATCCGTCGCTCGCATTGGTTGGGGAAAATCTGTCTGGCCTGCTGTTGGTCTTCTTCAACGTGTCTAAGTTGATAGCCACTAAGATAGTTAGCCACTAAGTATCTCTTGTCTTGTACAGGTCTACTAACCTTGCGCAGCAAAGCGCTGTCGTGGCCCCGCTTGAGGAGTAAGTTGCTTGGTTTAACACATTATAATTCCATCCCGATGGACAAACGGCTGGACTGAGATACTCCCCAGTACCAAGACCGTCCCATCCAGAAGGGTAACATGATTTGACTGCCTTCGACACCAAGATAGACGTAGGGGTGGAGCTACCAGTCCAAGCTATACTTGTTGGGTGAAAATTGTTCTGACAGCTGATCGGTTCTTCGTATGCTGTCGTAAGGGCAATGTAAGTTCCTCCTTTTGATGTTGAAGAAGACATGGCATGATGTGGAGCGCAGATGTACAGGACTGAAGGGTGTCTCATTTTGTTTCGGGATAAGCAGTTATTTAACGTAGCAGCTTAGCGACGTTTGAAAGCACCTGCCTATTCTACTTAGTCTCCTATCAGGGGTGGGGACATTCTACCTTATCCTCGGCGAGAAGCCGGGGTACAAATTAACCCCCTGCTAGCATTGTGTCTGTTGGCTCTAAGGTTCTGACAGCCACCCCATTTGCTAATTATGTGCTGCCTGCATATCTGTAAGATGAAACGTTGTAGGATCACTACTATCACGCCCAAGCGTCGCTTACGGGGAAACAAAACCTCCGTCTGTAATCACATGGTAATGGAAGGCATAGGAAGTATGAATCTAGCGGCAAATGTATTGACAAGTATTTAAGAGATTAACGCGAGTTTATTTATCAAAAGATTGAAAAGACAACTGATATCAATAGTAGAAACTAGTGCGAAGCAAAAGAGAAAAGAAATGTACCATATATTATACATAAGAAATTGAAGACAATCAATATTTCTGGTTTATATAAAGAATGGTCTGGTTTGACGCGTTTTCCGAACGAAATGAATTATTCTCAGGCCGCCCAGTGGAGAGCCCGTGGGGTGTTGGTCGGGGTAATGATAGCAGGGATAGTGAAGGTGGGCAAAACTGAACCAGGCCTTTTAGGCGGTGCACAGCCGGGATTTGGCACATCATGCCGCAGCACGGTTCCATTTCCAAAAACGGTCCCTTGTGGCAGCGTTGCGGTGCACCCCAGAGGAAATCCTGGGGGAGTCTCGTCCAGCCGAGTTCCGTTACCAAAGACGACGCCATTCCACCCGCTCTTGCGACCGCTCGCGAACTTGTTACCACCCTTGCTGGGCAGAAGCGGAGGTCGTATTGAGCTGATTTTGCAGTTCTCACTGATTAGGTACAGGTTAAGTCCAATAGCCAGAACCTGCAGCTCAGCGCTGAGCGTGTCCCATTCGGGATCAAGCCGACTGGGAAGGACGTTGGCGATGAAGTCAACCAGCAGCACGTTAGGGAAGACTTCAGGCGTCATCTCGTTGAAGCCGCGCCAGTACAATGCCGGGTTTGTCGGGAGGATGGAGGCCTCCATAATGGAGGCGTCGAGCATGAAGTAAGGTGTGACCACCCACTGGCCGACGTGCATGCCAGACTTGGACCTCTTCTTCCACTCGTCGATCGTCCACTCGACAGCGTCCTTGGTGTTGCCCTTGTTCGGCCATGGATCATGCACGGACATGGAACCCTTCCTGTAAATACCATCCTTCTCCGAAATCTGGTCTTCTTTTTCGATCTTCTCATCCAGATTCTCGGTGTCCAAAAATATAAGAACGCACCCTTTGCCAGCATTCTTGTTCATCAAAGTGCCAACCTTGTATTTCTCAAATTGACCCTGGTGGTCAAGTCCACCGCAACGGTTGTTAATCTCTTTGAGTCTACCAAAGAAGTCATCCTTCAGCTCATCGTCCCAATATATAGGCCCCGCGATAGGTGACTCTCTGATACCGACCAGATAACGGATGTGCAAGATGATCACCTCGCCAGGGAATTTGCTGGTAAACGCATTGACCTCGTCCACAATCTCGCTGAACTTCTCACCTGCTACCCCAACTGCAGTGTGAGCGGTCTCATCATTGACGTGCAGAGCCCAGAAATCATAGGCCTTGTTCGGCTTATGCACGCTGCTAATTCGTAGATCAAACCAACGTGAGCCGGCCCGTAGCTGGCTGTTAATGTTGAGGTTTTGAGTCTGCGAGTTCCTCCAGGAGCCAACAGATAACAAGCCGTTGGTGACCTTGCTTATGCCGGCGTCATGGCTACCAGGCATCACGATCTGATCCAGAGTTCGTTTCTCGATAGTGTCCTTGATACCCTGCATCCAACCAGCGTCGCCATGCACCAGAGATGTGATGTACCCACCCTCGTAATCTGCACTTCCTGTGATGACAAGTGTGACAGGAGTCTCAGTCCTGGGGCAATTGTACTCTCTCCATCCAGCGCCCATACCCCTCAGGTCAAAGATGATACGTTTGGGGTAATTTGACCTGTCGTTATTGGTTACCTCGACCGTAAACTTGTCGTTGGTGCCATCAATGGTATAGTAGGCCTCACCCTTGCTGTCAATCTTGATCCCTGCATCATAGGAGTACTCGACGGCGTTTTGGCGCGACCTGCCTGGGGGAATGTCCTCAAAATCCCAGTGGGTCATCTGATAGTGATGAGAGCGATCCGAATCATACTTGAACGTGTGCGGAGTGAGATTGACAATGGTAATGTACTGCCAACCCACGATAGCGGACGACTGGTCTTCAATATACTTCCAATCCATGTAATAGCCCGTGGGCATGTCCTTGTCGCTGTGTGTTTTGGGGGCTGACTCGCATACAGAATTATCTTCCTTGTCATCGTCTTTGTCCTTGTCGTCATCTTTGTCCTTGTCGTCGTCTACCGGCTTCTTTGCCTTCCAATCGTACGAGTTGACATAGGCATTCACAGCCCCGCCGCCAAAGACAACGAGGTAGTCAGCCTTTCCGTCGCCGTTGAAGTCTGCGTAGTGCACAGGTCCCTGTGGACTGACGCCGGTAGCGATCGTGCCCATGAGGCTCCATTTCCTACCACTGCTTGAACTGCCAATCCTGCCGTTGTTACGGTAGGCCTTTGCAGCGCCCCCGTCGTATTGGACAATATAGTCAGCTTTGCCGTCGCCAGTGAGATCGGCGAACCTGATCTTGTGTCCTGCTTCTCCGACTCCTGTTGCAACAATTTCGCCCTCCTTCCAGATCCTCTCACCGTCCCTAGGTGGGATAGTCTTGTTGTTAAGCCAGCATTTAACAGCTCCGCCATCGTAGAGGATAAGGAAATCGGCATACCCATCTCCATTCAGATCAGCAAACCGGACCTTGCTACCTGGCTCTCCGACGCCAGGTGATATTGTAATGGCATTGTGCCAATTGCGAGAGCCCTTGACGAGGATGTCCTGGGTATTCAGGTAGGCTTTAACAGCCCCACCACCATAAATGACAAGATAGTCATCATAGCCGTCGCCATTGACATCCGCAAACTCTATACGAGCTGACGAGAGGTCCTCATCTAAGCCTGGGGCAATCTCGCCGATCGCATCCCACGTCGATCCCTTGTTGATCCATGCGCGGGCGCGGCCCTTGGCATCAACCGAGATAATATCATCCTTACCATCGCCATCCAAGTCAGCCCACCGCATACTGGAACCTTTGGTACCAACGATACCCAGGTTCTTCCACATACGGATGCTTCCGTCATCAGCAACAGCAAGGAAGTCGGCCAGACCATCACCGTCCATATCAGCAAAACGGATCATATTTCCGGTAACGCCCGAAATGCCTGGTGCAATCGTACCAAGGTCATTCCAATTGCGACCACTAGATCCGTCACTGATGGTGTTGCGGAGAGCCTTGACGGCGCCGCCATCGTAAACAATAAGGTAATCTGCCGACTCAGTGTTAATAAATCATGGAAATCATGGTGCTAGTCATACTTTGACTTACCGGCTTTTCCATCGCCGTCGATATCACGGATTCTCGCGCTATTCTCAGGTATACCCGCTGGGCCAGGCGCAATAGTTACTGCGGACTCCCAGTTCTTCTTGCCACTGTCCTTGCCGTTATTGTGCGTATTGCGGGCCCATTTGACGCTACCGCTGGAGTACACGATAACATAATCAGCATAACCGTCGCCGTCAATATCTTCGAAAAAGACCTTCTCCTGCGACTCTAAACCTGTCGCCCATTTGGCGTCAAGGGCTGTAAAGGCCTTCCCATTGTTAGTGTTCTTCCAAACTTTGGCTGCGCCATCTGAGTAAAGCACAATCAGATCGGCCTTGCCGTCGTTATCAACATCGGCCATGCGAACCATATCACCTTTGATTGATGACCAGTCCGGGTTGACCTTTCCAAGACTGGTCCAGGTATCGGGTTTACCGCCATTGATCCAAGCCCGGACCGTCCCGTCGTTGTCGGCGAGGACATAATCAGCGATTCCATCGCCATTGAGATCAGCTAAGATCAACTTATCGCGGCTACCATTCTCGGCTGCCGAAGAGATAGGGCCTACTGACTCCCAGGTTTTGAAGCCTTCGAAGACAGTGCCCTTTTTGTCCCAGATTTTTCCTTCAATCTCGCCTAGATCGCCAGAACCAGACCCAGAACCGGAGCCAGACCCAGTCCCGATACCTGTGCCAGGTGCATCGCTGTCCGTCACCTTGGCTGGCTTTTGCAAGAGACCAAGAGAATCAGCGTCCAGTATAGCTTGAAACCAGGCATCAGCCATCTTCTTATAGCCTTTATCGTTAGGGTGTTTCAGGTCTGAGAGATCACCCACTGCGATATCGATAGGTACAGAAAGGATACGCTTTCCTTGCGATCGTCTTAATTTGATAAGAGCCTCGATCTGTGGATTGAATTTATCGGTGTTGGCCTGCATTGCTGGTTTATTGGCCCAAATGACTGGTGCAGCAAGGATAGTAACTCCAGGGACTTCCTTGAATATTCCATCAATGATATCTGTGTAGATATCGATGGCAATGCCAAGGTCAACATTCTTATCCATGTTGTTTGTACCGGCGTGGATAAGAACAACGTTGGGCCGTGCCTTGATAGAGAGCTTCCAGTACTCGTTAATGTTGGCGAGATACTTTCCACTATGACCCTCGTGATCGTTGTCCGGCATGTTGCCATCTGTGAGACTGCCAACCATATCGACACTAAAGTCGTTATTCTTGGCATGACTCAGAAGCTTCTCACGGAGTGGCCCTCGGTAGCCGACAATGCCGGAAGACCCGCTACCTTTGGTGATAGAATCTCCAAGGGGCATAATTCGAAGGTCTGGGATGGCAGTGACTGATGATGTCAAATTAGATATGATCACCATTGCCAAAGCAAGGATTCCCCATGGCGTTGAGGACACCATGGTAAGAGGTAGGGCGGAGTGGTGATAAAAGAATGTTTAATAGATTTAAAAGAGGGTAAGAAAAGAGGAGAAAAGAATGTTTGATAGTAGATGATAAAAGTATGGAATAAAATTCCAAGGTCCAGCAAGTCTTAATAAGTCTCGGTGGAGAGTTCCATGTGCCTTCAGAGATAGCGAGTTTGAAGAAAGATCTTAAAGAGAGGTATGGCAAAGGCTACAGATAGACGAAACCACCAGCATCAAGTGTAGAAACAAAACAAAAGAACGAGAGACAGTAGCTTCAAGGAAGAAAAGCTAGGCGGATTTTACGGATTCAGTATATGAAAGTGCCCACTGAGTATTTATGCTTTCTCTTATCTCTAGCACCGACTGTGCATGATCTGATGAGAACCCAAGCGTTTTCATCCTGCAGATTATGTCTAGCTCTAAACATACTCGGAATACCATCCCGCCAGCCCAGTGGACACTTTCTAAGCTGCTGCTCAGGAACTTGTTGGTTATGAAAGATTGAAAGCACCCAGGCATCAGGATGCACAGTTTTCCTAGTGGGAAGGATGCACCAATCTCGCCTAGAACTATTTGCGCATTACTACCTAGTATGCCTGCATCCACTTCCAAAGACTTGCTGGGCATCGCTAGATGGTAAGCAGCAATTGTTGATGGACCGAGGCTGAGACGACCAACATCGTCTACGGCAAGATGGACTTGCCTTATCTGGTTTCTTCCGCTCATGTTTCTGCCTCAATGCAGGCAACAGCTGGTCAGCCTAATTGCGAAACAAGGGACATGCCAGCCAAGACTTCTGTGTTGTTGGTTCTATGTTGTTGGTTCTATGTTGTTGGTTCTATGTTGTTGGTTCTGCCCTCAAACCACACGACCAGTGCCAATAAGGTGTAGTGCGGGTAGCAGGACTTGCCAAGTTTGGACCTAGTTACATGTCTCGGCGGATCCAGGTGAACTGGCCGTACTATCATTGGACCGCTTACATTAAGGCACTTCAGTTTGGTTCTTAAATCCATAATTCATACTTGTATATAAGGTACTAACTTAATTTAATACCTATAGCAGTCTTGATGTTAGAATTCTAAACGTAAGCGTATGTTGCCGTTACTAGAAATGCATAGCAATAGTCTTTAGCGAATTCTTCTTATCTCTTCGGACCGTTCATCCGAGAGAAAACAAAGTTAGCAGGGTCAAGGATGGTATTCTCAAAAGCACATGATACTCAGTAGTGGACCTTGAGTTTAATCGCTCAAAGCCAAGCCCTCATTACCGGCTTTGCATAGATGAGCACTTAATTAGCGCAGCCCCCAATTGAGTCCAGATCTCTGCTGCGAGCCAACAGATACGGACTTATGGTCCGAAATACCCTTTTCGGATCCTTCGGACCAGGAATGCATTTTCACATGCTTTTATTACATAGAGAAGCGGACTCGGACTGGGCAACCTTTGCATGGCGCAGATCATGCGGGAGGATGACAAGATCTACGAGATACGAATATCACGTAAGGGTGGTGTTAAATCCTTCCGGTGATCTAATCGCCGAATAGCAATTGACGAATCACAACTATTCTTGAGCCGAGTGATTTTGTTTGAACCAGTCATGCAAGGTACGCTCACGATAGACTTCAAATTTGACTTCACTGCTCCAGGGCATGAATGGCTGTGAGTCAAAGGCGCAGGAAATAACTTTCGGGACCCGAGGGGCGGAGCTGGACACCTGAGACATGCAGTGAGAGAATTACTGATTTAGCTGCAGTTCAGAGCGCCTGGAAACGCGATGGAGTGGCACAGAGAGGTCTTTGATAGCAGTTACAGGGCTTTCAACGACTAGGATAGCAGTGAGGGTCCCTTGCAAACCATGGGTCTTTCAGTATGGGAGGGAAAAAATAGAACCACAGCCCAATGCCACCGAAGAGTGCAAGTCAATGATGATGATATCGCAGAATCTGACACCAATGGTGAGTTGACTGCTTTTGTATATATACGATGCGGTGTATAATGCTCATGCATGATGTGTTTCTGTATCTCCACTCAAGTTGCATTGATCATACCCCAATACAGCTGTCACAATGTCTGTCACTATTGTCTCTGCAGTTGCATTATTGTTTGTGGCGATTGCTCTCAAGGCGCTGTCCAATTTCTTTCGCGGTCCACTCTCAGCCCTACACGGCCCGTGGTACACGCATTTTACAGGCATTCCGCTGCTCTACACCCGAGCAACTGGAACAAGTCGCCAACATCTCCGCCGCATCCACAAATTCTACGGTCCAGTAGTGAGAGTTGGGCCCAGTGAGGTTTCGATCAATAGTCTTGATGGCTACTACAAAGTTCATGGCGTGGGAAGCAGGTGCATCAAAGCACCTGTCTTCGATAGCATCCGATTCAGTCACTCACCCATGCTATTCACGATGCGAGACCCAAAACTTCATGCGCAACGGAAACGGGTTCTTGGTCGTGGCTTTGCTGCTATGAAGGAAGAGCAAGAAATTACTATTCGACGACTGGCTGAACTTGCTGTGTCCAAGATCAAGAAGGAGGCCCAGGATGGCAGGGCTGATGTATACAAATGGTGGCGCTGCTTGGCAGTTGACGTTATCAGCGAGATGGCGGTCGGAAAGTCTTTTGAGCTTCTCGAATCTGGCGGACAAGACTTGCCTGTATTCAAGGCTTTGGGTAATGCTGGCCCAAGTGTCATTCTGCAGGTCATGCTGCCCAGCTCACTTCTGGCTCTTACCAAATGGTCTCCCATCACCTGGCTGCGCGATGTTGGTCAAGTCACTGAGATCATCTTCAATCGAGTATCAACTGCACTGAAGGACGTACTTTCCCCCTCGTGTGGGCCAAGTATGGTTCGACACATGTTGAGTGAAGCCGAGCTCAGTAAGAGACCTGTGCTTAGTGACGATGAGTTGGGATCTGAGGTGGCTATGATGCTTGTAGCTGGGTCTGACAGTACAGCTGCTACGTTGACATATGCCACATGGGAGATCATCAGGAACCCAAACCTGAGGCGGAAGATCGAGGATGAGGTTGCTGGTCTACCAGAGGACTTCACTTCCAAAGATCTGGAGGCGCTGCCACTCTTGAGCAGTGCTTTGGAAGAGGCCTTGAGGATGTATAACCCTGCTGCAGCACTGGTCGAAAGAATCGTGCCTCCAGCTGGTATTTCGGTTCATGGCTGGGATCTCCCAGGTGGCACAATGGTTTATACGACGGGCTGGCTGGTGTCGCGACTTGAAGATATCTTCCCTGATCCAGATGTGTAAGTCAACCTCTTCCGTACACTTGTATCTCATCGCTAACTCATCCCAGGTTTGATGCCACCAGGTTTATAAATCCATCGCATGAACAAAGTAGAGCGCACGTACCTTTTAGCATCGGCGCAAGGAGCTGCATCGGTATGCACCTCGCCCGCATGGAGATTCTCGTGACACTCGCTACGTTCTTTCGCGAGTGTAGGGGGTTGAGGATACATCACGACACGACAGATGATATGATGGCCCAGGTTGGCGAGTTTTTTATTGTACCCAAAGGAGGGAAGTGCGACATTGTTATATAAATTCGGTATACAGAAACACTGAGAAAGTAAATCTTATCTACAAAATATGCGTTGTCTTATCAGTGGCGATTCTGCAACAGCGGTTTAAACTCCAACCTTGACAACACTCGAACCAAAAATGTGAGCTGGTCGAACACGTCGGCAGTGTAATCTGGGAGAAGCCTAAAATGGTTCAAGCCATGCTGACAGGAAGAGCAATGGATTTGTATGAGTTTATCTTAGGGCACACATTGTTATAAAGCCCAGTACGCTTTTTACAAGCAGAAAATCCCGTTCCCGTTTCTCTTCCAACTCTCCCAGATTTCAACCTCAAACTAGCACCACAATTGACGACTCCGTACTTCTCACACACACACTCTGCATCTCACCTTTCTGAAATGATCATCCCCAACGAACAAGACGCCCCCAAACTTGCCCGACGAGTCTGGCCCGCCTACATGACTCCCAAGGGTGGCGGTGCCTTCACCTTTGGAGGTTTAACGTCGACGCAGATGTTTATCATGGGCGGCGTTCTAGTAGTAGTTGTGCTTCTTGTTGTCGCTGCCTGCGCCGCCGGTGGCAGCGACAAAAAGAAATCAACTGATGAAGAGGGCGGCGACGACAAGGAGGATGAGGAGACGAAGTGCGACGGGGAATAGACAGGCTCGCCCGTTTGTCGAGTAAGACCCATCGACACCTTTGAGAGGCACCAGGCTAACTACAAGATTTTAGGATGTCGCCCCGGTCGGTGCGAAAACCGGCGGCTCACACGGTTGGGTCGCGTACAACGAAAGGAGTTACGCTGCTATAAACAAGGGAGGTTCATGGCGGGAGGACCCGTGTCGGGCAGTCTTCACGTAGGGACAGGGTTGACCTAAAGCTTTGGTATCGAGGATGGATTCTGTTTGTTGACCTACTTCTGGTGTCCAACTGTCGTTCATCGAGAGGTTCTATGGTAGACGACACAATGAAATGATTCATGTGGCTATTATAGCCCTCTTCATCCATGAACTAGTATGCACCTGGTGTTTACAAAATGGGGCGTTAGTGGAAAGCCTCAATTTACTTGTCCTCGTCTATGAGCACATACTCTGACAATCGTCCAGTCTTCACCCCAGTGCCAGCATGGCTGTAGACGGCTTCCAGAAGATTCCAAGTGACTGCTGTGCGTGCAAAAGGGTTTGTGCCAGGACACGTCACATCAGGCCTTACTTTGTGTAAAACCTAACAGCGAACTTGGATGCTTCAATTCGTTTGAAATATGTTTAAGTTTGTACAGAAAACCATATATCGATAACTCCCGATTATCCCCCATCAACTGTGCTCCCAGTTTCCTCTCCCAGACAACCGACTAATAGGAGAAATAGGCGTGTCAGGGTGAGTCGTGATCTTGGCGCCATTGTTCGTGTCGATCACAAGGCTCTGGGAACTGACTTCCCCGCTGAATTCTCGCTGAGTGGTCAACTGTTTAATATCACTGTAGTCCAGCTTCGCGTCATAACTGTGAAAGTCTCCAACTGGAGGGTCGAAGCTGCCATTGAAGGTGCATTGCACCCCATCGACGACAAAGGTGGCTGAGATTTTGTGTCCTCCGTCGAAGCTGCTGACTGTACCGGACGTGGTAGGCATCTATGAGAGTCAGTGGATTGATCCTTAAGTTTAATTAGTCAGCTGACCTTGATCGTTTGTATGGCTGAGGAAGATGGATAAAGTTGAGACCTGGGAGGGGTATCAGAGTCAGCCTGTCTGACCGGAAGATCCTGGGGAAAGGCGTTAAGTTATAGAACCCTGAATCCAGCTTTGCCACAGATTATGATCTCATTGTTCGTCGCGTGGGCTGGCGGGATTGGACATTTTGAGAAAGCCATTTGGTCGAGACTACGCCACACAATCCATTTTCGGAATTGACTTCAAGGCTTGCTCACCTGATCAAGACCTTGCTTACTCTCACTTCCGGGACTTCTGCCTGGATGAGCAGCCAACAAAGTTTCGCAGGGCCTTCAAAATAAGTGGCATCAACAGGCGGGTCTGGAACGTAGGGCCCGGGCACTTTGGCACATATCATTAAACACGGGAAGAGTTTGCAATGCGTACAAAAAAGTGCCACGTGATTCCAGTGTTAAAACAATAAAACTCCGACGTTTTCTTGACAATTTCTCCTTTCGATTTCCCGTCCTTGTCAACCCATTTAAATAACACGAGAGTACTCACGGCCACGTCTCCCACTTGCCACAGCTCGGTTCCACCAAGACAAGACGCCGTTGTACCACGATTGTGCAGTGCAATCGAACCAGTTGAACAGATCATCCCAAGGCACAAAGTAGACAACAAGAAACGCAACAAGACCGTACCCCATGGCGACGCAAGCCGCTGATGTGCTCAAGGAAGCGGTAGCACTACCTTGATAAAGGTAGAGATAAAAGCTCTTCCAAGAAAGGCTGAGGCAGTACCCTTTGGCTGAAATGAGGACACTGGAAACCGCTTTGGCAGCCGCAACCACCAGGCCCACAGCACTAGCAACGAATCCTCTCCAGCTTTTCCACCACCCGCCAGTTGTCTTAGTCTCTTGTGTCCCACTTGGGCTATCTGCTTCATGCTCCTCGTTCCCAAGTGGAACGGAAGACTTCTCCCGTCCGAAGGTAATGTTCGAAGTACAGTCAAATTCCCAGCTTCCATTGGATCCAAGTTGGAAGCCGCAATTATCAAGATGCTTGTTGTTGAAGCTAAAGGCGTCTCCGATGTCCAAAACTTTCTGAATATGGTCCTGACGACCGCACTGGAGAGTTTTCATACTCCGAACGTAAGGTGCGTGCACTTGTGGTGAGATCGTATCAACTTCTTCACATGCAATGATTGTAAGGTGATTTACATCCTCGTTGCAAGATACCTTTGTAATGGCATTTTGTAGCCTTTTGTTTGTAGTGATGCGAAAAAACGGTCTCCCTGAGAACAGTCAGTTTCAGATCTAAAATAAGGCAACTAGATGCATACTCTTCCATAGTTGCCAACGATGTTTCTTCCACTTCTTTTCCACTTGTCGGGCCCTTGCTTCTTCGTCAACGACAACGACTATAGCCGCGTCCTTGTTATTTTCTCGGTGATCTCTCTCGATGGCATCTTGGATAAGACGCATCTGTTCGTGGGAAATCCTATGGCTGGATTTGTGGTTCCCCCATGCGGGTGGAACAAAACGCATTTTGGCATGCAACGATCGGGGCTTGGTGTCCCTCTGGTATCTAAAGGGTCTTAGGTTATCTGGGTGAAATGAGGAAGAACGAAAAGCAGAGGAATCATTCAGAGAGAGAGAGCCTTAAATGATACATGCTGAGAGAAAGGCAGACGAGCGTCACGACTGGTCCACGTACGTACCAGACTCGGTGAGAGAGCTGGCCCAATTATGGGATGAGAGAATGATATCTGCTACCCACGCAATAATGCATGCCGACCGAATAGTTACATAGAGGCTTAGTTGCCAGCTTGCGCCGTTGTACAAGTCTGAGTGGCTTGAAGAGACGAGTGCCCATTTGACATTCTTCGCGATTTTCAACCCAGTGACATCCGCAGCCTGCATAAAGTGCAAGCACATTACCCTGCCGAATTATCAGCTGACAGGTTAACTTCCAAGACTCGGATGTGGAAATGAATTGAGATTGCGAGATTGAGGCTCTGTTCCAGGCATTTACTAAGCATGGGTCTCGGTATTGCCCATGATCTAAAGATAGAAATAGTTCTAAATAGAATGTTCCATAGTTTTTAGCGAGATGTCATCCATGGGAGGAGTGGAAGAAGCCAAGGTTCCCTCGTAGGACGCGTCGAGAAAACTACTTGGCGATAACTACAAGCTTAATTCTAACCAATCAGATCATGGCATCTCGCCAATTCCGAGAAGGTCCCCAGTTCGATCCCGGGCAGAACCACATTTTTGTATTTGCGATCATCACGGCAATCAATTGTCCCTTCTATTTGGAATGACGCTGATGAGGCTCAGAGCAGGGCATGGATGGTAGAGGACGGATCTCACGTTCTACAGATGGGGATGGCCGTACGGGAAACGGTACTTAATGCCGGTCATACGAATTATCCATTAATTTAGTCTAATGGAGAACTGCGTTCTACAAGTCAAGTCACCAAGTTGCAGATCATGTCGAATTAAAAGGTAGAATATACGTGTATAAATATTTCTATGTGGTATAAAAGTCTATTCAGAATAGTTCAATGCCTCTATAAAGAGAGCATTTAGAGAAGGGCAAAAGCACCGACAACGGCCATGATACCGGCAGGGACGACCTGGGCGGCACCAGCAGTGACGGCAGTGGGAGTGGCAGGAGGAGCACCAGCGCCGGTACCGGAGGGGACAACGGGAGCAGGGGGCTGAGCACCGGAAGGCTTGGGGGAGGTACCGGTAGGGCCAGCAGGAGGAGCAGAAGGACCGTGGCAGGCAGTGGGCTTGACGAGAGAACCGTTGCTGTCGAAGGGAGCGTATCCGAGGCACTCGGAGTACTCAGCAGCGCAGGTAGCCTTGTTGGAGCCGGAAGCAGAGCGGCAAGAGTCGTACTTGTCAGTGCACATCTCAGCGCAGTCCTTAGCCTCAGCGGGGGTGGAAGGAGTGGTGGGAGGAGCGTAACCGGTGGGGGGAACGCAAGAGGTGGTGGTGTGGTGGATACCAGTGACAGTGACGGTACCGGGCTTGGTGACGGGGATGGTCTGGTTGCCGTAGGTAAGAGTGGTCTTCTCAGGGCAGTAGGTGGTCAGCTTGGTGACAACCTCAGTGGTGTAGACGGGCTTGACGGGCTTGGTGGGCTTGGCACCCTCGTGGCAAGCAGTAGGCTCGACGAACTTGCCGCTCTCCCAAGGGTTGAAGCCAAGGCACTCAGCGTACTTGGCGGCGCACTCGGCCATGTTGGCATCGGGGGCAACGCGGCAAGCATCGAACTTGTCAGAGCACATCTCAGCGCAGTCGCCGGTGTGGGTAGGCTTGGGAGGAGCATAACCAGTAGCGGTGGCGACGGGCTTGGTGATGGTGCAAGAGCAGTCCTCGATGGTGAGGGTGGTGGCCTTGGTGACAGTGTAGGTCTTGTCGCCGTAGGTCAGGGTGGTGGCCGCAGGGCAGTAGGTGGTCAGGTGAGTGACGACCTCGGTGGTGTAGTGGATGGTCTCGTTGGAAGGAGGAGCATAGTGAGGAGAGGCGTTGGCGGCACCGAGGAGGGCGCTAGCGAGAGCGGCAGTCTTGACGAAACCCATTGTGACGGTTGGTTGATGCTTGAAAGATTAAAGCGTTAAAAGCGAGTGTATTAAGCGAAAGGATGCGAGAAGTTGGATCAAGTAACGAATGTGATTATCGAGTCTGGGATGAAGAGAAAGGAAAATGGAGAAGAGGCGGATGCAACGGGAGTTTATAAGTTGATTGGAATTGCTCTGCTCTGCTTTGCTTTGTTCTATTGTTGTCAAGCGATCACATACGATCGATCCCCCTGCATGCGGGGATATGATGAGCGCAAGGACCCAGAAAAAGCTCGTGTTTATTTTTGGTCCTCAATTGTTGACATCCTATACGAAGGGGTAATTTGCCAGTGGACCAAGCGAATCGAGGTCCGGAACTCGGCTCTCAGGGCCCTGACTAAAAAGAAATGCTCTGGCCAATTGGAGTGTCACAAAATATACGAGAGGTGCATTACGGACTGTCGCCCTGCTTTCTTGCTTCTCCGTGCCCCTGGCGCTAGTGTTGGTACCTGCGTTAGGCTTATGACTAGTGACATGTAGGGAGACGAAAAATGGGTGATATGATGTCTTTGATTCGAGCGGAAAGGCGTCGTAAGCTTTTTGTCTGACATGAACTAACCGACTCTGTCCCATTCAGACGTTACTTTGTCTGCCAATTAAGATTAAACAACCATAACAAAAAGCTCATCGTAACAACGATCGAAAGTAACGGTCCCAAAAGCCTGGATCAAAAGACGCATTGACCTTCCCAACCTCCCTTCAACTGCCACGGCCCATCCGTATCAAAGCTTCATGTCGTCTCGTGTTTTGACCTCCCCCATATCCAAGCCCTGGAAAAGTGTCATTGCAGCGACCAAATGACTTGTCATGCATGGCTGAGTCACTGTAAGACAGCTCTAGAAGGTTTACCGCTACACGACAAGAGCATGAATTGACATTGTTAGCTAGCCGGCTAAACTGCTTTGAGCTATTCTGGGCGCCCGCAGGCCGTCGGCGTTTGCCGGGTCCTGACCGTTCTCGACGCACTGACGCTTGGGAGGGAACTTGACGTCAGGTGGAGTTTTGGTGGAGTGGTCTAAATCGGGTCAGCTCCATGAGTGTTTAGGGTAAGTTTGTGACTTGAGCGATTTTATCGTCAACTTTGAGATAATAGAGGTATCGGTATGGTATAGAGTAACAAATTTCTGTGCTGTTTAGTTGTAGAATTAATTGAAGCTGTAGCTGTATCTGTTGAATAGAGAAAGTAGATCCAAATACCGAGTCAGTTATGTTCCTGACTGGACAATTCATAATTTCCATTATCATGCAGTTAAGCTAGAACATTGCTATCGTCAGTGGCGATTAGCCGAGGAATGTTCTCTTGGTGATTATTTCGGGCCTTGCTCCTTAGTAATTTGTCTTTCCAGCAATCCCTTCAACTCTCCCGTACAATCCTCTTGATCCATGAAAACTTCAACCATCTTAACCCCATCATTGCCCTTCATCGCCTCTGAATCAAGCGCAGTCCTCAACTCCCCCCATGATTTTGCCTCAAAGTACCGCGTCTTCAATTCCTCATCGCTATATCCGAATAATCCCAGCGCATGCTTAAAGTTCCACGGCGCGATGTCGTTATAGTCCGCCTTTCTCCCGTGAATTGCTCGTTCAATCGTGTATCCGTTGTTGTTAATTACAAAAATCACAATGTTGAGTTTTTCTTTGACCATGACGCTGATTTCTTGCGCCGTCATCTGCAGACTACCGTCACCGATGAAAAGAATCGTGCGCTCGGTATCTTTGTTATGCGAGTTCTTGTCGCGTCGCGCTAGAGCTGCTCCTAGCGTGGCGGGAAGCATGTAGCCAATCGATAACCACGTCACAGCTGTGAAAAAGCGGCATCCTTCCGGGAGCTTGAACACCTTTCCGCCTTCTGCAGCAGTGCCAGTTTCTGTCAAAATAGTATCGCCTTGACGGAACATGGGGTTGACATATGGGTAGAACAACTCTTGGGTAAGAGGACCAGACGGCTCAGGCTCAGGATGAGACTTAGTAGTTTTTGCCGGACCATCGACCTTGGTAAGTCGCGACGGATCGAGTTTGCTGAGCAGCTTTTGAATGAAAGGCCGAGGGGCTTGATCTCGAATAACTGCTTTCGCGATCTTGATCTGCTCTGGAGCAAACGAGATGGTGACGTCCTCGTTAGGAATTGCCGTGAAGATACCGGTATTGATGTTACTCAAATGCGGTCCAAAGAAGAGGATCAAGTCAGATGATTTGAAGTAATCTGCTGCGCTCTTATCTCCGCAGTTTGCGAGGTAGACACCGTGGACATTGGGCAACTCCTCGCTGATCAGACCTTTGCCGAAAGCTGTAGTCCATGTCGGCCAGCCGGTAATGTTGATGATCTCATTGACCTCATCGATGACACCCATGTTGCGACTCTCACCATCGACGAGGATCAGTGGCTTCTGTGCTGAGTGTATCCGATCCAGGATCTTATCAACACTATCCGTATCAACCTCTAAAGCACCCAAAGAGGGACTGAGAACACTCTTGACATCGAAGTTGGCAGTCGGAACAGACAATTGAACCATATCATCAGGAATTTGAAGATACACAGGTCTCTGGTGGATCATCGCCTGCTCAATGATCCAATCGATTCTCTCCGCAGCTCCCAATCCATCCGCCAAGCAAACCTGCGCGGCAGTAACATGCGTATGCATAGCCGCAAACCGCTTGTACTCACCATCCAAAAAGGTATGGTGAACATTCAATCGCGCAGCCTGCGTAGAACGCGGTGGTGCGCCGACGATGTGGAGGACCGGTGCTCGCTCAGCGTATGCACCTGCGATGGCATTGATAGCTGACAATTCACCGACACCAAAGGTGGTAACCACCACGCCCAGAGTGTGCATGCGAGAGTAGCCATCTGCTGCGTAGGCGGCGTTGAGTTCATTGCAGTTGCCAACCCAGTGTAAACCAGCTGGTTTCACGTAGTCGAGGAGCTTCAGGTTGTAGTCTCCCGGGACGCCGAAAACGGAGCCTATGCCGAGCTGTTTGAGACGGGTGAAGAGGTAAGCCCCGAGAGGGATTGTATCTTGCTTGTTCTGCGCCATGATAATATCCAATTATTTAACAAAAAATGTTTATTACTGGAAATATTATGATCTTGTATTGTATATGTGTACAAATTTAAGTTGGTTCACGTCTTGAATAATTGATCTGCTTCCAGCATCCCCGCGTTCACCATGACTTAATGGCCCTTGTTATGCCGCGATCGGTTGCCCAATCAGGAATAGTAATAGAATCTCCTTGTCTAGCCGTCCCATCATCGACATTTGCCGAGGCAATTGAGAATAATATGGAGAATCAAGCTATGCTGTATTTGGCTTAGAGATAGTGGCGCTATGGTTCGGAACAACATCTTCTGACATAGAAATGTGAATAGATTGGCTATAGAAGGTACATCTGGAAAAAACAAGAGTTGGTTGAGAGAAAAACTATGGATGCTCGTGATGAGGGAGTGGGAGTCTCGCGTTGACGCCTCTTGGCCCAGATAACCGGTTCCCTGAGTAACAGACGACAGTATCTCTTGTTAGTTGCAGAATCGAAGGCAACCTCATCACAAGATCAGGGCAGGATTGTATTGCATAGATAGACCATCGGCTGAACTTTGTTTAATACACCAGGTTGCAGCCTATTCTGTAGCCGTTGGCTATATACCATCCCACCGGAGTAGAGTGACTGTGTTTACTTGGTCCAGCAAACTCCCGAGCCAGGACCAGGCTGGCACTGCATCCGACCACCACCGCAAGACCAGCAGCCATAGTCACCAGAGCACTCACACTTACCGGGAGCGCAGTTGGAGCCAGGTCTACGGCATTCGGGGAAGCAGTTGCAACGCTTCTCAAGACCACGGGCGGCCAGAAGTCCCTGCGTAAAAATGTCAATAACAGTAAGGTGGTGTTTATCATGGAGTGTTCGTACCTTGTCGATACCGGTATAGGTGTACTCGCCGTCCTTGACGACAGCGTAGTCAGGCTCGGGAACGGCCAGGACTTGGGCGGAGAGGAGAGCAGAGAAAAAGAGCGCGAGCTTCATGATTGGAGTCTGGTATTTGGTAGAATGAGTAGTTGATGTGGAATATCTGTTTGCTCAGGAGCCGGGTTGGGCTTTTATATCTCTTCGCACTACGTATTTGCTACTCAACATACGTATCGTAGCCAATCGCCATTGGTATTACGAAAGGACTATACTGAACCCACTGAAGGGTGAATATTATATGGTCTGATATGTAGATCTGAGGCACAGATAAGCTGGAAAAACATATACGGAAGGTTTGTATGGCGATGATCATAGATAACCAATCAATAAGCTGACTACAGATTTCTCATGTCATGTCTCATCCTGTAGGCTTCGCTGTCAGGTGGCTCTACAAGGATGTGACTTGAATTGCTGTGTTCAGTTAGAGTGACTTTACCAAAGTCCCGTTTACGGTCAGAGAAGGATTCTTAATCGCCTCAATCTTGGCGAATTGATCCTTCGAATAATCCTTGGCAAGGTAAAAAGACCCACTGGGGTTGAGTCAACCATTGGGAGAATCGATCTGCAAGACTAGCCATGTGACAGCACGACTGAGCCCAAGGGGAACGGATAAGTTTAACCATGGAGTACGCGTATAGAAATAATATGTACACTAACTGGCTGTGAAGTTGCCCGGATAGACCTCACTTACATCACTGATCTGCCCATTGAGATCCTATAATATCTTGACTAAGACTCAAGCAAACACAGGCGGCGCATCAAGCAACGGTGCCATGATACCAAGCTCGACGCGATGCACCTCATCGCCCGCAGGGGGATCATCCTCCAACCCAAAGGCAAGATAATGCGTGCCCATCTCAGAAGAGGTATAGAACGTATTGAAGTCTCCACCCAATTCCGTACATTCGGCATCGAAGGTAACGGGGTTTCTATCGCATGATACTGCGGGTATTGAACAAGCAAGCTTCCCATCAGACTTCTGCTCACAACTAATACGCTTATAGACGTCGTAGTAGTCAAGTTCTTCAAACTGTAGAGAAATACGGTTATAGCGGAGAGGGTCTTTGGGCTGAACATTAACACAGAAGTACCAGAGGTCGTACTCAGACTCTTTCAGGTAACCTGTTCCGGGCTCAATATAGAAATGAACAATTTGTTCGGCAGGTTGATGATTCCAACCAAGCTCAATGTAACCTGAAAGACGTTGTGCATTGACCTCATTCGCCGAGGAGCCAATACCGACGAGATCAAATGTAGGCAGAGGCTGAAAAGGGCCTTGGCTGGTAGTTGTAGTGATATCAGCTGTTGTAGTCGTCCCCTCTTCGGTAGTAGACACTTCAGTTGTTGTAGTGTCCATAGCAGTGGTCGTGACACCAGTTGTGACTGTTTCCAATGTTGTGGGTGTGAGGGTAGCTGTAGTCGTGTCGATATCAGAAGTCTCAGTAGAGGTGCTGTGCTCTAGAGCTGTAGCAGTTGTAGTGACAGAAGAAGTGGTGGTTGCACCAGTTGTAGTCGTTTCATTCTCTGTAGTGGACTGTCCGGTTGTTGTAGTGTCGACACTGGTAGAAGACACATCAGTCGTTGGGGTGTCAGTAGCAGTCGTATCCACACCGACTGTGGTAGAGGAGCCGGCTGTAGTAGTGATGTCTACATCGTCAGAAGTCTCGGTAGATGTCTTATCGTCCTGAATTGTGACAGTGGTGGCATCCGTACCAGTAGTGCTCACTCCAATTGATATTGTAGTATCGGTACTAATAGAAGTGTCGGTGGACGCGGCTTCTGCCAGCGTCGTAGAAGATAACTCAATCGTCGCAGTGTCGGCAGTGGGGATGGTTGCGGAAGCATCAGTTGATGTACCAGATTCTGTAGTTGCAGAACCAGGGACACTTGGAGTCAACTGTGATGTTTCAGCGGTCCCAGCATTGGCCTGACTGGTGACCGTTTCCGTCGTGGTGGAAGATAGGTCAGTTGTTGCGGCGTCACGCAGAGTACTGGTCGCAAGAGCTTCCGACTCGGAAGCTGTCCCGCTGGCATCGCTTGTCTCTTCCACTTTAGTAATGGTTGCGGGAAGATATCGGTCGGATATCGTTACAGTCCCTTCTGATAGAGATGTGAAAGCAGCATCGCTGGAGACAGTTGCAGATGTACTGGCTGATGGGACGGCGAAAACGGTAGTAGTTGTCACATCCTGTAGATATGTAGCCGAGGTTGATAGTAGCAGAGTCGAAATGTCTAGCTATTCGTTAGTGATCTCAAGAGAGATTCGAGTTATTTATCTTGAGTACTTACCAGAGCTCCTTGAACGTGGTTTACACACACTTGCAACGGCAGCATTAGCCGCAAAGGCAATTGAGCAGAAGAAAACGCCACGCATGCTGAAAGAAGGACTACCGACAAATAGCTCAGCACTTGGGCCCAAAGGAAGGAGAATGGCGCAAGCTAACATAGATAAAACCTTCCAGACATTTTTATGAAGACTGCAAAGCCCGAGGCTCATTTCCGTAGTGGGCAGATTTTCTGAAGCTATTGACAATTCGCTTTCAGCTTTTTCCAATAGTTCAGGCACTAGCGCTAATAATTCTCCTTGGCACTTACAGCGCCTTAACCGAGGCTGCCGCCCTGTAGTGCGCCACTGAGAGACCCTGTATTTTAGCGACCTCTGAAGGACCCTGCTTGTCGAGCTTCACTCTGCATTCATGCTCATCAATCGTAGATCCCAGCAAATCGCAATAGGAGTGAAATATTGTCTCTTTAATTTGAAGACTAGAAATGCTCGATTGAACGAGTTCAAGCCCAAGCGAAACAGTCATTGATGTAACCGGTCTATTGTCAGGGCATTTTTAAAAGCTCCGGTGAAGCCCCGTTCAGAGTCTGGTCCCCAATCCATGCCCCACTACCGTTGCTCTGCTCAAGTTCGAGACCATATCCTCCCTTGCTTCCCAGCAGGGCTACCAGAACAATCGACTCATGAATCAATCCAGCTCTACAAGGATGAGCTTAAACCTCGCGTCGCGTGACACGCAGATTGAAGTTCTCAATAATCCAGACACCCTAACCCGAGTTAGTCTCAATACAACAGGTCAAAGATGCAGGTCCACTTACAGCGTTGAAAATGTCAGTAGGCTTCTCAGGTTTAACGATGCTAAAGTCAAATCGTCGCAACAACTACAATCAAATTAGTCTTCCTCTCTTGTATCAATCAGTTGACAGACATACCTCAACGAAGATCTTGTTCAACTCCATGATCGCAACAGGTTTACCCAGACACTGCCACTTTCCACTCGAAAACACAAGACCAACATGATCAGCCATAGCCTCAAGACGTTCAGGGTCGGCATTCAACCATCGCTCAGGACGGAAGACAGCTGCATCCGGACCAAAGACCTTTTTAGAGTGATAAACACCGAACGGTGAGATACCAATTTGTGTACCCCCGGGAATGAACATTCCGTTGATGGTATCGCCCTCTGGAGGAACTGCTTTGAACAGAGGTCCTGCAGCGGGAACTTTGATCCGAAGACCTTCTTGGATAGTGGCTTGGAGGAATGGTAGCCTACGGGCTTCGGCGTCGGTGATGGGTGATGAGATTGTTCCGGCTTTGATAGCGTCGTCGATTTCTTGCTGAAGGCGTCTGTAGGCAACTGGGTTGGTGAGGATACACAGCATGATCATACGGATTGTGGTCGCGGTCGTTTCGCTTCCAGCAACGACATTAAGCAGCGATTCTCGAGACATTTGTTCTTGACTCAGTCCGTTTTTCATGAAAGATCCTAGCATATCAGCATGAGGAGTTGCACCTGGTGCGAACCGTTCAGCGACCTTCTTATTCGCAACACTGCCCATTGTCAGCATTTGCTCACACCAGAAGGACAAAGTTTCTTACCCGATGAAAGCGCCAAAGCCAACGCCATCAGTCTCCTTCGGTAAAAGCCCACTAAACAGCCGAGAATGAAGTAGGGAAATCATCCAAGGCATATTCGCCATGGTGACAGTAACCGGGAAGTAAGCTCTGGTGATTTTGAGAAAGTCATAGACATCCTCATCCTTCGTCAGATATCCGAACTGGTGTCCAAAGGCAAGATCGCTGATGACGTCGAGAGTAAAGAACTGAGCCTTCTGGGAAAAGTCTACAGGACGGAACTCATCTTCGGTGGATAGGTATTTTGTTTCGAGAAGGTCGATGAATTTGGCGATGATGGAGTCGACGGAGCGTTCTAGTGAAGGGTTTTCCTTGCCGGAGTACTGATACTCGTTAGCTTGTGAATGATGATTTCGGATGAGCAGGTCATACGCCAGCTGCCATTTTGTTGCGTAGCTTTCTGTGACCCTCTTCATCTTGCATCGAGAAGAGATTGTCCTTGCCTGGCTCAAAGCGCATAGATGCGAACCCTGCTTCGTTAGTGACTTCCTGAGATACTACAAGTGGTATCTTTACATACATGGTCCTCTGACATAAGTAGATTTAGCAGAGTTCATCCTCCTCAGAAGCGCGGCATCGTCCGTCGCTAGCTCGTTGGGTCCAATGCGCACCAAAGATCCTGCGGCCACTTAGTACGTACCCAACAGAGGCCATCGTGAAGGATCGTCATCCTTACCGTATTTCTCAATCGCTGCTTGTATTTCCATCGGTTGCTGCGCTCTCATTGATCCTCTAAACATCCAAAGTCTGGTAAGACCTGCCCCAAAGGGTCCAGGAACGTGACAAAGACGGTACCATGCTCGCAGCGTATCGATGACAAAGAAAACCAGTAGTCCGACAGCGGCTGCGCCAATGATCACCTTGGGGTTGTCTGTGAGCTGCTGGAGAATATCACGCAGCAGCCCTGCCGAAGCGCCACTTTCGTCACTCATCTTATTTGTGTGATGCAGGGAGGAGAAAAAAGAGAAGAACAAAGAAGACCCCTCTTTGAACAACTGATAACATTTCCGACTGAAACCGTGAAAGTGGAGAATGAAGATGGTAATCTGCAGATCTGCGGCGTATCATTGTAATTGTAGTGGTTGCAATTGGCTGGAGACCGAACAACCCACAAGGGACGGTCCGCAAGGGGAAGCCAAGCTCCGGCGACCGAGGTGCGAAAATGTCGGTGCAGGACCCTTCGATAGGGCTGCTCAGTAAGAGCCACGAGACTGGAGCAATGGAAGAGCTCTGAACGCACTGCACAAGACTCGTGATGTCAGACTCATGTAGGCATTCAATCATTTCAGCGAATGCGGAGATTTAAACATGCGTTGAGGACTTTGCTAAAACAACGTTATTGAATGAAGTTTCTTTTAAGAATCAAGCATCTTATAATCTGGCTGGAATTGACTCACTAGAAAATATGATAGCCTGACTCACACGCCCGCTGCCGAACATGGATTAGCGATGCTACTGCATAAGTGCCCAAGACTAACAAAGAAACGTCGTTCACCCATGGCCACTGATGAATACAGCCAGTAAGCGATGAACAAAGGTCCTGTGTAGTCATGTCCTAGTTAATGAGGCTCTGTGCATGTGGGAGACCTACCATTTACTTTGTTCGTAAGCAGTATTTGAGCATCAGATCCCTCTGTAGTTCTTCTCTTCTCTTCTCTTTATTATCATCAATTCACTGACCTTCAGCGCACTTTTGCAAACCAAAAATATCACAGCATGCAACAGGAGAACGAGACGAAACACAACGGCCTTCCACCAAGACAGATCATCATGAAGTCAACTATCCCCCTCATCGTAATCGCCTGCATCGCGCGAACTATCTTAGCCGGCGCAAACGCCAACGATAACTGCCATGATTACTGCTATGCTGACGTCGGAGCTTGTTACTATGAGCTTTCTCAAGGCGACGATAACTTTGGAAACATCCCCAGAGGGGCTCGTGCTGATTTTGTCGCTGGACAGACCATTGAGGAGCCCATACGTATTGTATTCAAAATGATTCGCCCCGGTATCCTGGAACATTGCAAGACCGAGTTGGCAGGTTGTTTGAAGATCTGTAATTTGGAATCCGGAAATATGTAATCCTTGATCTGGCTAGTATGACCAACACAAAAGGAATGTGCACAGCGCCCCCGTATTGTATGGCCGAATATGCCAAATGGTCTACTTGGGCTTAGCTTTAAGAATGATAAGAAATATTAAGTGGCGGACGTGCTCAAGTGATTCTAAGGACGAAGAGTTCGCTGCAAATGACAGATATGGGATTATAAACGGGAGTCAGAAGAGATGAACAAATTTGGACAAGCACATGAGGATAGATGGCAGAAAACCCCATAAATGAAGTTTCGCTCAACAAGGCGCCATAGAATTCCACTAGAATTATCTTTTGACAAATGATGAATACTTGTTGATTGCCTCATTCAAGCATGGCGCACCAGACGGATTGTGATTGTTGCCATGCAGCTGGGCAAAGTGAAAGCTTGCCAACAAAATGAAGATGGGCCAAGGTTGTCCGAAATTGGCAAAAGAGTTTCACTCACCTTACCACTGGTGACTACAGCCAGCGAATGGTGATCAAAGACCTTGTGTAACCATGCCTCGCTGACTGCGGGAGGCCCACCATTCACCCCCTCTTTGTTTGTGAGCAGTATATCAGCATCGGATCTGACGTCTGCCATTCTCAGTTTTTTGATCTTCTCATCAACGTCAATAATTGACTTTCTACTCTCAGTATCGACCACACGAGAATCATCGACACATACGACGAAACAACAAAGCGGAAGACACCACCCCCATCAATCATCAATCATGAAGCCTACCGCCCCCTTCATCGCGATCGCTTGCGTCGCATCGACCGTTTCAGCGGGTCCTCTCGCTTACGCCGCCTGTCAATCTGGCTGTGCTGGCGTCGTGATGGCTTGCTACTCCGCAGCCGGCTTTACCTGGGGAGCGACCTTTGGAGCCTCAGCCCCAGCGACTATTCTGGCATGCAACACTGCTTTTGGCACGTGCTCAGCCACTTGTGCACAGGTCGCACTCCTTGCTCCTACACCTTAAGCTTGAAGTGGGCGATGTAGAGACATCCAAGGCTCTACTTGATTGTACGACTGTCACCAAATGTATATCCACAATGACCCCTATTGTCAATCCGCTACAAGCTCAACGGTCTGGACTTTACACTAACGATGAGAAGTATTGGTTTGCCAAGGTGTTTAGGCGACGAAGAACGAATGGTACGACAAGAATGACAGATCTGTGACTTTTAAACAGGAGTCTGTAGCGATTTATTTAACAGTCGGAGAAAAATGGAAAGGGGCCGTGGAGATTGCCGAATGCACTAAGACAATAGTTAAAATGTGCTATTGTTAGGCTACTGCCCACTAGATCACGTTTGTCTTTCCTTATCAGCCAGCCACCCATTAGCTCAGCTCAGTTGACAAAATGTCATTCATCCCATCTCGTGTTGGTGGCGGAACATCAACCAACAGCACAGCCTCTTTATCAGGCGATATTTAATATTAGAATGAGCAATAAACGATGCATGTGAAAGTTGTGGTAAATTATCTCCATTTCAGGCCGTCCCAAAATGTCCTCAAGTTCAACTTTAACGTCGAATCAATTGATACAATTGGACATAGCGTATGATCCCTTGAACATCGAGATCGACGGTTGGCGCATCCAAAAAGGAGTCGTAAGGCTTATCGACACCTGCAAACGGAAGAAGTTCCGTCTTAAGAAGCGCCATACGGAAATCGGGGGCTGTCAAAGTGGATTCTTCAGCGACGAGTCAGAGTCAGACCACACACTAGAGCCAACTATCGTATTCTGACACAATAGTCAATTGGACCGAAAAAAAAAAAAGAGAATGGCTGAAAATGTCAATTCGACCGAACTATCGGATAACGGCATCAATGATGCTGGATGTTCGGCACGCTAAACGAGAGGGGCGTGGACAATCCAGTTCTTGTGAGTGGCTGATCAAGAGACAAGCTTTACGGAGCTCCCAATTAAAGACATCGTTTAGAGATTGACGAGCCCACCTCGTAAAGCTGATAAGATAAGCCTCCAGTCTAGTCTGTCTCGGTTGGATCCGACACATTTGGCTCCTCTTTGCGCCCCTAAAACCTTCTGACCGTTCTCGAACGTGAGAGGGTTTATTTGACAAAGAGAGATTGAGTTTTCGGTATTATTAGAGTGGTGCCCGCACCGTCGGTTGTTCCCCGTACCATGTTCCTCTTCTACCTCTCTGTCCTTGTTTGATCTCCTTGACCTTCATTTTAACAACTCTGTTAGAATGTCCAAGTCGTTCGGCTTCCCAACCCCAGTCATGGATCATCTGTTTCTCCTCCGTGCCAATCGGCGGAAAGGTGTTTTGTTGGCCATGGGCATATTGGTGATCTTTGGACTGGCTGTACACTCTTGGCTCTTCTACTTCCCATCCACCAGCGAGTTGGCCTTTCGGTAAGTGATTGCTTGTACGGATATCCCATGCATCCTTTCTGAATCGTGATCGATTAGACATAAACTGTCGACACCTCTGCCTGTGACATTAGCCGAAAACACACCAGAGCTGATGCACCATCTATGGAAACCCTTCCTCCACGACATCAACGCGACGAACTTCATGTCGAAAGAGGGATATCACTACAAGATCAACAAGAAAAACCAGCGATGGGCGCCCCAGAAGAAGAAGCTGCTTATTCTCGATGTCGATACACGACTTGACACTGGCGCTGGCGCCATGATGAACAAAACGTCTATGAAGGCGGAGGAAATGACTGGAAGGACCGGCGGAATGATGAACCACTATTTATACGGTAAGCCAATCTTGTTTCCGAGTTGGGAAAAATATTCTAACCAGCGCGTTCTACAGCTATGATTCACGGATACGACTACCAATTCATTCGAGCCCCCGACTATCGCAACCGTCACGGAACCTGGGTAAAAGTCCCAATGATCAAAGAAGCCCTCAAGACCCACGAAACCGTCGTCTTTCTCGACGCCGACGCCGTCTTCATGTACCCCGAAATCCCCTTCGAGTGGCTAATGAGCCTCTGGAACATCACCGACAATACCCTCATCGCCCTAGCCAACGACCCCGACTCGCCTCGCAACCGCGACAACAAAGGCAAAGTCATGCAAAACACCGGCTTCATGGTCGCTCGCCAAAGTAACCGCACCCAAGAACTTTTCCACGATTGGAATCAATGTCCCACCGATACAAAATACAAAGATTGTAGCAAATGGGCTCACGACTGGGCGCATGAACAAGCTGCGTTTTCGAATCATGTCCGCTACGACTATAACCGTACAGATGACGTGCGCACGATTCCTTGCATGGATGGAAACGGAGCTCCTTACATTGGGGACAAGAGCTGCGGTGGGGTTTTCATCCGTCATCACTGGTTCCACAAGGACTATCCTGCGAACGACATGCGTCAAATGCTTCTTGATACCCTCGTGAAGAGAATACACGCTGGTTTTCACCATGCGCAGGAACAGAATTTCATAGATGCGACTCATTATACGCATCCGCTTAACAACATCAAGAATATGTAGAATATTTATGTAAAGTAGAAATAATTTAATTGGACATGACCATGCGTTGATCTTATGTACTAGCAAAACAACCGGTATCCATTGAGGCTGTGCATGAACTGGGTATCAGCGAAATGTCCCTTGGAAAAGCCGATTTCGCTCGAGTGCATGCTTACTCACGTAATTAAACGAGCGGCAGTGTAAGCGCGCCAGTCTCTGATTCGCGATGACGTTCGGCCCATTCCCAATACAACCATCTCAATGTCGATCTTTCCAAGTCAATGACTAGTTGATGACTGAGAGATCCAAGACATGCACTGGCATTTAGCCTCAATGACAACGTTAATATCAAGACATTTTAGCTTACGCCCAGAAAAATAGTAAGACGACGATGATGCTTATTCGTCTGCCTGTAAGCTAGAATCCTCCAAGAACGTTTGTTGATCCTGGTGATTTATCCGGGGAATCCATTACGCCAAGGGTTTACCCCGCAACGATGCAATGCTTTGCGGGGAATAGGCTGATATGTCAAAGTTTAAGGAAATTACATCCAGGAAATTCACACGGCAGTTCGTCCAAGGCGAAGGCGGATGAGTATATAAGGATGGAGACATCGCCCATAGATCAGCAGTAGAGCAGCCAATTCAGACTCATAAGAAACTACCACACAGTTCTGAGACCTCATCATGAAGTCCAATCTATTGTTCCCAGCTTCGGCTCTCCTTGCTTTCGCTGGTCAGAGCGTTGCCACCGACTGTCCGCTCATCACCAGCAGATGGTCCGCGGATCCTTCGGCTCATGTCTTCAACGACACTCTCTGGCTCTACCCTTCTCATGACTGGGACGCCGGTCTTGAGAACTCCCCTGATGGAGGCCAGTATGCCATGAAAGATTACGTCGTCTACTCCATCGACAAGATCTACGGTTCTCTTCCCGAAGACCATGGTGTGGTTCTCTCAGTGGACGATGTCCCATGGGCCTCTGAACAGATGTGGGCTCCTGATGCTGCCACCAAGAACGGCAAATACTACTTCTACTTCCCCGCCAAGGACAAGGACGGCATCTTCAGAATCGGTGTCGCTGTCTCAGATACCCCTGGTGGACCCTTCACTCCCGACAAGAGTTGGATCCCCAACACTTTCAGCATGGACCCCGCCAGTTTCGTTGACGATGACGACGAGGCATACCTGTCCTGGGGCGGTCTCATGGGTGGTCAGCTCGAGCGATGGCAGGACAAGAACAACTACAACGAGTCTGGAGCCAGTCCTCCCAACGGCACTGCTGCCTTGAGCCCTCAAATCGCCAAGTTGAGCGATGACATGCACACTCTTGCTGAGAAGCCCCGAGACATCAAGATTCTCGACCCCAAGACCAAGAAGCCCCTGCTTGTCGAGGACTATGATCGACGATTCTTCGAGGGCCCCTTCATTCACAAGTACAACGGCATGTACTACCTCAGCTACTCCACCGGCACAACCCACTATATGGTCTACGCGACTTCCAAGAGCGTGTACGGACCGTACACTTACCAAGGAAGAATTCTCGAGCCTGTCGAGGGCTGGACTACCCATGGTAGCATTGTCAAGTATAAGGGACAATGGTGGGTGTTTTACCATGATGCTAAGACTTCCGGCAAGGATTATCTGCGCCAGGTCAAGGCTAAGAAGATTTGGTATGATAGCAAGGGCAAGATCGTCACCAAGAAGCCCAAGAGAGCTGTTTAATGTAGGCTGATACAACACATTGAATCTATCCTTTAATTTAATATCTATCATTCCGAGACTACTCATGTTGTTCTTTACTTCTCCGTGCTGTGACTATTTCTTGTTTGAGACATCTGGGACAATTGTTAAAAAACACAGAAACAGAGGCAGAAAAAAGGGGGTATAACCTACTGAATTGGAAGTGAATGATATCGCCGTCTTGGACAACATATGACTTTCCTTCTTGGCGGTACTTGCCAGCAGCCTTGATTGGCCCCATTGATTTGTTACCCTCGCAGAGATCATGGAAGTCTTGGTAGGCCACCACCTCAGCCTTGATGAAGCCTCGCTCGAAGTCGCTGTGAATGGCACCGGCAGCTTGAGGTGCCAAGCATCCTCGGGGGATAGTCCAGCATCTAATCTCCTTCTCACCAGCGGTGAAGTAATACTGCAGACCAAGCTTGGTAAATCCCTCAGTGATAATCTTATCCAACTTAGACTTAACCTTGCTCTCCTTGAGAAACTCAGCCTGAGCATCAGGATCCTCCTTCATGCTGTGCAGCTTCTCCTCGAACTCGATCGAGAAGGGGATGATATCCTTGGATGTACCGCCATGCTCGGCGACCCATTTCGCTATGGAAGGAAGGTACTTGCTCTTTTGTCGGAGGTAGTCCTTCATGGTCAGGTTGACAAGGTAAATGATTGGCTTGGTGGTGATGAGTTGGATCTTTTCGTTGATGAGGGCGATCTCGGCTGGGGTCCAGCTTCCGTCTCTGACTGGCTGGTCTTTCTCGAGCATCTATTATAGTGAGTAAATGCTCAGTTCGGTGAAGTGTTGGAGATCTTACCGCTCGGATCTTGCTTGTTGTCTCGTAGAAGAGGGGAAGCATCTTGTACTTGCCACCTGCCTTCTTGACGATCAGCTCCTCGGCAACGATTTGCTTATCGAGAATATCTTGAACAGGTGTTAGTTAACCCCAAACCATGTTATGAGGAGACACTAACCTAGGTCCTTCTTGCAAAGCTCGCTCTGGATGGTGTCTGGACGGTTGTTAGCTTTGCAAGTCCAATGGGTAGACTCGCTTCAACTCACTCAAGTCACGAACGGGATCGATCGAGTCATCGACGTGCAAGACCTGGTCATTATCAAAGGCTCTACATCAACTGATCAGAAAAGGCCTCAAGAGTTGGCTATGTGCGTCTTACCGGACGATGTGGAAAATACCATCAACAGCTTGGATATGCGACAAGAAGGCATTACCAAGGCCCTCTCCTTGAGAAGCACCCTTGATCAAACCAGCAATATCAGTAACCTGGAGATAAGCAGGGTACATAGACGGAGGTTTCCAAAGATCGCAAAGAAAGTCCTAGACTAGTCAGCCATCTCTTCATTCTCACAAACTCATCAATCCTTACATATCTCGCATCAGGAACAGCACATCTCGCCTCATTAGGCTCAATAGTACAGAAAGGGTAATTCTCCGCCGCAGCACTCTGCTCGGTCAAAAGGTTGAACAAACTCGACTTTCCAACGTTGGGAAGGCCGACGCATCCCATCTTCAGGTTTTTTTTAACTCGGCCGAAGGCGACCACATTGTCGATTACAGGCTCAGCTTTCTTGGGCGGCATTTTGTTGATATTGATGAGGAAATATTATGTAGAAAGATCGATTTTGGACACACAGAAAAATGTCGACGGGTTATTTGAAGGAGTTTTCAAAGTGGTCTGATAGCCCACTTAAAGACATGGGTGTGAGATGTTCTAGCCGAAGCCACTGCATGAGATGATAAGATGTTTAATAACATTAATGTTGGAAGACAAGAGTTTTCTTCAACGTTAAAGTACAGTAGCACTCTCTTGGTAGAAACTGTGGAGTAACTATACTCCTTCACTACCACCGTATTCCTACTGTCAGTATGTACATGGGTTATTGGAGTTATTCCTCAAGGGTATCACGTGCAGGACCCTGATTCTTGAAAGCGGGGTTCAAATGGATTTCTCGCGAATCACAGGTGACAGTAGCGTGTTGGCTGTTTCAATGTAACGTTTAGTGTATTAGCTACTGCTATTTATGGACCAGCCACTAATATCCAAGCATCCTGTCATCCCCATCTTAACTGTCTAAGGACCCTTCAGTCTACATCTCATTCCAAGCACATCAACATCCGCTTAGTTGTTGCAGCCATTAGCATTAGCATTAGCATTGCCACCGTTGTTCTGTCCTCCTTGGTGGTGACGGGCTTCCAAGTCCCGCTTGCTGTTGCAGCCATTGTTGTTCTGACCGCCCTGGGCATTGTTCTGTCCATTGTTGTTGTTCTGGGCGTTCTGAGCGTTGTTGTTACCGTTGTTACCAGCGTTGTTCTGTCCGTTGTTGTTCTGAGCGTTGTTGTTGTTTCCCTGGTTTCCATTGGCAGCGGCAGCGTTGTTGTTACCACCGTTGTTCTGACCTCCCTGGTGGTGTCTGACCTCGAGGTCTCGCTTGTTGTTGTTCTTTCTTCCTCCCCTGTTCTTGGCGCCCTGGTGGTGTCGAACGAAGAGCTCCTCATCACGCTTGTTGTTGCCCCTGTTCCTGCCACCCTTGTTCTTAGCACCTTGGTGGTGTCTGACCTCAAGATCTCTCTTGTTGTTGTTCTTGCGTCCACCTCGGTTCTTAGCTCCTTGGTGGTGGCGGGCAACGAGTTCCTCATCTCGCTTGTTATTACCGTTGCCATTGCAGTTGTTGTTGGCATTGGCATTAGCGTTGCCGCCGTTGTTCTGTTCTCCCTGGTGGTGACGGGCGACAAGTTCCTCGTCGCGCTTGGCATTGCATCCATTGTCGTTGTTGTTATTACCGTTCTGGTTCTGGTTCTGGTTCTGGTTCTGGTCTTGGTTCGCTTGAGCGGCCTGGTTTCCTTGCTGGCCTTGGTTGCCCTGGTTGTTCTGGCCACCTTGGTGGTGAGGCTGTTTCACATTAGTCGACGCCTCAATGATGAATTCTATTGAAGCTTACCTCTCGGGTCTCAAGAGTGGTGAAGACTGGCAGAGCGCTTCCTGGAATGGCACCAGCAACCATCAAGGCCTAAAGAAGGTTAGTTGCTAACTTGGCTTATTGCGTGGAGAAACATACTGCGAACTTTCCAGCACTAGGAACTTGGCCATCACGAGAGAAGGCCTGAGCGGCAAGAGCGCTGACGATGATGTTGGAGAAGTACATATTGACTGATGTGTGTTTGTGAAAGACTGGATGAAGTCTGACCGGCAGGTAGAATAAAGAAGGTGTAGAATGAAAAGGACTAGCCTTGGGTGTAAATGAATTGAAAGGAAGAAGAGATGATTGCGTCAAGCAACGATCAGATGAATGAGAAGTGAAGACGAGATGGAATGGTACGATTATTTTGAGGCAGAGATTAACGAAGCTCTTTATACTCTTCATCTCAACGTCCAGATGACGCTTTCACTGCTGTCATCCTGTACTCTATCCCTCAGAATAGTTCTCGAGTCTAGGCCTCCCAACTCTCAGGATACTCAAACGCGAATACCTTGACAAGACTCAAAGTGTTTGGGAATAATGCCGCATTGCCGTTCTCTTGGATAGGCGAGTCTTGTCACGATAGTGGTAGCGCGCGTCATGATACTCTCTAGTGACTCTCGAGGAGGCTCTTAGTGGCCAATATGGAGACAACCAATCGAGAAACGGATATATCGGCCGAACTGTGCAACATGAAAACTTTCCATGGGCAAGTAAATGATTGGTGGAAGATGAATGTCAGCTATTGTTTCTGCTTGTTTCATGAAACCCGCTTTAGCCGTAGCGCCACCCCTGATACAGCTACTACACCAAATGCTTCAGATCTCCTGGAAATACCACCTTCTCCCCAAAACTCCACTTATGTCCGATACGACGTTGCCAGTCCTTTGGGTCAAGATTTGGAGCCATGAAACTGGGAAACTATTTTGAGTGGTGCCTGTCACTCATCTGAACTACGTTTATGGTACTATCGCCATTCACTGTACGTCTCGGCTTGGCGTTTCAGAGATCGATTCGAGAGCCGAATATCCGCTTACATATTCACAGGGTGTCGGAGATAATGCTCAATCGCTGTCCATCGCTGTGCGCTACTCTATATGTATTGTTGGAATCACGGAAGTCTGGAAACCTCACACCAAGACAACCAAACTTCTCTTCTTGCAGCAGGACTGCCATTTTGAACCAACGCTCTTTCCTTTTTTACCTTTCAGTCCTTATTTTAATTATTATCATTCAATCATGGAGTCCAAGTACCAACCTATCTCTTATGACGACGTGCCGCTTGTCGACGAGAAAGCGCCTCTCGCTTCACCAACAGAACGATACATCTTTGTCCCAAACCACTTCGCGCGTTATTCACAGCGCCCTTGGTTTGTCTGGGCGTGTCATGGAATCTTACTTTCTCTTTCCCTCACATTGTTTGTGTCGTCATTATTACTGCGCGCGGAATCACTTTCCAACAGCGGCCAGAGAATACCGACGTATCCTTACTGTAAGTGCAAACCCTCTCTTCAATAGTTTTCCTTTGCTAACGTCATGCAGCGCCGGCTGAGTCAGTCGCTGGCTTCCACAGCGTCCGCTACAACATCACACCAACCACCGAAGAAACCGAGTTCATCGGCTATGGCCCTGAAGTCGACAAGGCATGGGAGCATATCACATACGATGTCGGCGACCAGATGATTACACGCGAAGAGCTCGATAACCTTGGTCTTGATCCCTCCTCACTCACGATCAAGAATCCCAAGACAGGGAAGAAAGGCTACCGTGTTGGGATGCAGGTCTTCCATCAACTACACTGCCTCAACTTGCTCAGACAATCTACATACCGAGAATATTATTCGCATACTGGAGGAGATATTGATGTTGACCACGAGGACTTGAGAGGACATTTGGGTTAGTTGATACCTATACACTCCTTGTTGACATGAGCTGACGTGATCTTTAGACCACTGCATTGAGTTCTTGAGAACCAACTTGATGTGTCAGAGTGACACTGGTGTCTTTGCATTCAAGTACTATGATGGGTTTGAAGGACATTGGCCAGACTTCAGCACGCCGCACACATGCCGAAACTTTGATGCCATTCGTGAGTGGGCGTTTGAGCATGCAGTCGTCTTTGGTGATGAGCAGTAGTACATAGGCGTAATCGTAAACTGGTAGACTAATAGACATATGCTATCCAGCTAGACTGGATCATCTACTTGACGAGCACTCTGATTACTGTTGACTACGTATTGCCAATTCAGTCTACCTAGTAGTTATGCTTCCTTTGCTCTGTTGGAAGTAGGTTAAATGGAGCTACAATTGGAGTTACTAGAGAGGCCTGTTCGTGTTTCATCACTGTCGTGTAGTCTAATGAGTTCAGTCTACAAGGCTATACATTATTTCATTATACAGTATTACTCATAATACGTAAGGAAACTATCTCGAAAGAAGGTTGAACATCGCGAGCTACCACAAACCGCCCCCGCCACAGAGCACTTCTACTCGCTCCTTAACTCATTTCAGTACTCAAGGGTACTTGACGCTGAAAACAGGCGACTCGGACTTGTCCCAGTCACTCTCCACCTTCTCGTCACCAAAGATTCTCAAAGCCTGGTACTTGACCTTGTACTTTCCAGCAGGGGCATATCCACCATCAGCAAGCTTTCCGTTCCAAACAATGTTGCCCTTGCCCATGGGGTTCCACTGCACAGGGAATCCAGCAGGAGCGCCAAGACTCTTGGTAGAGTTAGCACCGACGGGGAAGAGCTCAGCTTCGAGCTTGGCTGATCCCAGAGCGAGGTTCCAGGCCAAAGCAGGGGCGGGCTGGGTGGCGGTGGCGTTCTGGCCCTTGACGGGGAGGATGAAGGTTGTGTTGGCGGGGACGGGAGTAAGATTGTCCTTGTCGTTGGACTTGGCGATCCATGTGTCGTCGGAGCCGAGAACAGTAGCGTCGTGCAGAGAGCCGGTCAGACCCTGGTAAGGAAGGGACAGAGAGATGTCAGTACCGTTGATGGCAATGTAACCAGACCAAAGAGCGAGACGCTTGGCATCAAGACCCTCAGGAGCAGTAGGCATAACCTCGATAGTGACCTTCTCACCAGCAGCCAGGGAAACCTTGGCCTCGCTGAACTTGAGCTCAGCATGAGCTTCAACAACATCGTTGGGGAAGGCAGAAGCATAGATGCTGTCCTTCTCAAGAGTGTAGACGCTCTTGGTAGGAATGTGCGAAACACTGAGGGCAACCTCCTTCTTGCCAGTGTTGTGGAGGGTGAAGTTGCGAACCTTGATGAAGTTATCGGTGTCGTTGAAGGACAGACTGGAAACATCAGTCAAGAGGGTAGAGTACGCGGCGTCGTAGGCTTGGATCATACCACCACCCTGTTGAGGGACAGGAGCGAGGTAGTCAGAGAAACCAGTGCCATCGTTGAAGAGTTGAGGGTTGGAGGTCGAAGCCAGCAGGTTCTCAATGGTCTCAGGGTCGAGGGTTCCACGGACCTCAGCGATAAGGGCGATGGTAGCGGCGACGAGAGGGCAAGCCATGGAAGTTCCAGAGAGAACAGCATAGCCACCCTTGGCAAGAGGGTAGGTCGAAAGAATGTTGCCACCGGGGGAACCGAACTGGGGCTTGACGTCCATCTCCCAAGTAGGTCCCCAAGAAGAGTAAGTGCTGACAGCACCACCAGTCTTGTCGTTCTTGCTCTCCTCCATGATAACGTCTCCATCGGACTTGTTGGACATCTGAAGAGTGACCTTGGAGCCTTCCTTCAAAAGACCGATCCATTGAGCACCGACCTTGGCGGTAACCATGCCAGAACCAACAATTTCCCTCACTTCAGAGACGTTGATCTCGTTGGCGCCGCCAGCGTTGTTGTAGACGATGATGTACTTGGCTCCAGCCTTGGCAGCGTTCTGAGCCTTCTGGACAAAAGTACAGGTTCCACGACGAACAAGGACGATGAACTTGCTGAGATCGGGGGTATCGGCAGGGTAGGGGTCACAACCGCCATCAGCCACAGTAGTATCCAGGCTGGGTGCCCAGATGGGTAGCTTGACATCATCCCAATCACCGGGGGTACCAGCAGTCATACCAAAGCCAATCTTCTTGTCGCTGCTGTCGACGGTGTAGTAGTGCTGCTTGAGAAGAGAGATGTACTCGCTGTTGTCGTAGGAAGCGATAGCCATAACCTTGTTACCGTTGGCGGCGGTACTGGCGTAGAACATACCAACATCGCCAGAGTTACCGGCGGAGACAGGGCAGGGCACACCCTTCTCGACGATTCGAGAAACGGCGACAGCCCAGGGCTCCTCGGACCAACCGCTGGGACCTCCAATGGAGGCAGTGATAATGTCGGCGCCGTCCTGGTAAGCTTGGTTGTAGGCGGCGATGAGGACATCGTTACCAGCCTCACCGCCACAACCGAAGACTCGGTAGGCACCGAGAGTGACTCCGGGAGCAGCACCAGTGAAACCGAAGGGGTTGGTTTGAGCGGCGATGGTGCCAGCGACGTGGGTACCGTGACCACCACAATCCATGGGGTCGTCATCGGGGTAGACAGCGTTGAAACCATCGTAGTCATCACCGACCAAATCCGTACCGAAAGAAACGAGACAGCCAGGACCGAAGCAACCACCAAGGGCAGGGTGCTTGTAGTCGATACCAGTGTCGATAACAGCGACCTTGATACCATGTCCAGTGATACCCTTCTTGCGCAGCTTATCAACCTGAGTCATGACATGCGGCGAGAAAGTATCAGCAGTATCGTTAGCAGCTCTCTTGGAAAGAGGAGCCTTCATGCCAGGCTCAGCAGTCCACTCGACACGAGGTGTAGGAATGCCGTAGACTTTGACAGGCCAGACATTCTTGACGACGGGGAGACTAGCCATCTTGGCAGCCAGGTCCTCAGCAGAGGCGACATCATCGAACTGGATGGAAACGCCCTTGAAGAGATCGTAGTCGAACTTGACACGCGTCGTAGACTTGTCATCAGCCTCCTTGTAGAAAAGAGAAGTATCCTGACTCTCCTCGAACTCGAAGATGTAAGCACCGGGAAGGTGAGCCACGGTGCCCTGTTCAGGCTGGGGAGGTTGAGACAGCTCATCCTGAGCAAATGACAGCCCTGCGAAAAGCAGAGCTGTAAGTCCTAAGCGAACCATAATAAAAGAGTGTGTTCTTGATCAAATGAGTGACAAGTAAAAGAATGACAAGACCAATAAGGAGTGTGGTCTATAAAAGAGAGTGAAGAGGAGAGCTTGGCGGACTACAGTAACATCACGGCCTGGGAAACATGTTATATATTAGACTTCCAGTATGGATGATCGCTATTACGGCACCTGCGGAACCAGATAAGGTAGGTCGTGAAGCGAGGTTATCGCGTCACATGGGAGCAATTACCGTATCAAGCATTCAGAACCTAAAAAGCAGAAGTTCCCATGCGACAATCATAAGTTCCTGAATATGCTCCGATTCCCCAGTCGTTCATTATCTCGAACCTCCCTCTTTGAGCCAAGCGCAGCGAGGATCGGACTAGATTTCAAGTGGAGTTGCACCAATCATATCGACTCCAACCTAGTTTAGATCCTTGGCATTCAGGGGAGTTGCAAGGGTCTCCTGTTTGGAGACTCTCTGCCGAAGGGACTTTTAGAGTTGGACGCTTGATTTGTGAAATTGGTCCGTGATTTCAGGGGTGATGCATTATATATCGTTTGGTGTTGTGCAGGAGGGATCTTTTGGGCTGCCGATACCGTCTTGGCTTGGTTTTGACAGGTGAATCTAGACTCGCGTGCCTGATTGTTCTTATCAGAGGGTGACATTACAGGAAGTGCAATCTTATCGATATCGCCAGGTTCCGATAACGGGTCAGTGCTGACTTTAGCCGCGGAATAAAGATGGTGGTGTATTGGCAAATGAGTAGTAATACAAGTTCAAGGAAAGGATCATGCAGAAAACAAACAAACAGAAAAGCAAGATCTATAACTTCCATCGTCGACTTTTTCATCAGCTTGAATCCGAGTCTCTTCTAACCATCGAATGAATAATCCACTCCATGTGCGCAAACTCAAACTCATCCATCATCTCCTTCCACAATCGGTCCTGTACATCCCGACATTCCTCGCTGTAGTAAAACTTGCCGAAGCTAACGAAATATTAGTGGCTGCGACAAATCTGCGACAGTTGGAACTTACGGGTAGATCCGCCAATCCATGACATAAGACCCATGTGTCTCATCACCTTTGAGAACCGCAGCATCGACGTACGTTGACGCTGCTTGCTCTTTAGTTCGCCCGATCAATCTTGAGAAGATGGTCATGATAATCCTGGCGAGGCCTTTCGCGTCTTTCCCAAGGCCAGTGTCTTTTGTTAATCCAGGATCAACCAGGTTGATGATGACGTCGTTGGGATCGATGTACCGCGCTAGCCTGTCCACAAAAAGCTGGCCGAGCAGTTTCGATTTGCCATATCGATCCATTCCATCGTAATTAGATTCTTTGTCGAGGGCCGCGATTAAAGAATCTGACTTGGCTTCGGGCAACTCGCAGAACATGGATGTGCCGGAGTTGACGATGCTTAGTCTTCCTGGCTTTGACGGCGATGCTTTGGCCTTGAGTATCGGGAGAAGAAGAACGGAGAGGTACATAGTTGACAGGAAATTGACCTGCAGGGTTTCTTCATGACCCGTAGACTCATTGATTTTGAAATATTGATTCCCCATGCCAGCGTTCAGGATGGCCAAGTCAATACGAGGAAGCGTCTCGCAGCGCTTGACAAAGTCAGAGATAGAATTGTAGCTCCCCATATCGAGTTTCCAGACTTCAATCTTGGCATCTGGAGCAATCGGGCGTAGTTGCTCAAGAGCATCACGGCCTTTGCTCTCAGAGCGGACAGCAATAATCAGGTGACTCAGCCCACGTTGGAGAAGAAGTTGGGCGCAAGCGAAGCCGATTCCATTGTTGGCACCAGTGACAATAGCTGTTTGGCCTGATAGATCGAGGTCGCTCGGGGTTGGTTGTGGTGTGGTGAATTGAGACTTCAATAAAAAGTGGAGTGGGGATAGGGTAAGTGCTGGAAGCTTGGAAGAAGCACTGGCGAACTTGGAGTTTAGGACTGTCATTCTGAAAGGTGTAACTAGTGACTGAAGTTGACGGAATCAAATGATGATATTCTTCTTTTCAGGGAGCTGAGCGAGTTGTTTTATACTCTGTGTCTCAATGGGAACACGACCTTCATATGCGTCTTTGCGACTGAAACCATTTTGCATCCGTAATGGGACATCATTTTGGTAGCCACCCTATGACTCGGCACCACGAGAGTATTAGACCCGCATGTAGTCGAGCCCATAAGAATTCGCAGGTTGAGAATATGAATAGTATGCCTTCGCTCGGGTCAACAATTGTCTTCCCAAGATCTGTCACCGCGACCAGACTGCATACCCAAAGCGGTTAGTAGCACAACCCTCCCGATGGATCAAGACTGAATGGACAGATTAGTCAGAGGGCAGATTAGCGGAGTCGGAGGGACTCAACTCCGAAGGATTCGGACTTTGAAGCACAATATGCGCTAAGACGGAATAGGACAACTGATCGTCGCTGATGGTTGCTGATTAATGTGGGTTCAACACAGTCTCGCATTCGCTCCACATGTCAGCAACAAGCCTCTGTCCATATTGTATTCCGTTTCCAGATAATTCTCTCATTCCTTCTTTCTAGCAGATATCAGAGTCACAGTCAATTATGGCAGTCACTAACTTTACATTCTTGACCGTTGATGGGACTGGTCGCCCTTCGGACCCCAGTAGCCGAGCCGCTATCAGAAGTCGGTGCATGAAGGGCGTCAATGTACGACAGGATTCGCGACGGTCGAAAATGAAAGCAAAAAAGATCAAGGATCGAAAAGAAGACGCAATCGAACTGGATGCTGGAGACATCCTTGTAACGCATCCTCGAGAATTGACACACGCTAGATCATTGCCCACACAAATGCCCATGAGCAGTGATGACATCGGCTTTGACTCTTCTCTTTTACCACCTCCATTGCTACAAATGGGTGAGTAAACATATAGTCCCCAGTCCAAAAGCTTACTGATATCGTCTCGTCCAAGTCATCAAATACAATTACATCCTCGACACAATCTATCCACTTGAAAACACCGTCGACCCCCGCAGCCGTTGGACAGACAATTTACTCCTTGTCTACCGCGATAGGAAGATTCTTACTGGAATCTGCATGGCGATGTCTGCTGTTACTGATATTACACTGAACAGCCGACTGTCCTCCGGAACCCAGCAAATTCTCTGCAACATGCTCTCTACCTTGAACCAAGGTCTGCATCAAGCCGTAAAACAACAATCGGCCAAGACAGTGTTGACTATTTTGATCTTGTTGTTTATAGCTGAGGGTTTGCAGGACTTTGATGCTATAGGGACGCACTTGGAGGGTGTTGGACGATTGCTTATCATTGAAGATCGAGTGCCTACGGGGTGGGATGCGAAGTTGCTTTTCAAGATACAGCAGTTTGACTTGAGGTTGGCGTTGGCTACAGGTCGACCTCTGCGGCTTGCGCTGGAATATCCCTTTAACACAGTACCAACGATTGGAACATCAGGTATCTTGGAAAAACTAGAGGTGTCCTCACTGAAGGTCGTTGGGGCTTTTCAGAACTTGCAAGCTCTGACGCAACATGTTACGGAATCCATGAGGTTGAGAACAAGCTTGATATGGGAAGATGTCCAACCACAGGTCAGCACTATTCAGACGCAGCTACTCGGCTTGGAAGAAAATGATTTATCAGATATGGAGGAAGCACTACGGCTTGGAATACTTGGCTTCCTTACAACACTGTCGCTCAGTCCTATTAGAAGACTACATCTGCCAAGATTTTGTAGTCAGTTAGAAATGAGCTACATGATGCAGTGCAACAACAAGGCATTTGGTATATGGCTTGTGATGATGGGCTTGTTTTCGACGGTCGAGGTCACGGATCCTGTTGTTGGCGATCTGTGGATGCGGATGGTGGACGCTGGCCTTTCATGGCCGGATGCACGGAAGACGATGGTGGATGAACAGCTTCCTTGGATAGGGTTCATTCATGATGAACCAGCGAAGAAGATGTTTGATTGCCTTCAAGCATCAAGAAGGCCAACAGAGTCTTTTCAATAGTCAGATTTTACGTCTGTCTGATCAACCTTGTGCCTTTACAGATACCCCAGATCCTTAAACGCCCGTCGCAGAATCTCCCGAATCACATTCTGCTTCCTATTATTATACTCTATGACATCCTCCCCACTCGCAATACTAGCCGCAGCAGATTCCCTCTTGATGTTCTCATACAACTTCTTATCATCCTCGTTCTTCCTCAACCAATCCGTAAAGATCTTATGCCTCGCCGCCTCAGGACAATCCGGCCCCCAAACATGCAAATTCGTCGGTACATCCCCATAATCGCAAAAGAAGCGATGACCATGCCAATGAGGCTCTCTGAGCAGGAAATGAAATCCTTGGCTCTCTAGCTGTGAGACGTAGGAGGCTTCATCATTGATGTCGCGGACTGTGAGATCTATGTCGATGACTGCTTTTGCGGGGAGATTGGGAACGCTGGTTGAGCCGACGTGGTGAATGGAGATGGCTATGTCGCCGATGGCAGCCTCGATGCGCTTCTTTGCGAGGGCGAAGTGCTCAGGCCATGTTGGGTCTGGTTCGACGATTGCGATGGGGTGATTGACTTTGCGGAAGGCGATGCGCTCGACGCCGTTTGGGTCGAACTCGGAGTCTTTAAGCAAATCTTCTTTGGATACAGTCATGGTGAATTCGGTTGATGCGAAAAATAACAATTCAATACGTTAAGATATGATTTGGGAAAGGTCTTGGCGAAGTCGTTCATGTTGTTGTTCTTTTGTTCTCATGCCCCGCACGTGTTTCAAGTCAGCGATTCGCTGCGTGAGTTTTGGTCTGACTCACACGCCGATGCATGTGTTACGAGACATTGTCGCTCAATCGATTGACCGAGCAACGTGAATGATACTTCGAGATATCACAATAGAGCTGAAATAATAATTAACAAAATGTCTTTTACTAACTCCACCAGATAAAAGAGTATTTCATTTAGTTACTGACCCTCGACGGAGAAATGAAACAGCAGAAGCGCTTACACCAAAATGGTCGATCTGACACCAAAACGATCCGCTGTCCTCTTTTCCCCTTAGACTGGTATCATATGCAGGTAATGCACCAAAAACGGGAATACCATAAGCACTAACCAGCCCCTCCCAACAACCAGCCCGCCAGCCTATCAGTGCCATTCGGCCCTCGGTGCTCGGTTCTCATCGTAAGCACCGTCTTTCAACGCCGTCCATTCTTCCTATCCATCCCCGCCTCCACAAACTAACCGCTACTATGTCAAGCCCACTAGTCACTCGCCGCAACGGCAAGAAACAAGCATGTGAACCGTGCCGTCGCCGCAAAGTTGCATGCGACCACACTTATCCCATATGTCGGCGATGCAGTAGGCGACCCAATAGTGAAGCAAATTGCTATTACGCTTCACCCACTCAGGAAACCGCCGGTGAGGCATCGAGGTCACAGGGCTCAGCACAAACAGCGACAGCATCTAGCTCACAGCCGCTTCCAAGCAGACAACTCGGTCCTGATGATAGATTATGGAGTTCACCTGCGGCCCGAGCACCGGATGGATTCTTTGGTCCGGCCAGCTTCACGGCTGCATATCTCGAGACCGAGACCAGTCTTTCTGCAGGAGATCCTTCTGTTCCCGAGCGTGTACCGACTCCAACGCCCCCATCTATAGCCGAGATACATAACATGGCAAACATGGATCAAGGAGCGAACAACCTAGCTACGAGAATCTTACAAGCCATTCCAGAACAACCACCTTCTGAAGATCGCTGGTCTGGTCTAAATTGTGACGACTGGGTACGCATAGTGGGCAAGAAATTGGTCGAAAGCACATGGGCTACACTCGGACCCTATCTGCGAAACCAGTCGCGCCTTCAATGGTTGGGAAGCATGATTTGTATAAATACAAGGAAGACGCTCACGGAAGACCAAGAGGATCCGCAATCCTGGATCGCGAGTTTCTCGGGATCAAATTTACGGTGGGAAGCTGTGGGGATCATGTTTCTATATGTCGCCTTGAATGAGGTATCGAACACCATGAGTCAAGATTCGAGAAGAATGTTAGAGGAGTATACGGAGTATGTATCATCCTGTATTACCCTTGCGAACATGGGAGGGAGTTCGGGCTCTTTGATGCTATATCTCCTGTATAAACGGTCTTTCTTGCATGCCTGTATGCATGGAGAAACTAGTGAGTATCTTTTGACTCGCACTCGAAAATTCCGGAGCTGATTCGATTTAGGTCTTCCTTTTTGGAAATTCCACGCCGAGACGGTCGCCATGCTAACCTTTGCCGGACGCCACGACAATTGTTCCAAGAACCTACGCGGTCCGACACATACCACAATACCATGCGAGATTCTTCGCCGTTTCTCATGTCAGGTATTTATAACCGACAAGTTCCTCGCTACGTTAGTCGGACGACCGCCCTTATTGTCAAGAAGGTTCTGCTCCGTTGAGTTGCCGCTGGATATAGACGATGTGACACTACTTACAGATAAAGAGAGTTTCGACAGATGTCGCGAGAGTCTTGATTTAGATGGGTGGGCTATCGATGGCCGTTTCCGCGCCGTGACTGTTTTGAGGATTCGAATGAAGATTGCTCTAATCCGAGATAGGATTCTGGAGTTTGTCATGGGTCACAATTGTGTCCATGACAACCGCGACTTTCTGTACGTGAACATACGGAATGTTGGATGGTTTTGCTAACCAGTCTACAGGAGCATCCGTGAGGAAGAAGAAAAGCTATATCGCGAGCTACCAATTCATTTTCTTTACAATCCCGCCGACGGAATGCAAGACTTGGACACCGAAGGGGCACATCAGAAAGTACTAGTCAGGTTGGACCATCTGCTAAACATGTTCCTCATAGAGCGATTGCTTGTGAAGCGTGATCTTAACTCCAACAGAAAGGATCTCTTAGTAATTAGCTTCGAGATGGTGGTTTTGACTTTGAGTATCTGGACCCAACGGCATGTATGGGCTGAAGTCAAGGGCGAGAATCAATGGACAGTAAGTACCCCATCCCAACTAAAACGCCGTTCTAACAATCCCCAGATAAGATCATATGCAACTCTCGCCGGTGCCATCCTCTGCATGGAGACCATAAATCCCAACCCAGTGGAAGACATTAACACAACTATCGCGGGCGAGACATACTCACGCTCGTCAATCATTCAACAACTAAGTCTTCTCGCCGGATCTTTGGGCTCGTCTCAAAGTTCTACATCGGTAAAAGTCAGGGCGGTGATTAAAAAGGTGCTTGATCACATCCTTAATGATCCGAGAGGACCGGCGACGCCTGTTGAACTGGAAGGGTTTGACTTTAATGCTGATTGGGATATATTTACGCAGCTGGATAACATGGACTGGCTGATGGATGATAGCGTGGAGTCATCCAATCGTGAAGGGTTTTGAGCGCAGAATGCCTCCTCGCTTAGGAAGGTCTTTGTAATTCTGACATACATAGCTTGACACTCGTTCGAGACCGTCGTGACGAATGGTATTCCCTTTTCAAATAACTGCATTTCTTGTCATTGGCCGGAGTTTCCGGAGTACTTGTCCCGGCTGCATGTAAGCTGCATACAACTATGCTCTGAAGGGACCGTTTATGTAAACCGGGTAAGATCCTATCTTCGGTGTTCGGTTCTGGAATCCCTTATCGCGGGGTAGAGACGGAGTTCTTGGCAATGCGAATAATAGGATCAAGAAGTGTGTATATAAATGGGAGATAATTCTGCCTTGGACTCCAGATTGCCATAGCTACTCATCCAGCAATCCAAGCAATCATCGTCGTGACTACTATCCACCATGGCTTCTCTACCCAAGACGTACAAAGCCGCTATCTTCGCTTCCGCGAACAAAGACCTTGTTCTGCAAGACGTCGAGCTCAAACAGCCCGACGCAGGCCATGTCCTCATCAAAGTCATCGCCTGTGGCGTTTGTCACTCTGATCTCTTCGTCAAGCAGGGTGTCCTAGGTGATGTATTCCCCCGCACTACAGGCCATGAAGCCGTCGGAGATATCGTAGCCGTCGGTGAAGGCGTTACAAGATGGATTGTCGGGGATCGTGTTGGAGCCGCCTGGCACGGAGGTATGTCATCTATCATTTTATGCATCGACTTAGTACTGATAGACCATTTAGGTCACGATGGGACCTGTACCTCATGCCAACGCGGCAATTTCCAAACCTGCGACAATCAAGTCGTCAACGGCGTGACTGTAGACGGCGGCTACGGAGAATACATGGCCGTCCGCGCCGAAGCAGCAGTCCGTATCCCCACTGACGCAAACCCAGCTGAAGTCGCGCCTCTTCTATGCGCAGGCGTAACTGTCTTCAACGCCATGCGAAACATGCACATCATGCAAGGCGGCCTCGTCGCAGTCCAAGGTCTCGGCGGTCTAGGCCACTTAGCACTACAATATGCTTCCAAAATGGGCTACACCGTCGTAGCTTTGAGTTCTGGCCCTGATAAGAAGGACTTTGCGATGCAATTGGGGGCGCATCATTATATCGACACTAAAGCTGAAGATACGACAGAAGCCCTGCAGAAGATGGGTGGTGCGAATATGATTGTCTCCACCGCACCGAATGCTAAAGCTGTAAGTCCCTTGGTCGCAGGCCTCGCGCCTATGGGCAAGTTGGTTGTTCTTGCGCCCCTTGGACCTGTGGATTTTGACACAGGTCTTATGGTTATCAAGGGTCTAAGTGTGCATGGATGGCCGTGCGGGCATGCGAAGGACTCGGAGGAGGCGATTGCTTTTGCGCATACTCATGGGGTTAAGTGTATGATTGAGACGTTTCCGTTTGAGACGGATTATCAGAAGGCTTTTGAGAAGATGGAGAGTGGGGAGGTGCGCTTTAGGTCTGTTTTGACTATGTAGATGGACATTTGAGGGAAGAAGTCAAATTGCAACGATGGTTGATGTATAGCTCGAACTCAGTTGTCGGCATCAGGGTCTTGAATATCCACTAAAATCGATCTCAGATTGTCCAGACATCCTAATTTCTTGTTTGACTTGTACCTCTATCAAATCATAAAGTGATTCCCTTCATAGCAAGCCACCCTTTCGCTTCATGAAATCCCAATATCGTCGTCAAGCAAAGTATTCCATACTCATCAACATCATCCCTCTTGACATTCTTCAGTCTTGTCATCATACAATCCAACCTACGAGTCTGTCAGCGTCATTCATATCTCCACGGCATCAAAGTTACTCACGGCTCAGCATGTATCAAATAATAATTGTCATTCCGCCAAGCAATCGCAAAGTCAATATGATCTTTGGCATCCCACAAATGCGCAGACATAGTCACCGACGGACTTACAATATTCTGACTGCATCGGTTCTCACCCTTCAGGTAGTAATACGTAACCACAAAAAGATTAATGATAGCTAGTGTTCGTCTCATCGACTCTTGTAGGATCCAGGCAGACCAGAAACTGTGCGCGGCAGATGAAGGACACAGTGATACTAGATCAAGATCACGGCTCGAGGTATCTGTATACCAGGATTCGCCAAAGTTGATCAGCGGGATTAGTGCATGAGCTGCTTCTTCTAGATGAGGCATGGTTGCTTCATATGTATAGCGGGCGCGAGGGTCGGTGTCATCTAGGCGCAAGGTTTGATACATGAATAGAGCTTGCGCATATGCCAGAGTCTCGTGTGGTGTCGTCGCTGGTGGACTAGAGAGAAGATCTTGCACGCGACACTCTATGTTCTCGCGAATTACTTTCGCGTTGAGGTGATTTTTCGCTGAATGCAGTGCAGCCGATGAGACGGCATCTGTCTCGTGTGAGCGAGAAAATGAATGGCAGAGAAGAAAACATACGCTGCATTGATCTTGGCATGCCTCCATCGTAAAGATGAGCATGACACCAGGGCATTTGGTTCATTGAAACCATTTGAGAAGGCGCCGCCATGATTTTATCCATTGCATATTGAAGTCGCGATGTAAGCACTCTCCCAACTTGAGGCGCAGCGACAAGTTGTGATGACTTCAGTGCATCGTGGGCTGTCAATGTCAAGCGAGAATCGTGACCGAATGATGACAGGCTATCATCAGTGCTAAGATTCGGCAATGAACTCTCAATATCCAATGAATCTTGATACAATGAATCTGCAAAGTCATCGGTAGGCAAGATATCATCAAGAATATCAAGACAAGAAGGGTCAAAAGAGCCAAGACCAGTATCCTCAGCTACAGGCGCTGAAGCAGGGGTACAGGTACGTGCCCGGGCTTGGGGATACCGGCATTCAATTCTCCGCTGAGAACAACGCTGACAGGTCGGACGCGCCTGATCACATCTCCTCCGAGACTTTTTACAGGCTTCGCATGACTTGCGACGTAAAGGAGGGTCATCGCGTTCCGATGCAGTAAGAGATGCCATGGCTCGAGGGAATAAGCAAAGGGGGAAAGATTTGGAGAAGCGGATTAGCGCAGCGCAGAATTACAGCGCAGGTCCACTATTCAGCGGAATTCCGCCTTAGTCATCACGAACAGCGCAGTTGAACAGCGCAAGTCTGAAGGTATAAAGGATAAATGTTTCAGTTGCAAGAAACGATATCATCTCATCAGTACTACACTATCTCTATTCTCCAATATGTCTCTTCCAACTGTCTACGTCGTCGCTGCAACTGGCACCCAGGGCTCAGCAGTCTGTCGTCAACTACGCCAACTAGGCTGGACAGTCCGAGCAACAGTGCGAAACATGCAATCAACACAGGCTCAAGCCTTAGCCAATATCGGTGTTATTCTCAACTCTGGCGATTGGAATAATCAAGATGCCCTCGCAGCTGGTCTTGAAGACTGCGACAAGTTATTCTTGGTTCTCGCTCCCAACTACACCGATTTGGATGATGAGCGAGTTTGGGCTCAGAACATCTTGTCTCTTGCTAAGCAGAAGGGTGTGTCTGATGTTGTCTACTCGAGCTCCGTTAGCGCTGATGCTCCTGAGAAACGCACTCTTCTTTCGCCCAAACATCTTCTCCCCAGGAGCCTTTTCGTCAAGAATGTTATTGAGGGGCTCGTGAAGCGCGCGGGCTTTGAGCATTGGACTATTCTACGCCCCGGCTTCATCATGACCAATTTACTTGCACCAAAGGCCCTCTTTTATCGCGACTTATTTGAGAATAACACTTGGTTGACAGCTTTGACGCCCGATACTCAGCTCAACTTGATCGACCCCGAAGACATTGCAAAGTTCGCCGTCGCTGCGTTGCACGACCCTGCGAAATTCCACGGTCACGGGATCGATCTTGTTGGGGAACGATTGACGGCTGTTGAGATGATGGAAGCTCTATCTGAGGTTGTGGGGCGCGAGATAACGGCTTCCTTTTACACTGAGGAACAGATCGCGCAGGACATTGAGAAGAATCCGTTTATTGGAGCATCGCTCTTTTTGCGGGATGGAGTGAAGCATGTTGATGCTGAGAAGGTCAAGACTTGGGGGGTTCCGATGGGTACTTACAGGGAGTTTCTTGCTCGAGAGAAGGAGGCTGTTCAGAAAACGTACAATTGAGCACGTTTCATCTTTGGTGGAGAGGTTTGCAGTAACAAAATCGAATGAACGTTCTATCAACCAATGAACACAAAACTAAAAAAACCCTTTGCCAGAAAGTACAAGAAGAAGAATACAAGCTTTGACCCTCGAACCGTGTCCCCTACTCATCAACAGCAGGATCAAATCCAGGAGCACCATCACCAGCAGCCTTCCTCAAGTTTTCAGTAAACTTATCCTCAGCATCCCAGAATTTGGGTCCAACACCACCATTCCAAGCATCGTACAAATAATCCCTCAGAGATCGACCGTTGACAACAGGCCAGTTGTCCCAGCCAACAAGGTTGCCAATGAACCACTGACCAGTGTAGTTCTCGACAGCATCGTCTCCCTCATTGGCCATGCGCCAACAGTGAGTTTCGCCCTTGTCTTTGTGGTACACGACCTTGGCGCGCTGGCCGTCGAGACGGGGTTCGTTGGTGGCGTGCTCGTAGTCGCCATGGCAGGAGGGCGCAACGCGCTTGACGTCTTCGCCTTGGACGAATACTACGATGTTTTCCCAGTCGTGGGTGTGGCCGTTGCCTATGCCTCCACCGATAGTGCCCCAGCTAGACAAAACATTAGATAATTGCCATCTCACGTCAAAAGAGGGATACTTACACAATCTGGTCCTTCTCAAAGTAGTACTCATACATAATAGCACACCAACCATTGTTACAGCGACGTCGAGAGTAAACATTGTTGTTCTCAAGACGGTTTGGATCACGACAATCAGCCGCGAGGCCCTTAAAGTAGACATCCTTTTGGCTCAGACCGCGGTTGGTGTTGCCGTCTTTATCGATGGCGGAAGTGTAGTAGCAGCCATCGGTGTCAAAGTCGGTGAGGGGCTGGAACTTGTGCTCAATCTCATGGGCGCCGTCGTCAAGACGGCCCATGAGGACACGCTTGGCGTGTTGGAGGGGAGATGCTTCGACGCTGAGAGCGCCTGCGAGGAGGGTTATGGCTGTGAGACCGTGCATTTTGGAGTTGTAGAGGTAAGAGAATTGGTTCAAGAGGGTGTTGAAGAAGGATGTTCAAGTGAGGGGATTGAGAAGAAGATGTTGATGAGGAGATGAAAAAGAGTTTATTGACGGAACAAAAAGCCTATTAAATACTATTTTGACTCTATCTCAACGTCAGAGGCTTTCCATACATTCTGTACTGACGATGTCATGAAACCGCCAGCCATCATCACAGCCACGACCAAAGTGAGAAGGAATACAGAAGGATGCACTATCCAAGAAGGATTCACGGATCAACAAATCATCACGAGTAAAATCATCTCTAGATTACCTCACTCTGCATATGCATATCATGCGTGGGCTCAGCTCGTTCCAAGTAGGACCACCACAACCAATCAGAACGTTTTCGCGTTGTACTCTAATTTAGATAAGCTTGTTTCTGGATCGAAGGATTTCGTCTGCGCCTCAACAGATCTGCATCTTGACCAATTGCATTCAATCGTTATGAGTTTATGTAAATGCTTATGTTGTATAAGCTTCTAAGTTGAAACGGACGAAGGATTAATTGCAGGATGGAGGCAGTTGGGGGCAAGGCAGACTTCGGGGTAGGGGATCCACTGTAAAACGTCCGTAGGGATCTGGTGGAAATTGGGATGTGCATTGACGCCGTTACACTAATTTGAGCGCTTTGGAGAAACACCAAGCTTCAGAATTGATTTTGCCAAGGCAATTTTTACCTTCTTACAATTTGGCCCTTATATCATTTGTACAACACAGCGACTGTGCTACTTGTGATTTGTACTGACAAACACACCTGCGCCTCCAAAGCCTTCTTCTCTGAGCCAATGAGATTATGCTCAAACCATGAATACATACCGCAGGGTCGGTAGTTTAGCCTACGAGTTAAAATTGAAACCCGATGGGACAAGGACTTGGAGATAGGTATATCACAGTTTAGATGGAGGGTTAAGCTTGTGGTGGGATAAACAGTCGCGTAATGTTTATTATAATGTATAGTATGTTCATATAATACCAGATGATGCTCATTCAACGCTATGCAAGATATATACTAGAAACATTCCATCATAAAGTCGAGTTTACTCGCTGGGCTGGATGGCAGAGTACATGCAGCCGACAGGCTTCTTGACGGGAGCAGCCTTGACGGTGAAGGGAACACAGTTCTTGTTGCCACCGGGGTTGTCGACGGAGTTGTAAACCCAGACAGACCAAGAAGCCTTCTGAAGGTTCTTGCTGTTGGGGCAGGCAACAAAGTTGGAGCCACCGTTGGTAAGGATACCATCCTTAGAGATCTCCCAGCCGCCGCGCTGAGCGTTACGGGGCATGGGCTGGGCACCAGTGGTGTAACCGAACTTGCCCTGACCCATGCCGGAGAAATCGACGTAGGCCTGCTGGCCAGGGTTGCCGAGGGAGTGGAGCCAGAGCTGGTCGCCCTGGAGGTGGAAGGTGACCTCGTTGTGCTTCTTCTGGTCGTCGCAGCTGGCGCCCTGGTCCTTGAGCTTCAGAGCGAAAGACTCCTTGGAAGCCTGGATGTAGTTGAAGTGGACGGGAGAGGCGGAGCGGAGGGCGAGGGCGTTGAAGTAGGTGTTCTTGGGGGTGGTGGCCTTGGGGGCGGCGGAGACGACGCCGGCGGCGACGAGAGGAGTGAGGAGAAGAGCCTTGATCTGCATGGTGGCGGTTGTTGGTTTGTGTGTTGGAAGGGGTTGAGATTAAGGTTGTTGGACTTGAAGTTGTAGATGAGCGAGTGAATGATGAGTGAGATGAGATGAAGTTGAAGGAACGGTCTGAAGGATCATCTTATATGTAGATTTGCCTCCCTTGCTTGACTTCATGTTGCATCGTCATAGTCTAGGATCACCCTTGGCATCGACCTCGTGATGGGTCCCGGGATCTAATCTAACGGTCGATTAAAGGGGACCGTTAGAGTCCAGAAGCTTGAGGGACAAAATAACCCAGTCATCTTCTGCCAGCTTAGTCTGCCACTTGGTCTAGTGTCTTTTTGGCAGCCTCAGCCTCAATGATAGTCCTTCTATTACCCACCTGGGGACAAATGTCGAGGTGCTAATTGAAGGAAAAACAAGGCTCTGAACTCACTCATGCCTAGGATCATGCTATCAAATTAAGTCCCGTTCTTTCTACCCCACTTCTAGAATGAATACGAGGTCCCCACCGGTATGTCTCCCTGAAATAAAGCATTGACCCATAAATCTCGCCCAATTATGCGTTGAGAAGTCATGCAGTCCCGCCGGGTTATCCGAACTAACCCCAAGGCCGTTTTAAATATAGCTACGGGTAGATGTTTACCCACTCGGGCTTCCCAGAGCCTAACCTGTAGTCTAGACCTGGCTAGCCACGCCTCGATTGTTTGACAGACGCGTGACAGCTGTATACTGACATGGCTCGGATCTAGAACGATGTCTATTTCAGCTTTTTTAAGAAACAGGTCTTTCAAAGCGTATCGACAAATCAACACCATGGCAATTACGCATTTTGAAGCCAATGACATGTCGACTCTGGGTCTAAAGGCTTATTTAACAAGTATTACAACATCGATATATAATTAGTGTCTTGATGTAGGGTAGTATAATTATATTCTCCGATCTTGAGGAGAATAATCGTGCACATGTAAGAACCTAAAAAACAAATGTAAAAAAGAAGGAATCTAGGACTCATTGCGGGGCCCTAAGTAAATGCCTCAGAGAACTTATGGTTAGACCTAGCGATCCCAATTAAACACATTCTCTTCAAGAGCTCCCTCTTGCGTGCACAAGGGCCCCAAACGGGATATCGTCCGCACTATTACATCGTAGTTATGTCGGAATCATTGTGTTCAAATTGCCTATCGTTTCAAGATTCATTGCAAAGCCCCACCTCCGACTGAACATCCAAGCTCTCCACGATTCGGCACGACAGGGATGCGCGCTTTGTCGCGTCATCTACCAATCACTGATCTACGATGGAGGTGTCTCACTTCAAGATACCAACGCGCCTATCGATATCATGATCAAGGACTCCACCATTGATTCTGATTCGGAGGAGTCCCGACTTGACATATTGTCGGTCAAGGTTCAACAACGGAATTCTGCTGGTAGTACATATTTATCCGTTCTGTTTAACAACGGAGGACAGAAGCGAGCTTTTGAAGCCTATCGAGAACTTGTTGGTCAGCTTCAAGACCTTTCCTCTGACGAGGGAATGCAGAATATTGTTCGTTTGACTTCAGGATGGATCCGAGAGTGCAGGGATACACACATCCGATGTAGACATCCGGACACTCAGAGTCGCATTAATTGCTTACCTACGAGGCTCGTCGATGTCAGATCAGATGAAGATACTCAGCCTCCGCGACTGTTCATTCCCGGTAAAAACGAGGGTTCTCATAGTATCCAATACGTTGCTCTGAGCTACGCGTGGGGTCCGGCCAGCAACCACTCAATTAAAACCACTGCAACTAATCTTCAAGCGATGATGAAAAATCTGCCTTGCTCTCAGCTTCCAAAAACGATTCAAGATGCAATCGTCTTGACTCGTAAGCTCGGCTTCAAATATTTATGGGTTGACGCGTTGTGTATTTTACAAAGCGAAGGACCGGACGATGTGAATCACAAAGAAGACTGGTCCTGCGAAGCTACGCGTTTTGGATACTATTACCAAAACGCAACAGTTACACTGTCAGCGACTGGCGCCATCTCTTCCGACGACGGATTGTTCTTACCGAGGCCTGCCCAAGCCTTTGATCGCGAGCCTGTGATCTTGCGACGGAAGATTCCTGACGGCGAAACTAGAGAAATCTCAATCCTTCCGAAGGTACCAAGCTGGATATCAGAAATCAAGGGAGCCCCACTATATGATAGAGGCTGGGCTATCCAAGAACGGATGTTATCGACGAGAGTTGTACATTTCGCGAATAATATGGTCTTGTGGGAATGCCATCAGTGTCGAGCTACAGAAATTGACCACGATGGGCTGAGTCTGAAGGATAGCGATAGAGGGATGGTGTACGAAGAGGTCTCGGATTTTATGCCTGTATTTCGCAATCTACAGAGGCAAGGCAAAGGAGCGAGTCAAGTCATACGCGAGTGGTATAGCTTCATCGAGGGCTACACCGGTGCTAAGTTCACCTTTGCAGGCGATCGACTTCCTGCTTTATCGGGTATCTCTGCTCTGATCCAGAAGTACATCCCTCAGAAATACGGGGCTGGATTGTGGGAGTCAGCTATTCCCGAAGGGTTGGCCTGGTTGAGAGAAGCAGACTCAGCGATGTGCTGGACTGATCTGGTGAATTGTTCCGGGATCAGAGAGGATTTCCAGCTCAAGCTGCCATCTTGGTCCTGGGCTACTAGCAGAGGGCCAGTGCGATTCCTCTCATCGCTGGATACTTGGGAGACAATGCTCGAAGTGGAAACCTGGGAAGTGAAATCTGCGGGTGTAGATACATCTGGACAGGTGCTTGGCGCCCAACTACGAGTTCGAGGCGCGTTTGGCCTGTTCGATCTGTCTGACTTTGGACTGAAGCTTGATGTGGATCCAGAATCTAGAACACGGCTTCTAGAACACGAAGGACAAGTGGGTTATACTCGAGCAGCTTTTATGGATGCCGAAGTGACAACGCAGTGGGTCTCCGAGGCCTGTCCTTGCATACTGGTTGGCACCGCGTATGTTCCCGGTTCGGGTCGCACGGACGGCGTCACCGGTTGTGCTCTTATTTTAGAACGGACCGGTAGCTTGTATGGTTCTATTGAGGAGTATCGACGAATCGGTTTCCTTTGTCTTCCTTTCGAAGACTGGCGGTCTAAGAGTTGCAACCAGAAAACAATTGAGTTGGTATGATTACTAAAAACTCAGGCCAATAGAAGAATTCAAAAGCGCCCAACCATTCCAGTCCTCTCGGAAAATAAGTCATAGCGTCTAGAGGCTCAAAGCTTTTTGCAAACAATGTGCTGCAGGTGTGATTTTCAGCTGAGGTTCTACTGTTTGCAATGTTTCTCTTTACGACTCTTGATTGGCTGCTTTATTCGGCTGGCAAATGGGATGGCTCGGAACGGTTTTCCTCACGTGACAGGGATGGTGAATTTGTCCTCAAGTCATGAACAGGGAATTTGATTTATTGACAACACCTTTTACCTACGGCAAGAATTTGTCTTGCCAGTCTCAGTAGACTCCAGAGACAAGCCAATTTTGACCTCTCCTCCTGTGACCTGCTAGCATACCGAGTCCCGTGGCTCTAGGATGGCATCAAGCTCGGGCAACGCGTCCTTGCGCCCTCTGATGCCTCGATTAAAAGAGAGGCCGCCATTCCGCCCGCCAGCGCCGACACCGCTGACCGCGAAGCGCAAGCCTGTTGCCAGTGCGTGTGAGAGATGCAGAAAGCGCAAAGTGAGGGTATGACATACCTAGCCGGATTTGCGGCTCCAGTGACTGACTAGCGGCAGTGTGATGCCAATCGACCATCGTGTGGTGCATGCGTGTCGTGCGGACAAGAGTGTAAATACGCGACTGTTCCTGACGAAACTAGGCACAACGCCTTGAGACGCAGGAATTGGGAGTTGGAGAATCAACTGCAGGAGATTCGTAGTTCTCAGCAGCATCTCCAACAGTTTGTCGAAGCTCTCAAGTTCGTCGACGACAATGCTGCGGCTTCTATTGTCCAGCAGCTACGGAATGGAGCCAGTGTATCGGAGCTGGCTCAGGATGTTAGCACTGGCAACCTTCTTCTCCAACTGTCCGACCGTCCAAGTTTGGCCGGGCGAGATGAAGAGGCAGAGAGCTCTGTGACAAGGCCGTCAAAGCAGACGGTCACGGACGACCGGTCGCTGGTTACTGCCTCCGCATACGCGGAACTGTTTGACCTACTACGAACAGCAAGGGACGAAGATGCCTTGGATATCCTCCGCAGAATCAGACAAGGGCACGGCATTGATACCACTTTGCGCAAAGCAAAGGAAGCGAACCCAGTGGCACAGCTTTTCCTTGTACCCGAAACTCGACGGTGGTACCAATTCCCACATCGTTCGTCCTTCCCACACTTTCTTGAAGTAGAGGACAACCCGTATCTCAGCTCGTATATGTACAAAGCAACCATCAGGGAGCCTTCCACTCCGCAGGTCCAAACAAGCGATAGGCAAAGCACTTTGAACCAAGTTTTATATACGACGCCTTTCCATGCCGCCAAGATGGTAGATCCATACCTCTGGGACATCAAAGCAGCCAGATGGACCAACGTCACGAATGACAATCAGCTGGTCTCAGAGCTCTTGAACTCCTACTTCCTCCATCACTATACAATATATATGGGGTTCCATAAAGATTACTTTCTGGAAGACTTGGCTAATGGCCGGACACAGTTCTGTTCCCCATTGCTGGTTAATACGCTACTGGCTGCCGCGGCCCATACATACACGAGCATACCTGATCGCGCAAAGTTTTGGAGCCCACAAAATCTGGCATATCAGTTCTTAGCTGAGGCGCGACGGCTGTGGGAGATACAGGAGGGCCAAAGCAGTCTGACGGCCATCCAAGCCGCCATTGTACTGAACATCATATATGATTGCGACACGATGGACAAAATCGGGAGATCATACCTACTTCAGGCTGTCGCTATGGCCCATGACCTCAAGCTTTTCCAATCCTCGTCAAACAAAGTTATGTCCAAGAAGATGCAGCGGGCCAGGACCTTTACTGCATGGTGTCTGTTCGCTTGGGATGCTATGCATAGCTTTCATTACCGCCTGTCACCTTTATTTGATGAAGCACCCGAGTGTCCCTTACCCTCTGCACACGACCATCCCTCCTGGTATCCCGAGATCTATGTGAGATATCCCCTGGATAACACTATTGTACCCATTGGGTTTGGTCCTGCTATGAAAGCGATGGTAGATCTACAGCATATCGCACATAATGTTTCGCGTTACTACTGGAGTGGTCACAGTCAACCAGCCAAGGATCCATCACCTTTCCGTCTTCAATTAAACGGTTGGGTCAGCAGCTTACCCGAGCCGCTTACATTCAATAACATCATCCTACCCATGCATTTACGCATTCACCTTGAGTACTATAGTATACTCGTGAGTCTGATACAAGTGCAGAGAGATACTATGCCGGTCCCATTTTTGGAGCGTCCTTCCAACCAAGATGAGGGCGAAATTGGGCGCCAATACATACGCATCGAGACCCTCATCCGTCTGTACTATATGCATCACAATCTCGAAATATTCGATCCGTATTTGGTTGTTACCCTACTCATGCTTGGCAACTATGTTGTTGACATTCTTGATACAACGCCGTTACAGGCAGATGATATAGAACTGTACCGCTCAACCCTGATTCTCTGTGCACGTGGCCTCTGTGCTCAGGGAAACAATAGTTATATCTCCACGATGGTGTACTTAATGCTCCGAAACCGCATGAAAACGCGCGAGCATGCCTTGCTGGAAACATACGTTCACAATGAGCCCAGTGCCGATCAGGAGTCTATTGTTGGTTATAATCGGTCCAATTATCCTGTGCCGATCATCAAGATTGATGAGGATCCGCGGACAGTATTGTTAAGGAAGTTAGTTAAATCCTACGAGGCACTATCAGTGGACGAGTCATAGACAGTCATGTTGGAAGGAGCAGATAATAAGCTGAGAATACGAACATAACAATCCAGGTGTCGTTACACTAATACTATCTACTAAGTTTATAGCTGTCAGAGAACCATATGTACGGCATTCTTTGATACCTTTCAGCTGAAACTGCTTTCCACTCCATCCGTGATGATGTGGGGGCCTTCAGCTGCAATATCACTCCTGGTACTTGCTTGGTACAGACAGTTATTGCCGTCTGAAAGTAGGCCGATGTGAGTGCATCAAGGCATTTGAATCATTGTAAGCGATTAAATAACCAAGTGGTACAAATGTGCTTCAGAGTCTACCTCAAACGGGCCGCCCGTCTCTTCTCAATAGCCAGCCACGCCATTTCCTCATCTCTTCTTATCTTCCTTTGCTCTTGGCATAGCTGCTGCGCCGTCTTCCCCTCCCCATTCAACATTTCTACGCCCGTAGGCCCAGCTGCCTTGGATAGTATCGCCATCACATTATCCTGCAGCCTTTCCCTCTCGTCAAGTGAAGCAGATCGACGAAAGGGACTCAAACCAGCCAAGTGAAGAGCTGTGTCCTGAGCCGCATTTCTCAGAGTAACATCAGCGCCGCGCTGAAGCAATGCGGAAATCACATCAGCATGATTCACATCCATAGCTGCATGATGTAGAGGTGAATTCCCAGCTTCGTCGGTATCGAGTACAGAGGCGCCATTGGCAATCAGAATGTCTATAGCTTTGACATCGACAGTTGAAGAGGCAAAGGGGTCACTTAGCAGGGTGTGTAGTGGAGTCTCCTTCTTGTTGTTGTGTATGCTTGCAGCTGCCCCTCTGGTACAAAGTAGTTCGACAACGGCGGTATAGTGCTTATGTTGTCGCAAACGATGTTGGGTAGCAATGTGCAAGGGCGTATTTCCATCCATATCCTGGCTATTGACCGCCTCGGGATGGGCTTCTGACAGAAGCTCGATAACCCTGATCAGTCTTTCGGTCTCTTGTTCAACCACCGATGAAGGTACGTTCATCCATCCACGCCTTCGGTGGCTGCGAGTTGCCCAGTGGAGTGGAAGACTGTCGGTGCTATCGCGAACGGATACAGTGTCTGTAATGTTGACACCAGCGCCAAGTAGGACCTTAATTGCATTGAGGTTGAGGTGAAAGGATGCGATAGAAATCGAGGCAACGTTGGAAACGTCATCCATTTCCTCGTTCGTCCATCCCATTCTGAAAGGGTCTCTTGTTAGCTTGAAATAAATATCAGCGCCGTCTTGAATAAGTCTCTTGACCAGCTCAGTTCCTGCCCATTGCACAGCCAGCGTTAGAACTGTATCACGGACACCCATATCCGGTGACCAAGGCTCAACTATATCAGAGGCAGAAGCACCCTGATCTAGCAGCAAATTCATGATAGCAGTGCTTTTCTCGGTGGACGGTCGCATTTTGTCGTATACCGAATACCTGTCAGCGGCAGCCGCTAGGGGCGTGTAGCCACTGTCGTCGCGCTCGTGGATATCGGCATTGTTGTCAAGCAAGAATTGCACCATTTCCATATGACCATGTCTAGCAGCTTCATTAAGCAGGCAAAATCCGAGCTCTTTATAAATGACAAATCCAGGCCTGATGGTGACCGTTTCTTGGTGGGCCAGAAGAACCTGCAGCGCCTTGAGACTTCCGCTTTCGGCTGCGTTATAAAAGGGAGACCAAGAGGGCGGGTCTTCATAACACTCGTTTCCGACCGCGGAAGGCTTAATGCTAAGATACTGTTTGAGCGCTATGTCATCGTCGTTGCGAATGATGGTATGAAGAAGGTCATTCCAGTTGTCTCCAGATTCGTACAAAACGGTACCATCTTGACACGTCATTGTCATGTGGACGTCGACAGGTTCAAGATCTTTGTTAGAATCTGGGTCAATGCTGAATTCCTGATAGAGTGACCCTGAAGCAAGCTGTGGAGGAGACATGGTGAAGATTGGCAGATGGGAAAGGAAGAGACTCAAATGTGATGACAAGTGCGGGTACTTAGATATTTATGCAACTACTGTATTTACCTGCAGTGACTCATCGGCCAACTGGATGGGGCTATGTATGTCATCTCGAGCCTAGCCTCCACTCCTAGATTGGGTCTTCCTAGTTACACGCCGTAAGAAACCCACCCCTATAATCCCCATCAAGTTTTACTCCCTGCACAGACACAACAGTGTACCCGCAGAGGAGAAGAGGCTTGACTTATCTGCTCTCAACCTCCTCTACCACCTCGACCACCACGACTAGCCCCACCTCGGGGAATGCGGCCGAATTGGTTCTGCTGTCGTTTCCACGCCGGAATATCCTGCTCTTTCCAAGCTTCCCTCTTCTCCTCGCACAACTGTCGTGGGCTCTTACCCTCTGCATCTACGAGTTCCATCAGTCCATCTCCTCCAACCTTTACCAACATTCCTATTACTTCATCTTGCGCCTTAATCTTCTCCCCAGCTTTAATTCTCAAAGCCTTCGGCCGATAGGTACCACGGGCAGCTCTGTGCAGAGCCGTTTCCTGTTTCGAGTTCTGCCGGGCAGGATCAGCGCCGTGATCGAGAAGAAGCGACGCAGCATTGCCATAACACAAGGTATCGGCTACTAGATGCGAAGGCGTATTGCCATCATCATCGGCATCCGTTACATTTGCGCCGTGCGCAAGCAATGTTAGTATAGCCGTTGTATCCATAACAGGCGCCCGCTCATTCGATGTCTCATAGTGTGATTCGATACCATCGAGCTTGAATAAAGAGTGTAGAGGCGTCTGGCCCTTGTGATTGCGAATGCTGGCGTCTGCGCCCCTTTCACATAGAAATGTGAAAACAGGAGCGTACAGCGCGTCATGGCGGCCCATCGCCCGGGCAGCGTAATGCAGCGGTGTGTTTCCGTCGTTATCCTGAACATTGATCGTCGTGGGATCCAAATTCAGAAGAAAGTCGATAACGGCTGTGATGTTCGGTACCCTCTCCTGCAATACCCAGGCAGGAAATTCTGAGCCTCCACCTAGGATAGCGTTTTGGGTAGCCCAGTGGATAGGCAGGGTTCCACGGCTATCTTGAGAGTGGCACATCTCTTGGGTTTGCATGCTACCCTGAACACTGCCAAATATGGTTTTGACAGCGTCGAAATTTGCAAAAGCGCATGCAACGAAAAGTGCGTCAACTTCAAAAGTATCTCCAGGTTGGTTCCAGAATTTCATCGCCCGTTTCGTTTTGGTCACCTTGGTACGAATCTCTGCGCCTCCCTCGATAAGCCTTTTGATCAACACAGCGCCTGCCCAACTTGAAGCTAGAGTGAGGACTGTTTCAGATAACGCGTCCATATCTGTATAGTCAATGACATCACTTGCAGAGGCGCCATAGTCGAGTAGAAGATTGACAATTCCCTCGTTTCTGGGTGGGTTACCAGCTTCATCAGAGCCCAGTATAAAAAACTTGGTCGGATAGAAGTTTGCTGCTGATAGTATTGGAGTGAGCCCATGGGGATCCCGTTCGTGGATATCAGCATATAGTGGCTGATTTTCGAGTAGGAATTTAGCGACGTCGATATGACCCCATTTGACTGCCTCATGCAATAACTCGTAACCGCGCTCCTTGAACCGAATTGGTGCAGGGTTTGAAACGTCTCCCTTGGTCCCATAGGCGAGGAGCATCTGCAGTACACCGAGACATCCGTTTAAAGCGGCAACATGGAAGTAGTCCATACGTAGGGTATCCCGAATAAGTTCAGAGGGAATATCGGGCGCTCTCGGGACGGCCCATGACCCATTGGCAAGATACTCCCGAAGAGCTCTCGTGTCGTTGTGCGAGACTATAGTGCAGAGTAAAGTAAAGTCGCGTTGTTCATACAACATAGAACCATCTTCATCCGTTGCCGTCACATTCGGCTGCAAAGGGAGCCACGCGCCTCTTCGTTCAACCTCGGCGTCGGTGAAGGGGCTGTAGGCTGGATTCCTTGTATAGCTGACAGGTGAATCCATGACTGATTGATGTGACTGACTTGATTGAGGAACAGGAAAACCGAGCAGGCCAGTGCGTATCAGTAGTACCTTTCTAGCAGGGGAGGCTTAGATTTGCGTTATAGAAGTAGAGTTCTAAGCCAGTCTATAGCTCTTCTTTAGGAGAAGAATCAGTAACACCTTTATTTCAAGGAGGATGATGCGAAAACCGATTCGGCGATACACACAGATTGTGCGAGTACAGAATACCTGTAGGCAAGATTAGATTCGACTCAGTCTAACTCGGTTGCCTGATCTTGAAGTGGATATTGCAACTTATTCATGGAAGAAGCTGCCGGCTTGGCATTGAAACGCATGCGATTCGGCCAATAGCTAGTCGTCTGTCCCTGGGGCATGTATGAGATTCCATCATCAATGCTCGGCGAGTGATTCACTGTTCTCAGCTCCATAATACAGGGTGAAATGATACGGAGACCCACTGTGACCTGCCTGTATCCACCAACCCATGTACTGCGTACTGTGGTTCAGGACCATCCGCCGGAGCAGTATAATCATGTAAGGTTCATCCCAGCTGATCATGCAACCAACGCTCCTCGAAATTATCGATCTGAGTCTGAAAAAGAAAAGACTGTGTCTTTCCATAGCGCACGAGGCAAGAGGGACCTTCTTTTCCTTTCCCAACATGAAATCTCTACACTAGCGACTAACACGGCCAACACAGCTAATAAGAATCCATAATTATCTCGAGTTGCCACCGAGGACAAGGGTGAGGGAAGAGGACCAACAAAAGACGCATTGTTGGATTTTCCCTTCACCAAATCCCTCATTTGACTCAGGTGCCATGGCTTCTGGCCTCGACTATGTAAGAAGCCGTCTTTGACATAAACCTGAATTGTCAGCATATAGTTGAGATTTAACAGATACATAGACTAATAAGCTAGTAACCATAGCGTATAGGATGAGGAGTAGCTACGTCCCTATGAAGCTTATAAAAGCTTTTGCGTCCTGTTATAAAAACACAAACGCTAATAACATAAATCTTTCCCTTGGACTTTTCAGCCTTGTACTCGATTAAGCATGCAATATATATAAGAAAATTACTGACTTACGGCATATCAAGATATTGAATCTAGGTATATTTTAATTTATAGGAGAGAACAATATTTTATAAACCTCAAGTTATTACTGTTTGCCGCGTATTCAAAAGAGTACTGCAACATCGTCTTCTAGGTTTAATTGTACAAAGACTCTAACTATCTTCCAACAGTGAACTCAGAGATGCACGATAGCTTTTACTGAAAGGGCCCTGAGAGGTCGTCGGCGCCATTGCCACTGGGCAACCAGTTCTGATCAAAGGCCCCAGGGGCTGGTCTGTAATAGAGTTGACCCCAGTTGGACTGGTGGTCATTGGGCACTTGCTGGATCAAGATATCAGGCCAGATTCTTGCCAAATTCTGCGGGGAGAACGTTCCTTGGTCGCGAAGCCAGAGACCCTATCAGATACCTTTTTAGTGTCCTGTCCTTTACTTGATTCATAAAATAGAGATACTTACAAATCTATTGATCGATCGAGCCATGGAAGTTGAACGATGCTCTTCTCTTAGAGTCTCAAGTGACCTCGAGTAGTCATGACTTGGATACCATAGACCACGATTCCGCTGATTGACGTAGTTACAGTTGAAAGGTTCCATGCGAATGTTGTAGTTTCTCATCGCGCCTCTGTTGTAACGACCGTTTGCGTATGAATCGGTAAATCTGTAAAAGAAAGACATTAGCACTGTTCAAATGAATCACAGTTATGCGCACTTACCTCCATTGAGCTCGACGGTGCAGTGTTACTCCAGTATGAACAGGGCGTTCAGGAAGTTGTGTGCCCTGGCTGTGGTACATGCCAAAACTAGAGACACCGATCTCCCAGTCGAACGAACCGATCCTGAAGGTCATCTCGCTTAACGGGATGTGGAGATGGACAACAATCCATCGATCGCGATCCTGGCTGTGATTTGGATCAGAGAAGCGATCTTGAATCGCTGTGATTGGTCGTCTTCCGAGATCTGGTCCAATCCAGAAGCCTATCTCCAGGATGACCTGGGTTGGGGGGCCTGGGTCGTTGGGATCTCTGCTCTCAAGCCATCTCATGTAATGTAAACTTAACTGACCGTTGTTGATTCCGTCAAGGGCGGTCGCAATAGTTGGCGCACCGACCAAATTAAGTCTTCGAGCTTCAAGAAGGTGCCGCTTGTCAGATCCGGGACCGGCGGGTGAAGGAATCTCGCATAGAGCCTCTTCAAGGCTTCCAACATCTTCCATACCCTCACTAGATTCGCCAAGATTACACAATGACTCAATGGCCACAAGAGTAGGACTTCGCGCGGGACCGCCGCTGATGTTACCCCCGGGGAACACCGCATTATGCAAAGTGCTGATATTAGCAGCTGTGTCTCGGAAGCGAGACTGTCGCATGTTCCTCCGCCAAATATCTACCATGTCCCGTCGAGCGATCTCAGCCCCGATTAAAGTGGCTGTAATGGGGACGAGAGCAGACAGGACTGCACTTTGGTCCAGTCCGCGAGGTTGAGACAGGTCTCGTCTCATTACCCCGAAATCAGAAGTGTACTGAGACCTCCACTCTTCAGGACACTCAGGATCTCTAAGAAACCTGGAAAGGAGATGGTCAAACTGCTCTGCAGCGTAATCACGGTACTGGATAATAGGTTTCTCGTCTTTGTCAGACTCATTGTCGCCAGCGCAGCAATATCCCTCGAAGCCATAGTTGCAGTTCTTAGTATTAGCAAGGTTTCCAGTGTTACCAAATGACGTGCTGATGTCCTGCGCAGCAATTCAAGTAGACCCATAGGGACAGGAATTAGTACAAGCCTGCGAATTAATAAATAAGACTTTGTGACTAACCTACTCGTAGTTCTTAAAAGCCTTGGGAGTCTTAGTACAGTAGAAATTATACTTCTTACCTTTCTTGCAACTCCTTTGACCACTAAAACCTCCCCGGGATCCTATAACAAAAGACAAGAAGCCCTTGGCGCAGGTATTATCATTATTATCGTAACAAATATCTATCTATCCGCACTTTAACCAAGGCTTCACAGACTCAGTAGTATTACAATAAGCGGTCTGCCACCTAGATTTCTTGCAACCGGCATAATAAGTACCAACCTCAACTTTACCGCTGTTGCAGCCAACAGTGCAGTAACTACTATTGTAAAAGCCTCGCTAGTAATACAATAGTACCTTAGAGGACTTAGGGTAGTAAAGTATCTATACCTAGTATTAGCCCAGTAAGCATTCCGTTAAGTCTAATATAATCTGTAAGTCCTTATTACCGCAAATAACTTCTGTATAGCTGCTAAGGCAGGTCTAACCGCAGTTAGTAAAGTAGCAGAAATCATTAAACTCCTTCTTTATACTCAGCATCTTAATAGCCAGGCCATCATTATCAATATTAATGTTAATACCTAGCGCTACTGCCAGCCCCTTAGAATATAAATACTTACTATTATTATAGTCTACTACCTAAACTAAGATACTGCTAAGGTATTATAACTTAAGAAAATTAAACTTAAGCTTCTAGGTATCTTAATTATTATATAAAACCTATTAGTTATTATTCTATTAGATAATTTTAATAGTAGTATTCTTATAGAACTTTAGCTAGAGCTTCTTCTTATAAATAAGATTAGAGATCTTACTATTAAAGAGAATTCCTAGCTTACTACTGCACTTCCCGGCATCTATAGCAAAGAGGTACATATAGCTAGGCTTAGAGTAAGAGGGATTAGCAAGTATAATAGCTTAACTATAGAATACTAAACCTAAGATAACCTTAGATAAAGAGACCTTATTATACTATAGAAGATCTAATAAGCTCTTAATCTTAGTTAAATTTATATAGCCTTTAACAAAAGCACCTATCTATTTATTACTAATATCCTATACTCTGTAAAGATTATAGCTTATAATATTAAACTAGTCTATAGATAGCTTAATACCCTTAAGGTTAAAATATTAGAGATACTAGTAACTAGTAGAAAGGGTAATAGAAAGGCTATACTTATAGGTATTAAGTGTAGACCTAAGTTACTTTAAGAACCTAGGATAGGCCTTAAAATTAGACTAATAGCTATTGCAGTCTTTATTAACAGGGTATTCCTAGTTAATATTAATACCTGCAAAGCCCCAGGTCTATATAAATAGTATTAAAGATATAAAGAAGGCTTGTTATTAATACTCAGGGGTATTAACCAAGTCTAAAAAGGTTATAGCTATTGGTGCTCCCTTATTAGAGAACATCTAACCTCTAATAGAGAGCCAGAGCTCTTAACCTACATCTTGGGTTTTAAGTACTGCAAGCTATAGATATAGCTTCTTATCTACTTTATTAGTAAGTATAACCTAGAATAAATTAGGGTTAATACTACTAAATGTAAAGTAAATATAAGTATATATACCCTAGGGAAAAGATTAGGGGATTATAGAGTTATATTTACATAATACTCTACTTAAGCTATAGTAGCTAATTACTTGCTTTACTAACTAAGAGCTAATACTGCAAGATAGCCTTTTAACTATCTCTTTACTGCAAAACTCCTTAGTAGTACTATAGAAGCTATACTTACTACAGTAGATATTAAGGGGATATTTAGTAAAATTAAAGTATTACAAAGGCTAGTTACCTAGGTTATATTTAGCTTTAAAGTTACAATTATTAATACACTTTGCCTTACTATAGTAGTCTAGACCTATACTATAAATATTGTTAGAGCTATAGTAACCTACTTTGCAAAGAGTAGACTTATTGCAGTAAATATCATTTGCAATAATTAAAGGTACTAAGGTAAGCAATAGAGTAACTAAAGTAGTTACCTACGTTAACCTTATGTTAATTGTAAGGAACTTAGATAAATAAGTACTAGTCTAGTTAAGGAAACTAAGATAAAGACTAATTTTTAATTAGGAAAATAAAACGAAAGTATTAACAATAAGTAAGTAAGTATTAGATAAAGAGATTAAAAGTAAAGAATAATATAATAACAAACCTGCTATAGCTTAGATATCGCTTATAATTATTAGAAAACCTATTAAGGTAAGATAATATTTAATTATCTTTAATAATATTATAACTAGAGTATAACTAAAGATCTCTAAAGCAGCGCTCTATTTTAGTTATTAGGCTTACAAGGTCTAATGTTTTAAGGTTAATATTACTAGCAGAAATTTCAGCAAAATAGCTTTTACTAGCCTTACTATTGGGCCTAAAATAGCAAAATATCTTAGCCTGCGGTATACCCGCCTTACTTACCCAAATAAGTATCTATCTAGATGTAGCTATTGCATACATCTTTTATTAGTCCTTATATATCTTGGCGGCAACTTATTATTATTGTAGATATCTATTGGTTCTATTAGTTCTGGGTTCTGAGTTTTAATATAAAGACACATTAAATCATCGTACCTAAGGTCTTCAGTGGGACTACGGAACATACAATCCCCCTTGCAAAAGAGCCGAAATAGGTCTGTATTAGTTAAGAGTATTAGTTGTGTAAGATATCGTTAATAGAGTTAGAATAGGTAGGTATTAGGGGTCTATACAGTCCCTGCATTCACATGCCCAACCACGGCAGGGTTTGTAACTAAAGGGAGGAGGAAAATTTCTCGCGTTATCCCAAGATCTACAAATAGTAGCAGACGTACCTATTCCAAAGACAACTAGTAATTATTACGTAGGTATAAACAGGTATATATAGTTAAATCATATTATAGTCTTAGATAGTTACATTAGCAGATGTAGTAAACCTTATACTAGGTACTAAGGTTACCTTACTAATTTATTAATACCCTATATAGTACTAAGCTAGCAATATCTTCTAGGAGGGAGCTTTAATAACTTAATTTCTATTTTGGAACCAATGGGCTAACTATGTTACTTATAATTAACAGTATTATAACTAGTATTAAACCTATACTAGCCTAAGCTAGAACTTGCAGAAGATGCTAAGTTAATTCCTTAATTTATATTACTAGTATCT